TTCTCATCTTTCACGCATCACCCCTACTACTGAGGTGACTGTTCGTCTGCCCATAGAAACCTACACACCTTTCCAGACTCCACTCAGCTCACATCTCTTCAGGGAGGCCCTTCTTGGTCTCTCTCCTGAAGTCTAATGTGACTGGTTTATGCCTTGTATTTGGCATTTAGTCCATTCTTTTGTTTGTTACCATTCCATTCTGCTAGTGAACATCAGATATTAAATTCCATGGATTCAAAGAAAATGTCTTGACAAGTTTAATTTTTATATAGGGAAATACCTCATACACATAAACATTTGGTTTCCAGATCTTACTCTTATCATCTTCCAGAGAAGCAACCTACCCTCAGCACTCCCTTTTGCCAAGAACCTAACTTGGTTTTCAGACCTAACTCTGGTCTAGTCCTTATGCTTCTTTCCTTCCAAGAATCAACGGTGATTCCATATAAGCAATGCAGTTATATGCTATTTTACTGTTCTAATGTGGTGTTCTCAAGAAATCTTATAAGATTTTTCCCTAGAAATTTTCGACTTTTCCACAAAATGACTTGTGGGTGAGAGTAAGTGTTGGAAGTCTGTAAAAGTCTTGTGGGCTGTTCAAGTGAGATTCTCTCCATGTCCTCCTCACTCGTATGCTCCTGAGGTGTGGAATTTGGGTGGAAAAAGGGAGGAGATAGAACATGGAAATTAACCACTCTCAAAACACAGAGGGTGTTCTAAATTTCTATAAATGCCTCAGCCAACTTTCTCTAAGAAATTCACAGCTTTCTGGTTTGGGCTCAGCACTTTGGTAAAAATTGCCAGCAGCCTTTGCTCATCTCATGTTTGGGCAAAAGGTTGTTCAAATATATACCATATATTAATTGGCACAAAGTTTTTTGTGAAGGTTAGTAATTTCACAAGTGCCCACTTTTTAAAATATAAGCCAATGATGAAAATTGAGAAAATTTTGTTTTTGTTTTTGTTTTTTTTTTTAAAGATGTATTTATTTATGCATGCAAGAACTGAAGATTCAGGACAGAGGTGCGGGAGGTGAGAGGATTTACCAGAGACAGAGCGGGGTGCAGAAAAAGCAAATTGACTGAAATACACTGCTGAGGGGAGCAGTGGGCGAGACAGGAGAGGTCTGCTGCACCATGTGGGTAGCTCCTGGCCAACGATTGAACTCGTGCTGCAGTGGCTGTGGGTAGCTTCATAGGTTGCATCTTATCCCCTTGCGCCACCAGGGAGGCCCCTGTTTTTCTGTTTTTTGTTTTTAAACAAAACCATCTTAACAAGTTCTGAGTCCAGGACAGGGGGAACATTCATAAATTGCTCCTCTTGGGAAGTAAATCTATCAGAGTCCAAGCAGCTAAGTACCTGTCTTGAGCAGCCTTGGAGGAACTGCTTCAATATGCAAGTACTATTTCCTCTAGTTCAACTATGTAAGTGTGGAAACCTCAGGGCTGTCAATAAACACAACATCCTTTCATTAAGGAAGAAAAGAGAAGCCAAAGGGATGAGCTTTTCCAAGAGTGAATGATATATGAGACACAGGTACCTAGAGAAAACTCTCCTATTTCACAAACAGTGTCTTAAAACTTCCATCTTTTGTGCCTAAGAGCAATGTACAATGGTAAGCAACAGGATGAATTCAACTGGGAGATAAAAAGTAAGCAGAACAGGCTCTTTGTAGTTATGGCATTTCATTCACACTCCATTACATACTTCTCAAAAATGAATTGAGTTTTCTAATCTTTACTTCCTAAAGACTTATTAATTTCACCAGTATTCTGTAATACAGATTCTGTACTCCACCAATATTGGTGACCAATAAGGTCACCAGTTATATCCTACCTGCCAAGTTCAATGAACAGGTATCATGCTGCTGGATTATCTGTCACTTTGCACATGTTCGTCAGGTGATCTCAACCATTCATAAGTTCAACAACATCTATGTGACCTGCAATTCCTTTTGTGTCTATCATATCAAATTAGATGTTTCTGTTTGCATTTCTCACAGACACATCCATCCAACTTGTCAAAAACTATCTCGTTCACCAACCTCATGGCCAAAAAAAAAAAAAAAATACTGCTCCTTTCCTGTGTTCTTTGTTACGATGGCTAGTCTGAGAGTATTGGACATTGGGCTTATTAAAGCTCTGCGGGTAATCCTAATATACAGCCAAGGTAAAGGAGTACCAGGTAGGATCTCAGAATAAGGCCAAGAAAGGTTATGTGTTTTTTTCAGAACCCTCAGTTTTCTGAGCAGCTCTCACTTTTTCAGATCCTTTCCCTGGGGGTGGAAGCCAGATTTCTGCCTGGGACTTGGTCACCTCTGGTGCCAAGATAGAGGGTCAAGGGGCAGAACACTGGCTTGAGAACATCAATGAGAAATACATTTGTTAGATGAAAAGTACTCTGGTGTCATTAGTGCTACCTGCATATACTGCTCAAAAGTGATGGTACCCGACTGCTTCCTGTCCATAGCCTTGAACCTCTGCTGGGTCTTGAGGAGCTCTTCCTCCAGGGGGATGGGCCAAGGCATCGAGGCTACTAAGAGGAACTTCCGCCAGTCCACAAACTCCAGATTTACTACTAATAAAGATGTTAACTCCTGCAACTAGAATAAAACAGGAAATGCCACTGGAATATTTGTATGACTATTTTGAAGCTCCATCTACTTGTGTTTCATAGTAAGAGATTCAGCTGAAGGATACAGGACAGGGCTTTACATTGGTGAATAAAGCCAGTTTTGACTTTAGTTTTCCCAAGTTCTATCAACCAATCCACAGCAGACAGTATCTAGAAAGTGTTTTGATATTGTTTCCTTAACATTTGGGGTTTTTTTTTTTTTTTTTGCTTGCTGTTACATGATGAATTTATACATGTAATTCCAGGTAATTCCTCTCTACCTTTTCATCAGAGGAGGGAGAAGCATTCTGACCGTGGTTTTGTAGGATTCTACAGCCAACAGGGAAATATTCCTTAACCATTTTGTTTTCTGATATATTCTTTTTTTAAATATTTATTTATTTATGCATACAAGAACTGGGATACAGGCCAGAGATGTGGGGAATAGGGGAGAGGATTCACTGGAGACAGTGTGGGGAACAGAATAGGCAGACTGACTGAAATACACTGCTGAGGGGAGCAGCAGGCGAGACAGGAAAGGTCTGCTGCACTGCGTGGGTTGCTCCCTGGCCAGCCAGGGATTGAACTCGTGCTGCAGAAGCTTTGGATTGCTTCATAGTGTGGTGCTTAACCCCTTGTCCCATCAGGGAGGCCCTGTTTTCTGGTATATTCTTAAGGAACTGATTATGATAAAATGTAAGAACTGCCAGAAGCATCTGCTATTACCAGCTAGAATCTATCCATCTAGAGATGGATAGAGAGCAATGTAAGGGTCCAACCTCATAGTCTCTATTCTGGTCGCCTGTTAGCATTACCACTAGTGCTTCAACCTGAGCATGTACATAGTATATGTGTTCAGTTGGAGCTCATTGTTAATTAAAGCTTTACTGATTGCCTGCTAAATGTCAGAGTTTGTGCAAGAACTGGTTATTTAAAACCATTGACTTATTGATCAAATGAGAAGAATTTCAAAGCTTTGAAACCCAAACAAAATGGAAGCTTACTTCAGGTTGAGTGAGGTGCATCCAACTACTAGGAAGGTTGTTTGTTCCAAGGTTCAGGGTTACCAAATCAAGCAGAATGTCAGTAAATATTCTATTTCCTATTGTCCCTACAATACAATAAAAAGTATTTTCAGTTTTACTATGTGACTGGAATTTGTTCCTTTTGCTAAAATAGAATAAAATAGGTAATTGTATAATCACTTTATTCATATTATCTAACACTATGACCTTTAGAGAAACAGAAGACATTTGAAAATAAAAAGATAATAATTTCCTGGATATTCTATGATTTCTCAGCTAAGTTCAAATGTCTTTTTGGGCCAAGTAATAAATCATTCCAGTGGGCAAAATTTTCAGATTTTATATTTTAGTTTAGAGTCTTCTTTGACATTTTACTCAGGATAGATTGGAATTAAAAAAATACTTGAAGCTTTCCTATATATATTAGAGCAAGAGTCAATATTTTGGCAAATACGGGATAAAGGTGCTTCACATGCATGCAAATCATCACTCTGATCAAGGTATCACATTTATCCTCATTTGCTCTTCAAGTTAGACTACATTGCTTTTTTGTAAATGTAAGACGTGAACTGTCAAATGACTGGATTGGAAGTGCTAATTTTAATAATCCAGTTGGCTCAATTTTCCAAAATATTTCATTAAAAATCATTAACATTTTAAATACTTTTCTCTTAAACACTAATCTACTTTACTTTGTCCAAAAGAGATGTCTGTTTCTCATTTCAAATTGCATGCACATGCATTTTAAAAGAAATAAAACAAAATAAAGGAAGCTGCTTAGAAAATGTTTGTCTAACTTCCACAGCAGAGGTACCTTCCAGAGCCAGAAGAGATGCTTATGTGTATTTTTGCATTATCTTTCAGGTCCAGAGTATAAAGTTCTTTGTTTAGGAATAGATGTAGCATCTATTGCTACATAATAAAATGTTCTGTTTACCTTTAAGATGTTGGCATTTGTAAGAGTTCAACATGAACTTTATCATTTCCTCTAATCTTTAGGAAAATGCTTTAATCCTTTTAAAATTTCAGTGATTGAAAACAAGTATACAATTTTGAAAGTTAGAAGGCGATTTCTGGGTAGCAAGTGCAGAATTTTTCTTTCTATGATTTGTCTGGTCTTCCAGTAGGTTGTTCAGAAGTAAGTTCTCTAACCTTTTTGATCAAACCTGAGTATCCAGTTTGATAGAGATGAGAACATTTTCCCAGGTAGTAGAATTTTCAGAAAAATGATCTTTATATCACATCACTTTTGGTTTCAGATATGTTAGAAATTAATCACTCATGTTCCTCAAGATGAAACCACAAGTAAACTCTACTGAAACCATGAAAAGATCAATGCATATAAAAAATCCCAATAGATGCATAATATATTTCCACTGTTTATAATAGCAATGGTGCAAGATAAGAATTATGAGGCAATACTTGCTGTTTACATAGGAATTACTTATCTGAGGAATTAAGTATGAAACATAAAACAATTTTAATATTTGACTCTGTTACTTAAATGGCCAAGGCATGTAATAAGATCTTCCTGTGTGAGGCAATAACAGAAATATGTAAACCTGCAATTTTTGTTCACAGAACAAAAATAAACTCTCATTTGGCCCTGAGTTATCTAAGTAACCATCATTTGAGTTGTCCAGAAAATAAAGTCCACTGTATGACAGGCTTAAAGAAACCCAGACCAGAAAGGCAGTCTGGTAACCCTTAGAAATAACTCTTACAAAGATGACACCACAATAATGTGAAGCAGTGTCCACCTCTACTCAAAGAATGTGAAAAGATATGTGAATATGAGTGGAACCCAGAAGTCTATAGGGAAGCCAATCTTCGGATTTTTTTCGGTGTATCTAGAAGGCACCAAATACCTTCTATGTTTGATGTGAGGATTGGCTACTACTTTCACTTTCAAATTTCAGATTTTTGAAAAAAATTGTTTTTTTGCAATGATCAATGATGAAGCCAACATTTGTCACATGTACTAATCACTTTCATAATGGCTTTCTGAGTTTGATGAGCAATCCGAATTAGGCCTTGTGTTACGAGTCGACGATGGTGTTCTCGTATTCCATAAATGGATGGCTTTCCTAGGGTCAAAGTTATTAATGTCTGGAGAATTCAACTGAATTATCAGGAGGTCCGTCATGCCATCAGCTGTGATCTTGGTGTGCATTTGTGACTTGGTGCGTTTCATCTGACTAAAGCCACGTTCTGCCTCAGCTGAACTTGCAGGGAGGGTCAGTACCAGGTCAACTAGTGTCAAGATATTTGGATATTTGTGCAAGTAAACAGAATTCACGAAATCCCAGGTCAATCTGCGGATATTCTGAAATCTAGAAGGAAAAATGAAAAATGGAAAATATTGAGAGTCCTGAGTTTTACCCAAATATTTAACAATATCAACTAATTTATGGTTACCTAGCATAAATCTCCAATTTCAACATGCTCCACTCAGTGTCCACTTCATCAATTTTCACGTTGGCTGCTTCCAGTACTGGTTCATAATGTGCTAGCAGGACGGATACCTCTTTTTCTCCAAATTCTGTCATCAATATATGAAAGAAAGTCACATCTATGAGAGAAATTCATGCAGACAGCCAGAGGCCAGTGGGTTCAGAGCCACAGTACACAGAGATTACCTTCATTTATCTTTGCAGGCCACAACTTAAAGCTTCCAATCATGGTTGCTTTGACCACATCTTGGTTGGCATCTCTGAAACAGCCTCTGAGCTTCTCGATCAGATGTGTCAAAACCATGTCTCTCATGTCTGAAATGTTTCCCTTTCCTCCAAGGCAGTTACCATGAAAATGCGTGACTGAAGCCACCCTACGTTCTTTCGGCCCTGGTCTGGGGAGGGAAAGAAGCCCCCCCCCCAAGAGAATTAAATGAAAAGGCAGCTGACAAATAATTTCCTATGTTGAATTGTCTAATTTGACAGGCCTCCAGGCCATCCCCGATTTCTTACCTTGTTTGATAGAGTCTGAGCATTTCCAGAGTTGACTCTAATGTGGCAAATATGTCAGCAATTGAAGAATTTCTGTTCTGGTTGACACGGGACAGGATGCTAAGCACGTTAATGACATCCATTAAGAAATGGATGAATTTCACAATGTCTGCTTGGAGAAGGAAGTGGAGAAGCTCTTTGGCTCTTGGGTGACTTGGGTCACTTCTGCTCTTATCTGCCTGAAACGGTGGGAAATAAAATAGTGGTTCATTTCTTTTAAAATTAAGTGAATTTTCTCTGTTATTGTAAAAAAACTGAAATTGCAGACTGTTTCAAAAGTACTTACTAAATGCAGTTGCTGGACAATTGCAGGATATCCCTTGAGAAAGTTCTGGAGGGCTGCCTGCAGCCCCTGAAGCCACTTTCTGCCACCTACTTGGGAAGGCATCACGGGTTGCAGGTGAAGGCCTTTGAATACAGTTATCAGGGAACTCTTATGAAGAGGAGAACTGTGATAAAAGTCGTAAATGCTATGAAGAAGTTCTCTGACATCGTTGTACAGGGGAATGCTCTGGAACACTGCCTTGTAAGATAGCTCAAGGTGATGTGCAAAGCAATACACTGTCAGCACACATGGCTGGATTTCTCGTAGAAGGAGGGCCACCCCATTGTTCTGTCCTTCTGAGCTAGAGGCACCATCACTTCCAAATCCAACTAGTTTCTTTGCCCAGTCTTGGTTCGACAGCTGAAGTTGAAGATTTCTCTCTAGTGTCTTTTCGATGGCATTTTTTATTGCCAGAGGATTCTTCTTTTCGACTGTCTGCACCCCAACAATTTGACAATGCACTTTTCCTGCATATGCAAATTGCACATAGACAAGTTCAGCCTCCTCTATTGAACTGTCTGTAATTCCATCACTGATGACAGAGAAAAACTTACTTTTTTCTAGTTTCTCTCTTAGATTTCTCCGTTCAACTTCGGCAATAAAATACGTAAATGTTCTTGCTGACTTATTAGTTCTGAATACAGGGCCGATATCAACACCCTTCATGTCATCCAAGTTGCACATCCAGATAAAATCTTTGAGGGGACGCCCCGTCTTGGCGATCGCGTGGCATGACCTGAATAGGTTCTCCACTCGGCCGAGGGTGACCTTGCTCATGGTCCTCACCATCAGTTCTGTGGTGGCTCTGTTCACTGGAGAACCACTGGTCGCTTCCATTAGTGAAGCCTTGGCGTGAGCCTCGCTGAGGTGATGTGCATTGAGGAATTCTGTCCGGAAGTTGTCAGTGCCATAAAAAAAACTCACTTGACTACCTCTAGACTTCACCCCGTGCTTTCGACACAAGCCACAGAACATAAGATTTAGTATTTCGTCATATACAAGCCAAGGGTATTTTTTAAGCCAAATTTTCAAAAATTGATTGTTTCTCTTTGGCAAGTAATGGTCAAGCTTCCATGCTCTTTTCTGCTTTTCGGTGACTGGACTCACATCATCTGGAGGATCCCTGCCTTTAAAACAACTCCATGTTGTTATTTTAAGTCATCATCAACATCTACCCTTAGTTTTGTTTAATCTCTACCCCCAACATTTGTTCATTATTTCAGGAAAGGAATTAAAGTGAGTGGATATTACTTATCAGGCATTTTGGTTGTTTTTTTTTTTTTTAAGAGGTTTTTATCATTAATACATACAATCTATTTATTAGCCTTACTTTACAATGAAAAAATGGACCAATGACTATTATTGCCTTTTTATGATTAAAACAACAGCAGCAGTAGGGCACAGAGAGGTTAATTAATTAGCCTGATACCACAGGGCTTGTGGGATGCAGGTGGGCGCACTAGCAGAGTCCTACTCCCCTACCCTCCATGTTCACACTCTCCACTATTACAGGTTTCTTATATGGGTGCAATGGTCTTTTTTACTCTGGAATCCCTCTCTCCCTACACAAGAGAGGCACGGCTTTTGCTGCTGTGTCTTTTCCATGGTAGGAAAAAAGAACAGCAGGACACATACAGCGGTGTATGTGTGGGATTTGCTTGGCCATCTCTTCCCTCCCGCCTCTGCCCTGCTTCTTTGGCTGCAGTTGAACAAATTGGTGAATCTACACAAGAGCGTGAGGCTCAGAGACCCTGGTGCTTCCCCGGTGGTTTCCCAAAGGAGTTGTGTCTCATGCCTCCTCTTGCTCTTTTCTCCAAACATCTAACTTTTCAAACACATTTGGTGATTTTTTGGAGAGGTGAATATATTTTCATCTGGACAGAAAGGGGAAAAAATTAAAATTACCCAAAACGATGTCAAAAACTACCCAAAATACCAGGTTTTCTCTGAAAGCAGAGAACCGTGACCACATATCTGCTGCCCACATCTTCAATGACACGAACGATCTTTAGATGATATAGTTCTATTTTGTCGTGTCGTGAAAGTCTGAGAGATGTGTCTGTGTGATATTTTATTAGAGTCGTTCAGGTTGACCTACATGCTCCAAGGTCTCATTTGGTTCACTGCTTCAGTCCTCAGCTAGATTTTAAACTCTGCTGAGAGAACCACAACCCACTTCTTTTGTGGTCCACGGTGCCAGGATGAGCGCTAAGCACTTGGTAGATGCTTAAGAGAATAAATCTTCATTGATCTCCTATCTCTCAATGTCTTTTAGTCGAAAGCTTTGGCATCAGCCAATCTGCCTCTGCCTTTCTAACCCCAGAGGCATTTAGCTTCATTTTGCCCCTTTTTAGTCATTTTTTTGCAGTTGCTGTTAAAACAGAACCCTGCTTTTATTAAGTCCAAAATACTACTTTGTAGCTACAGTGAGTAGTCTGTGGTTGATACCTACTCTTTGACTTACCTGCACACTGGGTGGCTTGTCAGTCTCCCACACCGACCCCCAGGCCCGCGCCTGCCCTGCACACTGACATATTGGTGAACACGTGCATAAAGGTGTAGGCAATTTAGTCTCCTGGTGCTAAAGGAAAGGGTTTTTACTTTTGCAACTGATTTAGTTAGCTTTTGTGTTTTCAGTTTTAAGGACAGGTTTTCCAGAATGTATTATCTTGAATTCTGAGCATGCACTTTAATTTGTCAAATGTAAATTCTCTGATTTCATGAGAATATGTTAAGTCCTGCAGAAAACTCTGAAACTTGGCCCACAGATAGTTTTGCCAGATCGAAAGACTTCTTAGTTTACTACAGCGCTTCTGGAATCTGACTGTGATCGTGAGGCAGGAGTTCAGCCCCTGAGAGAATCATAGCGCATATTGGGGCCACATGCCTCTTTGCTGTAACCCCTAGATTTTGCCACCTAGCGAGATATTCCTCTTAATAATATCAGTCCTTCTCTATCATAACTTTTTAAGAAATCTTTGTTTTATGTAAATGTCAGGCCAATTGAAACAGTTTTCAGATCAAAATATGGGACTTACCTGCAAAGTCTCATATTTTTATAGTTTTATGAGAGACTAGAAAAACCCATGGGACTTTCTAGTTACTCCCTTCAGGTGCCCTTACTCATACCTCTCGGTTAGTTTGAGGCATGGTAGAACAGGGTTTACAGCTCTCTCAGACATACGCTCTCTCTTTCCTCTACTCAGCTCTCCACATCCCTTGATGCTAACACCTCTGATAATCCTCTTCTGTGTCTTTTGCTTGAAACTTCACAACCTGACCACAGCTCTTTGTGGTCCTCACCTCCGGCCTCTTGCCCCAGCTGTTCTGAATGCTGTTCCCTAAATATGTCATGCAACCTCAAAATCTCAATGTCTTCGCTGTTTTCCCCTCTGTCTGTGATACCCTACCTCTGCTTCTCTTCTTGGAAGGTTCCATTCAAAAGTCTCCCTTGGGTTAACCTCAAGGCTGGCCCACATAAGCAGCAAGACTGCTTCCTCCTTTGAATTCCTGTAAAAACCATGTATATGAATGATCTAGCTCAGCCAAATTCAGAATTCTGAATTTGTGCCCTGTCTCTGAGACCAGTTATTGAGTGTAAGAATCACCAAGAGGAGCCTCAAAGAGATACCGCCTTTTCAGATTTTAGGTTTTTATAGGCCTTGAACAACTAAATATTGCCTCTCTGGAAGAAAGAGTGACAGGTCAGATTTAACTGGACTGTTTTCTCTCTAGGTAGCCTCTTGGCAAAAGACAAATTCATTCCGAACCTACTCTCTAGAAGCATTACCCGGGGTCCTGATGGGAAAACGAGTTAGAAGGACTTAGAAGGAAACTTAGAAGGAAAATGAGTTCCCGTGGTTTAAGTGGCACCAGTGTTCTAGTTTTAACAGACCCAATTGCTTCCTGTGAAGAAAGGCAATTCTCCTGATGTGCTTGGCCCTTGATGTTTAGAGACAAGATGTATCTGCCTGGAGCTTTACTGTGATACAAAGTAGTGAGTGTTTCAATTTAGGATGCTTATGGTCTTTGGGGAGTCACCTCGTGGCTTAATTTTATAAGGTGGTTTGATTTTTGCCAGAAATTGTTCTAGGCTAAAGAGGCACGTGCCTATAATGGTCGATGCATCTTTAGGACACCACACTAACACCGTGGACAGTAATAAGAATAGCTTGTATCAATTTGTATGAAATTAAATATTATATATTAATCATACATGTTATATAACAAAATGATGATGGCTTACAGCATTGTGATATTGCAATTAGGAAGAGTAAACATTTGGTCTTGGACCCCATTCTTGGAAGAGAATTCCCAAAACCCTTGGAATTTCCTAGGTGATGAGAAGAGCAGAAAGGTGTCTTTTGTTAAGTTCATGTTGACATTTGGACCCTTTCAAGGAGGGGACTGGTTGTCAGGAGAACCTACCAGGCTTTTAGAGGGTCGAGGTTTTCAGTTGCCCTTCCCCACTCCTATCCCCACCTGGGAGGGGAAGGGAGCTGGCATATTTCAAACAATCATACCAACAAATGGTAATGATATCTAATTATTATTTACAAAGGAGATTTACAATCATTCCAAGTGACAGAATTTCACCAGGGAAGTAGAGTTGAATATAAGCATTTAAGCATGTGATGCATTTATAATTTTACATTACCTTTAGTAAGGATTATTTTAATGAAGACATTTAATCTTCAAGCATGGTAAATAATACCTCACAGAAAACTGCCTAAGGTTTGGTTCATTTTATTTACCTCCTGATACTAGCTACTCATAAGTATTTAAAGCATGTAGTCACTTGTTTCAATCAAGGATTATCTATTTTCCTCAATAATTTCATTTATGTACATAATAAAAATTTGCCAAGTATAACTTAATGATATCTTTCTTTGAAAATCTGCTAAAAATATCTGACTGGTAACATTCTGAATGCCAAGTGCAAATATGTATGCTCTTTTCCTAGAAAAAAATCCCTGTGTTTATCATATCTTAACATATTGTAGAGAACTTAAAAGTTACATTTTAGATATCACAGGCTGCATGTGTATATATGAAATAGTATAAGGAAATCTTCATATTTCTGTGCTTAGGAATAAAAATAATTTTGAGATTCAAACAGGAAGTTCTGCAGGATTCAACATTTAGAAATGCACCACTTTCATCTAGTTGTTCCATACCTTCAAAATTGTTATCACTTCAATTTAGATTGTCTTTTGAAACTGTAGGGTTCTAGGGTAAATACAAATGGAAGTTATCATAAAAGATTATTTTTCATTTCTTGGCAGGAATACTACAAAAGCCTTCATTTAAAAGATGAATGGGTGTTTATCTGCTGTGACAGTGAACAACAATCACAGAATGCAGGAAAAAAGACTGAAATCAGAGGATGGATTTGGAGTCAGCTAAGATGGGGGAAAAGGGAGAGTAGTCATTATTGAACTTTCTCAGGCAGCGGCAATGTCAACATTTGGAGTCTGACTTCTAAACTGTCCTCAGGAAACCTCTCATTCTGTTACTCATGAATGCAGAAAATGGCATGATTGTTACTTTGCTTTCCCTTTATAGCAGCAAAAATAACATCCTATCAATAGGCTACCTAACTTTAAACAGTGACATATGCAATAGATACCTTTTCAAATGCTATCATTGAGCTAATCAACAAAAGGGTTTATTTAAACCGATTGCTCATAGACTTTAACTCATTTTGAACCATCAATATCCCCAAATCCCATAGCAACCTCATAGCTTTGTAAATTTTGCAATAATTACAATGATTATTCTTAAATCTGGGTTAATCTTCCAGTTTGGGTGGGTGGAGACAGAAAAGTCTTCTCCATCAGTTTGTCTGCAGTTCATGCAGTTGGGGAAAGATGAGCAAGCCTTCCCTGAACACCCATACTCAGGACTCAAATCTACACACTTTCTAGTGGCTGTTTGCCCAGCTTTAAAGATCTTCTGTCTCTTTACTGTCAAATCACTCTTCATTTTTCTCTCCAAGGCACTGTGCCAAAAATGGTTTCTGGCCAACCTCACTACACATTGATTCTCCTTTGCTTTGCAACCTTGAACACTTCTATAAAGTTCATGATCTGTTCCAGAAAGAACCTAAATAGAAATTTATGTTTTATTCTTCATTATTTGCCTTTTTCAAATTATACTCCAAGCCCCTAGTGTGTTTTTAAAAAAATAAATGGAATATAGCCACATAGCTATTATGAAAGTAGTATTATCTTAGTACTAAAGTCAGTCGACTAATCTCTAGAGAACAGTAATGATTTTTCCAATAACTAGGGGAAGTTTGGAAGACAAATCTGTTGATGAGAAGCAAGTTAGTTCAGTGAAATGGGGCAAAAAATTTGAATGTGAAGAGTCCTGAATAATATATGACCATAGGCAATTGTTCAACTGCTCTGTGACTCAGTCTCTAGACTTATGAAATAAAGATGATGATTCTACATGATCTATCTGAATTATTTGTGCCATTAATTGATGGAATTCATGGAAAACTATCTGGAAATGGAAGGAGACTGAATTAAAGAAAAGTCTATGTACATGTTAAAGAGCCATAATGATAAAATGTGATGGAAATAAAGAATTTGTGTTCCCTGAACAACATGTGTATATACATGTGGACTAATTAAGTCAGTATTTGTCAATGGCTAATTTGGTTCTACTGCTGGTCTTCAAAGCATTGAAGGAAAAGGCAAAATATAAAAGGGAAATTGTCTACTCTCTGATGTCCCTTCACAGTCTGAAAAAACAACTCATAACCAAAATACAAAGCCTAGACTAGAAGGGTGCACAGAGACCTTCAGTCTTGAGACAGAATGATACTTAAATACTTGAATTTACCAAACTGTCAGCCAAGCTTGGGGGAAGACAAGAGAGAAGAATCACCAGGAATCAAGATCACCACACAGCCAATGTAGTAGTCATTGTTTTGCTCCTGTTTGTTTAAATCGGAACTATGGTGTAGGAAGCAAAGGTATCATGAGTTAGAACAAACCAAGGGTTCTCGTTGGCACCATCCAACCCCAGACCTCTGATTTTCCTGGAAGGCAAGTGACTGCTTTCTTTACCTCAGTGTTTTTTTCATGATTTGTTATTTTTTCCTACCTCTAGGTGCTATCTCTAAGAACTCCTCTCGAAGATTGTCAAGCTGTTCGATGGTCAGGGTCCCATTTTCTTCCTTTTCTACAGATGGAGGGCGAATTGGAGGAGGGGGATCTGGAAAGACCTTTACATCGCCATTAATGAAGAATTCTTCTTGGTCTAAGTAAAGTTCATTCTGAATTCTTGTAGCTGTTTCAATGTGATAGCGAGCTACATCAGTTAATTTTTCCACACTGAAAGTGGAAAATAGATAGGGTTACCCTCATTAAATATGGTACAAGATTAAAAATGTTTGCATATAAGACACACACACACAAAGTTAACACTATGCAGCTAAGTTAGACAAGTTGACCCATTATATTTAAACATTCCCTTTTCTCCTCTAACCCATTTTGAAAAAAACGCAGGTTATGAAGAAATAAATGAAACTTAGGAGAGAATATATGCTTTTTAAAGAACTAATAGTAATGTATTTTATGTATTTAGCTGATAGTAATGTATTTTATACAAAGCTGAACAAAAAGAGACTTTATTAGATTTTTTTTTAGTACTAGGGCATACTTCACTATGTCAGCAAAATTACATCAATATATAACTTATTCTAAGTATGAACCAGAATAAGGTTATATGGAAGAAATGCCTGTAAAATATGACTGTTAGAGTAGCATTTGTTTGGAATCAGATAAATTATAAAGTGAATCCAATTTGATAACGGATTTCTAGAAGTGTAGCTTTTATTGAACTTTATATCAAAAAATTTGATATCATCTAAGTCACACTTGTCAGAAGGGACTCTGATGATACAGCCCATTGAAATTTCTTCGCTATCTTTGTGAAGAATAACAATTCCTAGCTAACTCATATAAATATGAACAGCAATAATCAAGAACCACTATGGTACAGTTAACAGAGCACTGAAAACTGAGTTTTAATTCCAGAAAATTCTCTGGCCAGGGGTCCTTGGGAAAAACTTAGGCTCTCTGAAGTTCCTTATCTTTGCATTGGAGCCAGTAACACATAACTCCACACCTTATGTTTCTGGTGTGAAATCACAGATGACATAGATTTAAGCTGTACTGGGGGTTACAGTCATGGCCTTAATTAAAGACCAGACAAGTTTTATTCATAAAATTACTACCGTAACACTGTATTACAGAAAGGATCTTTTTATATCTTATAAAAAGGATCAAACATGGCAGAAAATTAAATATTTAATCTGATTTATATAATTAATGAACACCAAAATATTTTATAGGTAAAGTAAGAAAATCATCATCAAAAGTTGAAAACTTTAAAAAATAGTTTTAGTTGCTTTCTTTCAAGAGACACCCTTGAATTCAACTCCAGGCTATTGTGCGTATCCATGTAGTATGCATTATCTGACTAGTTTAATCTTGAGGTTGTTTGAGAGCTGGGGGCAGAGGGAAGGACATTGGATAAGGACTGCATTTAGCACTCCAGGACCTCTAAATGCAGACTGAGAGTGAACCACAACGAGGATCTCAAAACAGGTGTGCGCCCTCTAGTGGGAGACAACCAAGAATAATCTCACCAATGGGGAGAAAAAAATGCCAGGAAAATGAAAGCAGGTTTTGAAGTTTAAAGGGATCTGTTAGTTCTATTTTTCTGTTACTTAAGTATTTTGCAATAATCCAAACAGAAAGCATGACTGAACATTCCTAAGTTTTAAACTTCTTGTGGCCACATTCAGAGGACAGGAGATACACAAACACACACAAACACTATACAAAATTAAAATTAACCTGAGAAATATTACACAAAATACAATCTGAGAAATATGAGTGCTTCTGATAAAGATAAGACATGGTCAGACTTGATGGTAAGATTGATGGAATCCTTGGGACCTCAGAATGAAGATGTGTTTTCATTTCTAAGTAGCAAGGAGAGAGTGGAGCATCACTGTTCCATGATGCTGATGAAGTATTTTAATACTTTAAGCATGATTGCAGTAAGGTTACCAGCCTGAGGGATATCTGCATATTTTTTCTTTCTTTTTTTTTTCTCTATGGATCAAGAGTTATCTCAAGATTTTAAAATAGAACTTTCATTATGAACAAGGACAAGAGGAAACAAGCTGTGAAACCTGGTCTTTAGGTGGCAGTTGTAGCTTCTGAGAACACTTGCTCCTGGTAGCCTATGGACACAGCAGTTGCTAAATTTTCCATAAAAGCATGTTGCAGACTATAGTGCATCACAGAATCTAGATTTCGTAGGAAGCTCTGAAATAGCTTGAAGTGTTTGTTTTATAGACGAAGCCCATTGGACTAGAAGCCATTAGGCAGGTTACAAATATGTAGGTGATGAGGGAGTCCCTTCTCTTGGCCCACGAGGTCTCCTGACTCCCCCTTATTGGCTATTTATGTTAGGCTGAGCTGGTTCTTTTTTTTTTAAGATTTATTTATTTATGCATATAAGAAAACTGGGGTACAGGCCACAGGTGTGTTTGGGGGGGTGAGAGGATTCACCAGAGACAGGTAGAAGCAGAACAAGCACTTTGACTGAAATACACTGCTGAGGGGAGCAGCAGGCAAGTCAGGAGAGGTTGGCTGTGCCATGTGGGTCACCTCCCTGGCTGAGGATTGAACTCATGCTGCAGTGGCCGCTGGTAGCTTCATAGGTTGCATCTTAACCCCTTGTGCCACCAGGGAGGCCCCTGAACTGGTTCTTTATGCCTTTAAGAAGGATGAGACTCACTGTCCCTCATAAGCAATGAGAGTATGGGACCTAGCAGAGAAGTAGTACGAACCCCAACAAAAAAAATATAGAACTAGGGATTGTACCAATATAGAGGAAGTCTAACCGGTAAATCATCCCAGTGAAGATTTCTTAATCTTTCATTAATTGGCATTGATTAATAAATCTGGCATTAAGAAGACATGGGACATTTGTCTTCCTTCTGAAAAATATTTTAGAATTACCTAAAATCTTACCCTGCAAACTAAGATTCTTAATGTGAAAAACAAACTCATAAATAATGTCCAAATTGGATATTGCAATAAAGCTTTTTTGTTACATGATTTATTGTTTGAAAAGAGTTGATGTGGATGAGATTTCCTAAAAGGTCAAAATTTACATTTGCAAATGTAATTTACATTTGTAAGTACTTTAAAAATCTCTGTCATTTTTGGTCTTTTGAAATTAGCAAAAGTATTTTTAAAAAGCCATGCAGGGGGGCCTCCCCGGTGGCGCAGCGGTTGAGTGCTGGGTTGCGAAGCTGCCCGCAGCCTCTGCGACGCCGGTTCGATCCCCGGCTGCTCCCCGGCCACCGGAGGAGGGTCCCACCTGGCGCGCAGACCTCTCCTGCTGCCCGCTGCTCCCCTCAGCAGTGTACTTCGGTCCTTCTGCCTGCTCTGCTCCCCGCTCTGGCTCTGGTGAATTCTCTCACCCTCCCGCGCTTCTGACTGTACCCAGTGCATGTATGAACAAAACAAACAAACAAACAAACAAATAAATAAATAAACATGCCTCTATAAAAAAAAAAAAAAAGCCTAATTAAAAAAAAAAAAAAAAGCCATGCAGGGAACGACAATAGACCCCAAATAGCCTAAGCAAACCTGAGAAAGAACAGAGCAGAATGCATTGCACTTCCTGGTTTCAAGCTACATTATAATGTCATAGCAACCAAACCAGCATGGTACTGGCACAAACCATGGACCAATAGAACAGAATAGAGAGACCCCAATAAACTCATGCATATATAGCCAACTAATATTTCACAAGGGAGCCAAGAATACTTAATGGAGAAAAGGCAGTCTCTTTAATAAGTGGTTCTGGGAAAACTGGATGGATAGTCACAAGTAAAAGAATTAAAATAGACCCCTGTCTTATATCACTCACAAAATTAACTTGAAATGGTTTAAAGACTTAAAGGAAGACCAGAAAACATAAATGCCTGGAAGGAAACATAGGACAAAACCTCCTTACCGTGGATCTTGGCAATGGGTTTTTGGAGAAGCACAAGCAATAAAATACAAATTTAGAAAGTGAGACTACATCAAACCAAAAAGCTTCTATGCAGCAAAAGAAACAATGAAAAAAATGAAATAATTACCTATGAAAAGGGAAAAATATTTGCAAACCATGTATCTGAAAAAGAGTTAACATATCAAAAATATAAAGAACTCCTACAACTCAATACAAAAGCAATCTATCTTAAAAATGGGCAAATGACCTAAGTAGACATTTTTCAAGGAAGATATGTGCAGAGGTGCTCAACATCACTAATGATCAGGAAAATGCAAATCAAAATCATGATATTTCACCAGCACACCAGTTGGAACAGTTATCACCAAAAAAAGGCAGGATTTAAATGCTTGCCTGATGTGGGGAAAAGGCAAGCCATGGACACTGTTGGTGGGAATATAAATTGGTGCAGTCACTATGGACAAAAGTATGGCAGTGCCTCAAAAAATTAAAAAGAAAACTACCATCAGAACCAGTAATTCCAACTCTGGGAATAGATCCAGAAGAAATGAAAAGCTGTGTTGAACAGATATCTGCACCAACATGTTGTTATTTTCAATATCAAAGACATGAAATAGTCTAAGTATCCACTGATAAATGGACAGATAAAGAAGTTGTGGTGTATGGGTGTATATATACACACACACACACACAAAAATGTATTTATTTATTTATTTATTTCATAAAAAGGATAGAGTCCTGCCATATGAATTAAGTTATAGAAAAAAAGACAAATACTTTATGATTTCACTTACATGTAGAATCTAAACACACAAACAAAAATCAAACTCATAGAAATAAAGACCAGATTTATGGTTACCAGAGGAAAGGGTACAAGGAGGGGAGTTGGATAAAAAAGGGAGTTAGTAAAAAAGGACACAAATTTCCAGTTATAAATAAGGACTATGGATGCATATTGATAATAGTTAACATGGCTGCATGATATATTTGAAAGTTGTTAAGAAAATGGGTTTTTAAGAGTTCATATTACAAGAAAATTGTTTTTCTTTGGCATCAGTATGGAATGGATGTAACTAAATTTACTATGGTAATCATTTCACAACTTAAATAAGTTAAATTATTATACTGTTTACCTTATAATGCAATAAAAATGGGAGTAAAAAGCTATGCAATACTTTACCTGGCCATTTCACATAAGTACCTCTCACCAAGCCACTTTTCCATGAGTTTATATACATCGACTACCTTTGTTACTAAATCTTCAAGAAAAGTCAGTGCTTTTGCTTTTATCAGTTCAAGTCGGAAGAGTGTGGCTGTCTCTAAAAGGAGAAATAAGGATTATTTTTTATTTTTTTATTTTATTTTTTTAGGATTATTTTTAAATGAATTATAATACCTTCACATTATGATTGACCAAATTCAAGTTTTAATCAACACTTCAATTTGTTAAGCTTTAGGAGCACACTTAATATATTAATATAGGTTAAATAATGTCTTATTCATCTCATTGATAGTATCATTTGACAGATTATTTAAACCAAAACTATAATTGAGCTTTACACTGATTGGATTTCATAGGGATATACTTTTTGATAAATTGCAAAAGGGAAACAGATAAATCCTGAATTTCAAAAAGGGGCAGGGTTCAGTATCTCTGGATCCAAAGACAAAGCCATTTGCTTGTGTTCTCACAGACAGAGTTTTAGGCAATTAATGAGTCTCCTGTGGGTTGTTTGCCTTTAGTCTATTTGCTATTGAAAAGCATCATTTATCTCTGTCCAACTGCTACCTTCAAATTGCAGGGCAGCGAGATGTTCTTCCTTTATTTTTAACTTCAGTGCAGCTTTCCTTTCCATTTCGGCAATTTCCTCTGTGGTTATCATTATAGGAGAGGATACAGCTGTAGGTGGTGATTTACCTGGAAGGGCAATGAAACATGCTGAGCAAACTGCCAACACACAATTGCATATACACAGCCCTTGGACAAATGAGCACAGAGTGAAATGTGTCGAAGAGTACACCTGCAGAGATTTGGAAAGGAGAAACTCTGATCCTGAAAGGGCATGGGGTGAAATATTGATAGTCTTCCATGTGAATCTTCCATGTGTTTTCTGGGTTGGATGCATATAGCCCCCTTGAAGTCCCCCATCTGTGTAACATGTAGGGAAAATGAGGAGTACAATGAGTAGAGACATGATTACGGAAACCAAAGAGTTTGGGGACAGAAATTAGCAAACCCCAACATACTGTGGAAGCCATTAGCCATCTGAAGAAGTACCATTTCGTATGAGATATTTAAATGAGCTGAAATCTTCTTAGTTCCTCATCAAGAAAAGATCTTGAATAACCTAGAAGTTGTGGCGAAATGTAGCCATGGTCAAGAATCTATTATCTACTAACTTACCTTTTAACTAGTACCTAACTACAAGTACTTCAGGGGTTCCAGATGAGAATTAGAAAATAAGGACTTGTGGGTATTTATCTATGAATTTACCCATGAGGAATGACCATGTGGTTCCAGTTTATATAATTCCACTCATTGCAATAACTCTTTCTAGAAGGTCTGATCTCAATCAAAGTCTTGTGAAGATGTATAAAAGTAAACAAAGGAATAATAGTGAGACTTAATGGTAATAGTAGTTACATGTATATATTGCAGATTAAAGAGAGCTTAATCTTGCAGATTTTTCTTTCATCATCTGTAAAATTAAGGGGTTGGGCTCAATCATTTATTTCATTAAATCGAAGCATTTCCTACAAATGCTGTTTATTTCTTGCCTTTATACCATCTGAGATGGACTAAAGTGGTATGTTCTTTATTGTGAGGGTACTCTTCCCTTTTCTGGGAAAGATGAGGAGCCCCAGCTCCCATCTTCAACCCTCCTTAAGTCATGGGTGCTTAAATGTACTTCCTCTGGGAAGGATTTCCCTATCCCCACAAATGAAATAAAAGGATATTGCTCTCAAGAGACTGGTCCCAAAGCACAGTAACTGGTTAAAAGTCTATCTTTGATGCCAGGATACAGTTCATCAGGCAGGGACATGTCTTTAGCTTTGTTCACCATTGTGTCCTCAAGTCCCATCATAGTGGTTTCCAAATAGCAGGTGCCTATTAAATATTATGAGCCCCTAACTGGTGGAGTGACTTTTGCTCATGAATTTTCATCTCTTCCTCTTTTGCCTCAAGTCACTTGAAAAATGTAGAAGAGGAAATATTCAGAGGGGAGAAGAATGTTTGTGCCAGAGCTTATACCAAAGGTTAACAGGAGGTCTCTCTCAGTGTGATTTATTTTTCTCCTTTACTTTCCATCATGCCTCTGAGACAGATATAGGCAACAGGCCTCCAGAAGGAAGGACTTGTTTGAACTAAACAGAATCTAAAACTTAGCAAAAATTAGCTTTATCTCATCTTCCTTCAGTCACTGTAGCACGCCTCAGCTTCCCTTTGCACACAGTTTTCAGATTATAAAATGTCATTTTGGAGTTCTTTTAACATGTCCCAAACTGCCTTTGAGAGTTGCTTTCCCCTGGATATACTTGGCTATTTGGATAAGCAGGTTAGGTGGGACTGGAATGCATAATGATTTGCCAGCTGACACCGTGTCTCATGGAAGCCTGGGTCTCTAAGTTATACTTAATGAACAATGTTCTAGTGGCTTAGGGGTGATGTTTCTGGTTACACACTTGTTTTCTACCAAAGAAAGGTTGACACATTCAGGGTTCTGGATGCTAAAACCATGAATACCTTTGGCTTTTTTGTCTTCCTTTTTTTTCTTGGGTGATTCCTTTTTGACTTTTTTATTTGCACTCGCTGGAAGAGATTTTTCTTTTGTGTCTGCTGGCTGGTTTTCTTTTTCTTCTTCCATGACCCTCTGCTGAATTTCAGCAGTAACCTGGTTGAATAAGAGCAATGTTTCAGTGAATGTAACCTTTATAAAATATGAAAACCATTTGGATTTAGTCATTACCCAAATCCATTAGGCTTCATTCCACTGCAAACCATGCCACATACTCAGTCTTCATAAAACACACCCAGATGGTGTACTTCAGTGGAAAACTGACCTTGCCCCAAGACGTGACTTCTCTGCTTCCCACCAGACTTTTCAAGTCCCACCAGCAACATATCCTTCCATTTCCTTGTTGCTACCGCCTGTCTGTGACAACTTCACAGTTATGCAAAAATGTCTTTCGTTGTAATCTCATCATCTGTAGACGTCACACCTGCTCCTCTCCCATGTTTCTGCTTGCTCTTGGCCCTCAATCAGGAGTATTCCCCTATAAGAGTGTTTCTTAATCTTTTTTTTTTATTTTTCATTATTGAGCCCCTATGGAGTTAAGTCAGTCTGTCCTAACTGTATCCCTCTCCATGAAACTTTAATACTGCAGATGTATATCTGCTTATTATTTTATGTATGTCTGTGCCTTACGTGTAAATGGGTAGGAATTTTTCATTTTCAATGATGGGGGACATGGAGGATGCCTGCCCTTTATTATCTGCACTTAAGGACACTTGAATCTTGGGCTTCCTTTCTATCCTAACTCCAGTTGTCACCCCAGGCAGAAGCATTGTCCTCAAAATGGTCTGTCCCACAGACCAGCTTCCTGGCAGGTTGTTAACTGCCTCTGCTCAGGGGACTTTCAGTTTCTCTCCATCTGAGCAAACCCCTACTTTCACACTCACAAGTGTCCTGGGTTAAGAGATCAGTAATAAGTTCACTCCACAATGACTGATAGATGGGGAGATAGGAGGTGCTCTGGGGAGATATCTCTCCTCTGCCATTTGCTCTGTGCTTCAGGCAGCAAAAAAACCTCTACAGGACTTGCACATCTGCAATTAGAAATACTGGATCTTTTGAAACGAGTCCAAATGCCCCTGAAGACAAAGGGCCTTTATAAGGGTAGCCCTGAGCAATAAGAGCTAAGAAAAGCATCCCAAAAAGAAGAAAGAAAACCTGCACACTGTGAAGACAGTAGCACAAGGTGTGGTTGAAACATATAAAATTTCAATATGGCAACTTTTGGGGAAGTAAATTTATTTACTTATTAAAGTGGAAATTTATTTCTTTATTAAAGTGCTCACTGTGTCTAAACGGGACATTATCCCCGGGGAGAACTGGGTGAAGGGCTGGGAAGAGGAGCAAGTTGGATGGAAGGAAATAGAAAGATGGGTAAGTTACAGTTGCTACCCTGAAGGAAGGTTCTAGAGTTGGGGGCAGGACCGACCATGCAATTCCTGCCCTCTCCAAGCTCCTGCCACATTTCACATGCCAATGCCTGGCATGTAACTGTCCTCAGCTGCCCTATGAGTGTTAACCTTGCCCCATCCTCCAAATGGGCTCCGACACTCCCAAGATCTCGACCAGTCCTAATTCTTGGTATTCTCCATTGCTTTTAGCACCTGCTCCATACTCATATAGGTAGCCCAGGAAGTGCTTTTTAATCAATGAAATTTATTTTAAAATAATCATATTTTACAGAATATACCCACAGTTTCTTCAATATCAGCAGAATCTTGAAGGGACATGGAAAGGTTTCAAAGAGAAGTCACTTATTTTTTTTCATCAGATGACCTTTTCACAAAATGGATTTCATGACATATATTGTACTTTCAAATTCTTGGTAAAGCTGAAAGCAGACTTGTTAACATCTCCCCTCCCCCTAAATTACAAGCAATTCATTTTTGAAGCTGTTCTTGCAAAGCACAGTAAGTTAGTAATTTTCTTTAAAATTGGTTTTTTCTCCTTTTTAAACAACCTTGTGATGATGATGATGATGATGATGATGATGATTATCATCATTTGCATTTTTCTGATCCACCTTCCACAAAGACTTCTGGGTCTCATTCAGTAATTAATATAACTCACAATACATCCAGCAATCTAGCTGGTAAGGCTGAACACAGTCTAGAAATAATGCCTCGACATTGTGGGCGTTAAATATGACTTGTTTCTTTGAAATCATTGCATACCTGCTAATTAGAAGAAAGTTTTGCTAAAAATTAACATCACATACTAAATGAATGACTCTTAGTAAAACTGCTGTGTAGAAATAAAGGCTGTGTTAACTTGCTCACAAGTCAGTTGCACTGATAGCAGCCCGTACTGTTTTCCCAGCAACCATTTCCTGAATTATTCCTGTCTCATTTGGAATTGAAAGTTCCCTAAAGGTCATATGACATCAAAGTCATAAAGGTCTATTAGAAACATAAAAACAGAATGCAAATATAATTATTAGATATTGATTATTAAACAATCCTTCCTCCTGTTTTTTTCTTTTTAAGATTTATTTATTTATTTATTCAAGAATTGGAGCACAGACCAGATGCGCAGGAGGGTGAGAGGATTCACCAGAGACAGAGTGGGGAACAGAACAGGGAGACTGATGAAATACACTGCTAAGGGGAGCAGCAGGTCCACCGCACCACGTGGGACCCTCACTGGCTGGCCGGCCAGTATAGAACTGGTGCTGCAGAGGCTGTGGACAGCTTCACAGTGCAGTGCTCAACCACCTGCGCCATAAAGGGGAGGCCCCCTCCTCCTGTTTTTTATATGCATTTTATTTATTTTTTATTTTTTTAAAGATTTATTTATTTATGTAAGCACTGGGTACAGTCAGAAGCACAGGAGGGTGAGAGAATTCATCAGAGCCAGAATGGGGAACAGAATAGGCAGACTGATGAAACACACTGCTGAGGGGAGCAGCGGGCAAGGCAGGAGAGGTCTGTGTGCCATGTGGGACCCTCACCAGAGGCCGGGGATCGAACCAGCGCTGCAGAGGCTGCAGGCAGCCTTGCATCCCAGCGCTCAACCGCTGCTCCACCAGGGGAGGCCCATGTTTTTTATATGCATTTTAAAAGTCCATAGGGAAAATAGTACAACTTTGAATAAATTTAACATAATGAAATTATAATTATTTACAATTCTAAAACACATTGATATACGTTATTTTGTTAGATCTTTCCATCAATTTAAGAAAGGAAAGACAGGATGTTCCTCATGTTACAGACAAGAAATTGAAAACTTGGAGAGGTTAAGTGATTTTCCTAAAAACCCAAAGCCTAATCAGAAGATATTATGAGTGCTCTTTGTCTTACTTTCCAATAGTGTAATATTTTAAATTATCATTTTTTCCAGGGTAATTTAATGAAATTCACAAGACTTGTAGATTGTGTTTAAATAGCTCAATTAATAAGAATAATTATATATTTTTAGAATTCCTAGATCCAGCTTTCCCCTGGTTGGACAGTTTTGATGGTCATCAATATTGTCATTGCCTTTATCATTAATATTACCATCGGCACTGGTACAGTGAGAACTAACATACGTTAGATGTGTGCCTTGTCACATTAGGCTAGGTGTAGGGCAAATAAGCCAATTAAGTATTTGGAAAAACAATGAACGGGATAAAAATTACAAGCAATAACCTGGATAATAACAATCAAATAAGAGACAATAACTGCTACAAGAATTGGAAGTGCAAAATAACAAAGGTTAGGGTTTTCAGAAAAAAGCAACCAACTAATTAGAAATTAAGGTAATAACTAGTTCTGAAGACTTAAAGGAAGTGTAAGCAAATAGGAGGGGGAGGAGTATATTTTAGGAGAAAAAAATGGCATTAGTCAATGTGTTGAAGTAGGTAATACCCATGGAATATGTAGTAGAAGAACTAGTTGGTTTATGAGAGGGTTTGATGAGTTGGAACCAGCCAAAATATGGAGCTCTGAGTGCTATAGGTCAAGGGTTTAGAATTTGACAGTTGCACTCACGGTCATCACACTACCCCATTCTTATATAATGTAGTTGTAGATCTATTTGGAGTACAAACCTACCATTTTACTATGTTTTCTGTTTGTGTCGCCTGTCCCGAACTTTTTCCTGTCCTTCTTTCTTTCGTCTTATTTGCCTTACTTCATTTTTTTACTTTACTTGCATTCATGAAGACATGCAATTATACTTCATACGCTTTCCTTATCTGTCAAAATCACACTAACTTTTTTTTTTTTAAGAAGGCAATGAGAGGACTCTCTGGTCAGTTTTCTGTTTGTTTGTTTGTTTTAAAGATTTATTTATGCATACAAGAGGTGGGGTACAGGCCAGAGATGCAGGGGGTGAGAGGATTCACTAGAGACAAGAGTGGGGAGCAGAACAGGCAGATCTAGTGAAATACACTGCTGAGGGGAGCAGCAGGTGAGTCAGGAGAGGTCTGCTGCGCCATGTGGGTAGCTTCCTGGCCTGCTGGGTATCGAACTCGTAAGGTGGCACCTGCGGACAGCTTCATAGGTTGTGTCTTAACCCCTTGCGCCACCAGGGAGGCCCTCTCTGGTCAGTTTTGAGGGAGAGAAAAGAAAGAAGTAGGAGAACAAAAGGAAGAGGGGGGCAGAAGTAAGGCACTGAGGCCGTCCAGTGACAAGGTCAGAGAGAAGACCACGGCAGGCCAAGGGGCCAGGAAGGCAACTTAGGAAATGCCCTGTCAGAAGTGTTGACTACATGCTGTGAGACTATTCGTAGCATACTGCTAATGCTGTACTTAATGGATGAGAATTACGGGAAGAAAATGGAATAACAGCACTTCTTACCATCTGAGACACCAGTGAAGAAGTCTGTTGCCAGGTGTCCACTATCAACTTCTCATCTGCCTCAAGGTTTAACTCTACGTTTTCTAGTGAATGATCAATCCTGCCCTTCAGCATGGCTTTTGTTTTTGGTTTAGATATAGTTGAATCTGGAGAAATGGATATTCGAGGAACTAAAGGAATTCTTTGAAAAAGAAACAAAAAGAAACATAAAGATTTTATTTAACAGAATTTTATTCTTATGACCACGTTACTTTGTGAATTTTATTGTCTTGCTTTAATTGTAATTTTTCAAGTTTTCCTGGAAGAGCTTTTTAAATGGAGAAAAGACTATAAGAAAACTACATTCAAACATTTGTGCACTAGAAAGTCTTATTAGCAAGAGAAAATAAGAAACAAACAGGAACAAAACATAAATTTCACATTTAATTCTCAGTAATTATGAGGAGGAGGATTAAACAATGGCAATTGAAAAGAAAGGTAAATTTGAATTATCCAGAGTGTAAACTTCCTACAAGGAGACTGAAACAGTCATGAAAAAGCAAGCCAAATAGAACTGTCATTCTAAGTCTTAAGGACGATTTAGTATCATCTGGCTTACTAAGAGCACAGTTAAAATGTCGGATGTGATAGATGTGGGGCCTGTGGAGACAGCAAGGTTCTGGTGGTAAGGGGTGAAGAGCCCCAGAGTCCTCTCTGCTCTTGAACATGCACGATGAGGGTCTTCGTGTTGAGCTACAAAGGTCTGTGGAACAGAGTTCACCTCCCCTCTGTCTCAACCTCACTGGTGCCTCCATGGAGGAATCTGAGAGTTGCCCTGGAGAACTTTCTATTCCTAAGAATCCCAGGCACTCAAAGGTTAACAGAGCAGGGATAGTCACAACATAGAAAGCTTATTGTGACTGGAATCCCCCTGGGTGATATAAAAGGAAAAGAATTTTCAGCTTAGGAGAGGAGCTCCAAAGATGCCTTTGTTGAAAGTAGCAAAGGGAGGAGAGTCAGGTGCATTACACTAAACAGACATTTGGTTTGGCAGATTCAAGATCCTGGGGACAGAGCAGTGACTCAGAGAGTTAGTCTTGAGCTCCAGTAGCCAAGTGGTGAGCTTGGGAGGGAGTTGGAAGAGCAGATGGAGGTTTTTTGGACTTGGTTTCTTGGATTCTTAGTGTTTGGCATTCTGATAATGTATGATGCCTAAAAGGCAATGTGTAGATGATATACTGCCCACAAGGAAAATTTACATTTTAATGGACAAGTAATACCAAGTCTCAGTAACTGAACCACCAGGTCATGTCCACTTAGGTATACATGTCCACATCCTCAGGTGTATAATACAGAACAGCATATATTTTCCAACACCTTCCTTTGGAGGACAGCAATGGTAGCATATTATTTAGTTATTAAGTAATTACTAGTTATCATTGCTATTATTATCATTAGGTTGTTGAAGAAATAAAATAAGCAATCTATGCGAAAATGCTTAACATTGTACTGATTTCCTTATATATGCTAAAAAAAAACCTGTTCACTGGTTGGCTGGTTAGTATATACACTGATTGACTGAGAATTCTAGTAGGTGCCCAAAGCAATAATTTTAGGCTGAGATTGGTGCAGAGTTGCTTTTCAGAAAATAAGAACTGGTTGTTCTGTTGCCTGTTTCATTCTCCCAACCAACATGAATAGCTTCCCCATTATGTCTCACTTGCTATTTTGTGCTAAGAACAGAATGCCCTGCTACTCTAGACATTGAAACTCATCCTCTTTTGATGGCTCCCATGGTTCCTAATGCCTGTGGAATTTTTATTGTTTTTAATTTCAAAGTTGCTTTCAGCAGCTTGCTGTGTTAACCTTTCTCTTGTACCTGTACCAAGAGGAGGTACACACTTACCCTCTTGTGTTTTCCTGACAAGTACATGATGGGACTAGATGGATGAAGTCTAGGGAGAAAAGAGTTGGGCCTAATATCTCAAGCAGAGTCTTTTTGGAAGCACATCATAGTAAGACACATTATACTTCTGCACCAAAAATGAGCAAATGTTCACCGTCAGTGGGGTAGGTAGTGCACAACAATAGTCTTAAGTTAAAGGTAGAAAAAATTTTCCACTTTTACAGTTTTTTATATTTTGTATTTATAGGTCTAGGAGTGTGCTTTTTATTAGTGGTATTCAACTTGAAATCACAATGCTTTATGTTCAGTGCAATTTCAGTGTGATATGCTGGTTTTCTTACCTCACATAGTTTTCCATAGCGTCTCTATTATTCATTTGGACCAAAGGGACTCGAGCAAATTTCTTATTGTTATCTGCTGGGATTTTGTATTCCATTCCCCTATAATAATCTTGAAGGAGTACTTTTGTATCTTGGAAACGGTTCAGCTCTGCCTATAATAGCAAATATCAATATTAATTCCCAAGAACAAGCTGATCTGTACATATTTTCCACATGAGCTCTGTAAACACTGTTTTAAAACTCTGAAGTTGAAATCAATTTCCTGAAAACGAAGAAGGAGAATTGGCTACAGATGTATATCTGAATTTTCATTACAATTAAACTGGTGACAACGCATTCTCTGTACTTATTGAGCATACGTCCCCTTGAGGTGGCACTGCTGTGCCTCTTGATATTATGACGAAAGTTATAGTAGGCAAGATGTCTAAAGTGTTGCATATTCATTGCTTTGACATTAAGAAATCTTCCTGTCTCCTGTATTCAATGAACCAATATGTTAACAAATATTTGAGTATCATTTGAGATGTGGTGATTTGAGATGCCAAAAATAGGAGACATACAAATGCAAAGCACAAATACAGATACAAATAGAAAAATCTGGAATACAAAATAAAACTAGTGTTCTGTCCTTTAGTACTACTTAACTTAGATATAGAAAATTGTCAAATGGTAAGGTAAAGTAAAAGTGAACAGTTCTCGTTTTGCAGTTTCCATTCTTGCTCAATATATAGAGTAGGGAGAGCATCACTTGGGGCTCATGGGTGCTTGATGGAAAATGGAAAAGCACAGAGGAGTTGGTGGCAAGGTGAGCATCAGCTATTCATGAGTGGCTCCCTGCTAGCCCAGGTCATTTCTTGAGAGTAGAGATGAAATGCACACCAAGTGTCACCTTGTCGAGTACCGAATACACATGTGGAGACCAGGAACTTTCTAACCTGTCCTCCCATTAAGTGTCATATGAGCGGGCATTCTTCTCTTTGGTAGTTTAATCATGACCTCTGGATTTTGCTTTGGTCAGTGGCTACTTAAACCAATACCTGTGGTCCAAAGGTGGACTCTCTTAAGCAATATAGTGCATGATATTTGGATAATTGTAGAAAATATCTTTTAAAAAGAAAAAAAAAACTGACTTAATGTTCAAAGCTTATAGCTGAACTTAACCCAAAGATATTTGTAAAGGGATCCTTCCATTTATCAATCAATTAATGCTACCATTTATTACATTAAACATCAGAAATAGTTTTGTGGTGCCATATTCATAGTTGAGATACAGAAAAGGGTAAGCTAAATTTTGCTATTGAAGAGCTGCATTTCTAAACTTTTAAGGTAAATGACTGAAATGGGAAGAAATTAATTTGGTTAATTTCAATCTATGTTATCAAATAAAATTACTATTCATATATTGTTTTATAGCATAGGGCATGTTTTAAATATTCTCCTTAGGTTTTTTTTTTTTTTTTTAAGATTTATTTATTTATTTATACAAACACTGGGTATAGTCAGAAGCGCGAGAGGGTGAGAGAATTCACCAGAGCCAGAGTGGGAAACAGAACAGGCAGACTGATGAAGTACACTGCTGAGGGGAGCAGTGAGCATGGCAGGAGAGGTCTGCGTGCCATGTGGGACCCTGCCCCGCAGCCGGGGATCCAACCAGCGCTGCAGAGGCTTTGGGCAGCTTCGTAGTCCAGTGCTCAACTGCTGCACCACCGGGGAGGCCCTCTCCTTAGGTTTTAAACATAAAAATATATATAACTTTTCAAGCTAGCATTTAAAAATGATTAGGAAAACTACACTGTTTTCTGTTTTTCTAGGTGAGCAACCAAATGGAGTTTTAAAATATTCATACAAGGGCTAAGCTCACAGTTTGAACATAAATGTCTGCACCATACTTAGATTTGGTAAGAGTAGAGAGAAAATTATATTCATGAGAAGCTGAACAATGTCACATTTACAATGAATGGCATGCAAATGTAAATCCACCTTATAGAAATCAGATATTGATAAATTACTGTGAGGAACTGAAGAATATTGTTGTGAGGCTATACAAATTCATTAGCCGTTAAACCATAGCTTAATGACTTGTAAATCGCTTACTTGGTAAATAAATTTAGAAATCAGGAAATCTATATTCTCCTTAATTTAGAGAACTGAATTCTTTAATTATGATTTAGTTTGGTAAAGTCTATTTTATATAATTGGTATTTGAGATAGTGGCTTCAGCTAACTTTGCTATACTGATATATTACATCAAAGATTAATTCATTTTAAGGAGCATAATTTGATTTCTTAGATAACTAACCATGAATAAGATATTATTCTATATCCAGGATTCTGACGTAAGCAGAATTGATCTTGACTCCTCTGACATTTCTGATAACTAGCTAATAATACTTTCTTGTCACAGAATTTGAGATTTGAAGGAATTCTTAGAAATAGCCTATAATAGCATTTTCTAAAATTTGTTGTATAGAAAACTTGTCCTATAGGAGGACATTAACCAGTACACTGTGAGGGCTAAAACCAAACTTTGCAATGCCAAATAGTTTTAGAAATTCTAGGTTTACATACCAATGGAGTTTCATTATTGCAGCCCATCCTGATGTCTTAATATGTCAATATGCTTGACAATCTCCCAGTGAGAGGGAAGTGTAGAGTATGCAGCACCTTGCCAATCATTCTGTCAGTGAGTCCTTGTTTAGCAAAATATCTTATAGGACTGGTGTTCTGTGGAACCCACTTTGGGAAACACCTACACCACCAGACCTTGAGGACTTTCTTGAGGGTTCATCCCCTGGACCCTCACAAACATGTGCAAGCTTTGCTTATGGGCTTCCTGGCCAAGCAGCTCAATTGTCTCAAAAGTATGTTGTTTGAGGATGGTTCTAATCAAAAGGCTCTTTCTTCATGTATTAAACTGAAACCTACTCGTCTTCCGTAATTTCCATCTTTGGTTTTTATAGGATCCTATTGATTAGACCCTTTCCTGTTCTATGTGGCAAGTCTTCCACTCTCTAAACTTGTTGAGGATGAAGCAATGGTTAGGGCGACCAGCTCTGGAGTTAGATGTCTTCACTACAAACCCAGGTCCTCCTACTTTGTGGGCACTGGGAAAATGATTTCACCTGTGTTTGTCTCCGTTTCTTCATTTGTGAAATAAGGAACATAACAGAATTTACAGCATTGTTGTACAGATTTCATGTATCCTACATAAATGTTCTTAGAATAGAACCTGACACACAAAGAATAAGAACTTAATAAATAATAATTTCTCTTTGCTGTCCTTTCTTTTATCTCCTTTTCTCCTAGTTCGTATTAGATGTGATTTCTGTTTCTCAAGGACAGAGCCTTAAAACTAGATATTACAGAGAACTTTGTCATTTTCAAAAGAGTCATGTGTTGCAAGGATTAAAGAGACTGAGTCACAAAAATTCTCTATTCCCTTTGCCTTTACTCAGATTTTAGTTGTTTCTGCCAGAAGCTTTTGACACACCTTTCCCTACAGCCAATCTCTGCTTGTCCAAACTCATGTCCTAGATGCTCCCAAGGCTGGCTCTGGGGGTCTCATTTCAAACCTTTGCACAACCCAGGCCTTGGAGCTCCTTCCCACAGCCCAGAACTAGTAATCAGTGAGGCTGCTCCTGGCTCTCAGTTTCTACTGACTGTTCAGGCCTCCCATGGGCCAACACTGTGGGCCCCTGCACTCCCATGGGCCCTTGCACTGAGCACCTGTCCCTTTAAATGCCGGAAGCGCTAGTATTCAGGTTCATTTGTTGAGAAGTGTTTGCTAGACACCTTTAATACACTAGCGCCGGCATCTGTCAGCTAAATATTCTCACTGCCTGCCATATCTTCTCACGTAAGTTTCTCAGTGGGAGTGCAAAGACATACCCTCCCCTTTCTCTACGCTCACTGATTCTCTTAGGAAAAAATTCTCAGAGAAGCATAGCTTAACCAGCGCCCGCCTTCACATCTCTCCCAGCTTAACTATGCTTTAGATAGTCTTCCACACTCTAGTTGTGGGTCTGCTACTCCTAGGCAGCCTATCCGCCAACCATTTTGTCACCTAAACAAGGTCAAAGTGGTCCGGCCAGTTAGGAACAGGAGCCAAACCCTTAAGCCCTTCAGATCAAACAAGAGCACAAAGCTGGATCACACTGGGAAGGTTATACATTACAAGGTGTGTCCAGAACGCCTGGGGGCCTGAGGACTGATGCATAACATATACTCCTGATTTATACATCATGAGGTATGACCGGGAATGCCCGGGGGGCTGAGGATGTATGACAAGGGACCCCAGAAGCTGATCAGTGGAGCACCTTGTTGATAAAATTAGAACCATGGCTGGGGATTAGGGTGTATCATCAAGTAGATTAGAAGTGCCTGGAGGGCAGACTCACAATCCCTAATCTTCTACACCTTTCCCCTTGCTTTCATCTCTTTAATCTCCTTACAATCAATTACATGTGTCAATAAAAGGGCCAGGATCTTGCTCTTCAGCAGCATCCTGCATCATGTAGCCTGCTCCATGACTCCTGTTTGTCAGTGTGGTTGTCCGATGCAACGCTAGTTTCCTGGCCTCCCTTTTTTAGAGCATATACTTTAGAAAACTTGTCACTGTAAATCCCTTCTCTGTCCCTTTGAGAAGTGAATCTTTTGAAAAACCACTTGCCAGTTTTAGAACTCAGAACAGTCTTTCACAAGGACCTGGGCACTATATCTTTGAAATGTTTGCAGCAAGAGAAGGAGCCCCACCTTGTTCTCTGGGAGGGGAGGAGCCTAACTCAGGTGGATGCCTTACTCTGAGAAGTAAACTACCTCTGCCAGGAAGACAAGAGAAGGCCAATTAGCAAACACTGCAGATCATAACCCCCAGCTCAGCCCAACTCTTAAAATCTCTCCAGCCCTATTCTTGACCCAGCTGGGTATCTAGAATTAGTCTGTGTTCTCTTCCCTATTGCTGGCAATAGTCTTAGAATAAAATCAACATCTGTCATTTAATCTTGACCACCGCAATTTTTTATTCAACAGGATGCAAATACAGACACTGGGTCTGCTGTCATCACCAAGCTCTGGGCCACTTGGAAGCAACTGCTGAGGGTTGCTTGGGACACCCCCAGTTCTACTTTGGCTTGATGTCAAAATAACTCATTTTGGCCAACTTCTTCTGCAAGTTGGAGCTCAGGCAAGGCAGAGAGCTATGAGCAAATTGAGCATGGAGCCAGGCCTGATATTCCCATAGGCATTGGGGCTGGAGTGACTTGGCTGTGGAGGAAAGTGTGTGTGTCACCTTGACCTGCTGGTCTTACCTGCATCAATGTGAAGAAATGGTTCATTGTTATTCCAATCAAGTCCTGCAACCAGCTCCCATTAATGATGTCCAGACGCTCTTGCTCTGCCTCTTCCTTCCGGGCATCACAGATGTCCCAAAGGCGGTCTCGTAAGTCCTGAACAGAAAGAAACTTTGCTATTATGCATTAGAATCAGGGCTAAAATCACCACAGTGTACGAAAACCAAAATCCTTTGCCTGTCTTAAAAGTGTCCCTAATGATATCCAAGTCACCAGAATGCTGTCACTTAATTTCAATAGTATCCCAGTTGGTTTATCAGCAGGTCAGTCTGCCGGCTGCTTTTCTCCTCTATGGACTCAAGCACAGAAGCCACGGCTTCGACTCTCATCCAAATCAATACCAATATCTTAACGATGACCTCCCAAGGATCATCTGGTCCTCTTAGGACCTTGCTCACTTCATCACCAACCACTCTGGCCCATGCTCACACTGCTCCAGCCACACCTTGCTGTTCTTCAAGCACACCTAGCTCCCTCCACCTTTGGTACCTTCATGTTTACTTTCCCTTGTGGCTGACACACTCTTTCCCCAAATATCTAAATGATTCACTTTTGGGATTTTGATTAAATGTCCCCTTTTCAATAAGCATCTTTGAGGAAATATTATATCAATGTTCCTTTTCTCTCTGCCCTGTTTTCTTGTTCTTCACATAGCTCTTATTCACAATGATGTGCTCCCAGTATATTTATTTACTTTTGCTTACTCTTCTGTTCACCAAATGCAAACATTTACAGGATATTGCTTCACTGTTGACTCCTGAGCCCCTTGAGTAACACTAAGGCCATGATGGAGATTCAGTAAATATTTAGAGACAGATAGATGCGTCATGGGATAGCGTTCAGCATTGCTTGAGTTGTACACGCAAATATTATCAGGTTTAACTATTGGAAGCCTATAAGAAGGTATTGGCAATGAAAAGAACTCCTCTGCCAGGATAGCGGATCTTAAATTTACACAGGAAAGACAGAGGGTAAGAGACTGAAATCAGGATTCTTAAACATCAGAGGCCCTTTCCTAAAGCATTGGGGTAATACACTCCAATCTGCTCATCTGCCAAGTGTCAGGTGTTGTGTTGGCGGGAGATACAAAGATCTATAAATAGCTGGTCTTCTATCTCAAAGCATCTGTTTAATAGAGGCCACCTTGGATTTTGCATGAAATTCTCTATTTTCCCTTCTCCTGATATCAACCAACTGAAGAACTGAATTCAGGTAGTCGTGTGCTTAACACCAGACACAGACACAGTCACATGGTCCAACAGAGGGGTGAGGAGTCTACAAAACTGATGCCAAGGACATTCTCGCACTACTGGTTTTAACTTTCTTTCTGGAAGTGTTGGTCACTATTTTCTCATTCTGAACTTGAAGCCTTGAAAAGCCATCACTCCTGAAACTGGCCATTAAGGTTCAAACCATTTCCCTCCTTATCCTCACACCTTGTGCAAATAAGGAGGAAATCAGTGAGGGTTTTGCTTTTTAAGATGGGAGTGCAGAGTCCCTTGCCCCACTGAAGATGGGGTCTCTTACATTCACTCTTTGGTGTAGCTCAGCCTTTGTTTCCTCATCATCCCACAGGTCATCAGGAAGAGTGTTGAAATCTGCCTGCCATTGAGACACGAAATCTTGCTTATGATCAGGACGCCTCAGAAACTGTTGGAAACTTGTTCTGTAAGGCAGTAAGGGAACAGGGTGGAGCTTCCATGTCTTGCCTGTGAGCTAGAAAACGCTAACTTTGGAGAACTGACTTACCTGATCTCATTCAAGTGAGTGATCACGATATGCTGGTTTTCTCTCAGATGCCTGAGTGCACTTTTGATGGTGTTTATGTAAGATTTTTCAATTAAATCCCAATAAGATACTAAATATGAAGGTATTTCCTGTTAAAAAGCAAAGCATAAGAATCACTATTTCAAGATGAAAATTCTTCTGAATAAGTGAGTTCAAAGAGTGATACTGAACAAGAAAATCAAAATGCAACTGCAATTATTTAATCATCAGAGGCCTTTTTCTAAAGCATTGGGGTGATATACTCCATTTATGAACTTACAAAAATCTGTAAAACTTCTTTGTTTGAAACTTCTTACCTCTCCTTTCTCTCCACTCCTCTTAGATTTTCTATTCTGAACAATTCTTTATACTTCGGCTCAGACTTCATTTCTTCCAGAAATCCTTCCTTGATCCTAAGTCTACGAATCAGCCTCTAAGGTTCTGTGGCTCTACCTTAGCACCCTTACTTCTCCCCTGATAGTGTCAATGATGTTCACTATAATTGCTCATTTATTTGTCTGTTATCTCTAGAATATCAGTCTCATAAGCCAGGAGCAATGATTGTCTCGTTCACTATCATACAGCTTTTATTTTAATTACCATAGTATCTGGGACATGGTCAGTGCTCAAGAAATATCTGAGTGGATACATTGAATTGCCACAGATAGCACATGTTGCCTACATTGGAAAACTGCCTAATATGGAGAATACCTAGTGTTCACGTTAGGGTGATGATGACTTATTTCCCTGAACTCACCCAAGAAATTTAGTCTTGTGTGCCCCATGGAAATGAAAACATTTCTTTTTATCTTATCTTTCATGATGGCAATAAGCAATCTATACCATAAATAATTCAAATGAAGTCAAAGTGAAGATATAGATTATATTCAATGTAAAGTTGCTGTGCTAAGCATTTCCTTATTGGCTGTGCATTTAATCAGGGCATCACACATGGTATGAGGTCATTTGGGTTAATTTCCTTTCTAGCAGAGAAAAGCAGAATATTTGGGATAGATTATCCGAACTTTTGGTTCGGATGCTTTAAGCACAACATTTTCAGACAGTTCCCTCTAATGTCATGCAACTCATGTTACTGGAAAATTCTTTCTTGTCTTGATCAGAAATTTACCTTCCTGTTGTTTCTTCTTATCAGCTCTAGTTGTGCCCTTTCTTGAAGGACACATTTTTATGTGTCCTGTCTTCCTTATGGGAAGACAAATATTTGAAGACAGGTATATTAGTGAAGAGTGTTAGACTGGGATTCAGGATGAAACTTGCTTGTTTTTGTGTTCCCAGCATCTATAACAGTATTCACACAGCAAGTGTTCAATATATGTTAGTATAAAATAAGTAGGCTCCCCAGAACCCAATTTTATCATCAGTTTAATTTTTAGAAGACTGGATGATTCCATCTAGTTCTAAAAGTCTATGCTTCTTTGTCTAATCACATGTCAAGTATTCTTTAACCTAAATTAGACAAAAGTAAGTTTAAAAAATATGCTTTCTACTTTGTTTGGTTTCTACTTTGTCAAGATCTCTCTTTGAAGCTGTGATATATCCAGAGTAGTGCTAAAGGACATTTTTAAATAAACCTATCACCAAACCTTCCTCCCTGGTTGGCTTTCATCCATTTAAGCACACTCTGGACTTAACTGAAATAACATCCTGCTCTCATTTATCTACAAGAACTTCATGGAAAATTGTCAAATACCATTTTGAAGTCAAGAGGTACTTTGTTGATCCACCTCTCTCCTAACTTGCTATGGAGGAAAAGGAGCAGTTCAGTTCAGCAGGACTTAGTGTGTGAGCCCAATGGCACTCTGGGTGATCATTTTTGTGAATGTTTTTAAGTCATGTATTCAATAATTTTCTCTCAATTTTGCCAGGTCTTATTGCATAGATTATTGGCCTGTATGTTACTAAATCTCATCCGTCTTTTATTAAATATTTAGGCATTTGTCTCCATCTGGTCTTCCAGAATCTCCCTTACCCACTGTGATTTCTATGAGTCATTGATACTGTCCTGTTTATAGGTTCTTCCAGTCTCTGGTGTGTAATTTTTCCAGGGCACTTGAATTTATGTGATGTGACTAGATGTTTAGATCTATTGTCTCCAATTAAATAGTCTTTTCTTCATTGGAGAAGTCTGTTTAGAAAGGAATTCTGTAGCCAAAGCTGATATTCTCCAAATCTTTTGGAAACTGGAAAGGAAAGCCCTCTTTACTTTGACTGACCTCTCTGGTTCTCTCTGCACCTTGCCTTGTGGTTGGTTAAACTTGGCTGCTGCTTCTACCCCAGAAAGCTAGATATGGAAGCAATCTCTTCTCTCTCTTTCCCCCAGCCCCTTTCTTCACTCATGTGCCCATTAGGTAAAGTATTGATAGATCTGAGGTCTTTGGAGAATCTGAAACTAGATTACTACCAGATAAATATAGGATGCCCAGTTAAATGAATTGATTATCTGAAACTCATATTTCACTGTGTCTTCCCTCTTCCAAGAGTATGCAGCTCGTGTCTGGAAGCCTAGAGTAGGGAAAAGGAATAGTGAGAATCCCGTGACTTGCTTTGATTCCAGGCTCCAGGCTATGTTTAGTTGTAGTGAAAGGTTTTCTCTAAATGGTTTTGCTTAGTATTGTGTTTGATACTGTTTTGAATATAGTGAGTTATTCCACATTCTGCCCTCCCCCAGATGTTTATAATTTAATTGGGGGAGATAAGACATTTCCCTAGGAAAGTTCAGTAATGACTACAGCAAGACCACAATCACTGCCATTCATGACTAGGTCTCAAATATCTGACACAGGTGGTCAGTGCTAAGAGTCCACTAGAGTAAGAAATCACAGAGGATTACATTAAAGAAGACAGGGACAGTGTCTTTTTAAAAACGCTTTGTCTTTTTAAGTGTTTCAAAGAAAAGGACATTCAGTGCTATTTTCCCAGGATGACTTATCTGTTAAAGCAACTGAAATTGTCTAGGTAGTAACGGGGTTGTTTGCAAATAAGGGGCTTTGGAGCTCTTGGGGCTTGCCTGGGCATCCCTTATCTGACACTGGTGTCCCAATTAAAGCTCTCAGGCTGGATAACTATCACTTTCTTTTTTGGTTTAGTTACTCTCAAATTTGGTCTCCTGTTTCTAAAACGTCGGAGGTCAAACTTTATTTAAAAGCATTATGATGTGGGTATGAGAATATGGATGTGGGCTCTAATTTGCTGGATATGTGTTCTGGGGAAGTCATTCTTCCAGGAAACTGCTTCTATCACTGCTTGTCCTTGGGAGAAAATGGGTCCTCACCATTGTTCCCCTGATTTCAGCACTCAACTGCAGTTCAACGCATGACTCAGAATCTTGAGGGAGTTGAGAAAGGATGAGACAGGGGTTCAATGAGTAGTGTCAAAAAAAATCACCTCAGGGCCTCGCCGGTGGTGCAGCAGTTGAGCACTGGGCTGCGAAGCTGCCCTCACCCTCTGCAGCGCTGGTTCGATCCCCAGCTGCCAGGCGAGGGTCCTACATGGAGCGCAGACCTCTCCTGCTGTGCCTGCTGCTCCCCTCAGCAGTGTGTTTCGTCAGTCTGCCTGTTCTGATCCCTGCTCTGGCTCTGGTGAATTCTCTCACCCTCCCATGATTGTATGAATAAATAAATAAATCTTTAAAAAAAATCACCTCAGCTTTTTGATGAGTACAATTACCATGTAGGACAGGCCTTCCAGATGGTACAAAAATGGTGTGAATCTTACTATAAACAGGAGAAAGAATAGATTGTACTGGTTTGAGTCTACACTGCCATACCTCAGGAATTGGCTCATCCACAAAGACCCATTCTTCGGATCCTGGCTTGGGTGGCGGGGCCACTACCGGAGTAGGTGAGGTATCTGTAGATTCCCCAGGCAATTTCTTTACTGCTGCCTTCCCTCCGGGTGATTTTCCTTTAGGAGAACCTTAAACATGCACATTAAATCATTCCATTACAAGCAGATGAATGGGACCAGATTCTGTAGAACAAATGAATCTATAATTGCCATGGATTTCAGACAATTCATTAACTACTTTTTGAGTACTTTTGGACAATCTCACCAAATCCACAATCAAATACCTCATTCTCTACAGCCCCCCAAATTAACCAATAATCGCAGTAACTCAGTAAGTTTTTAAAAAGCGGTCCAACTTTTCTTGTCCAATTGGCTATGAAAAGCAATATGGCATTTTATTATCCTCTCTGTCCTCGCTTCCACAAGGAACATGTGGTTCTTATAAAGTTTAGATTCTTGAGCAATATGTATTTCATTTATTACTGCAAAAACTGGCAACTGAAATCTTTTTTACCCTGTGTGAGAAGGAGGGTACATAATGTGAGAGATGTTCTTGGTGTTCCTTGAAGTCCAGGGATGAACAGTCGCCGGAGGTTATTGCAAGAGTTGTGAGGGAGCTGGAGGGGCGGGAGCATTGTCACTCCTACAAATTCTTACATTCCCTGCATGAAACATGGAGTTTCTGAGCAGAGAAACTGTGTATTTCTCCCTATAGCCAGGAAGTATGGAAGAAGGTAATTGATGAGACTTAAGCTTGGCAGAATTAAGGGGGTGATAGAACAGGGGGAATGGGAGAGGGAAAAAGATAGGGGAGAGGTAGGGGGAAGGTTGGAGGAGAAGAGACAAGAAAGGGGCCTAAAGTTCAGCTCAAACCCCAGAAAGGGCAAATGTTTCACTTTTCTTGGGAGCATCAAGAGGGGAATCTCGAACAATGAAGTGACATTCTTCTGGCCTAACAGACCTGGTGACTGAACCAGAGAACACCAATATTTTGATAAAGTTTACTGTAGTTTAGAAATTCATTCAGTTCATATTCCGCTTACCTTCAGATTAATTATTGAGATTTTTGATGTAGTTTATAGAGGTCTACAGGAATGGGAACACTTTCTTCAAAATATATTTTTAGTGAGTCTTATTTAGTGATAATATTATTTAGAAAAGTCAGTTCATTTTCTAATTTTATGCTAATTAAAAATATATGGGGGCTTCCCCAGTGGTGCAGTGGGTTGAGCACAGCGCTGTGGAGCTGTCTGCAGCCTCTGCAGCGCCAGTTTGATTCCTGGCCAGCCAGGGAGATTCCCACATGGCGTGGCAGACCTCTCCTGCCTCGCCTGCTGCTCCCCTCAGCAGTGCTTTCAGTCAGTCTGCCTGTTCTGCTCCCCGCTCTGTCTCTGGTGAATCCTCTCACCCTCTTGCACCTCTGATCTGTACCCCAGCTCTTATATAAATAAATCTTAAAAAAATTATGTATTATAATAAGTAGAGAGGAAATTGTCACTTATGACTTGTGCTCAATTTGGGTCAATTATTATATATTTAAAAATAGTACCCATTGTCCACAGGTGTGAAGTATGTAGATTTTTTTTTTAATTTAGAAAAAAATATTTAAGAAAGCCTTTGTTTAAGCAATAATGCAAAATGTTCAATTTTGATGCATTTTTCTCTTGGTGATTTTTCATCCTTTGACTTGAATTTTTCGTGAAATAAAAGTGATAATACCATGGCCTTTTGAAAATGAATTTGATGAATATTTCTAAGTAGTTCCAAGAAGAATAATGTTGCGATAATAAATGCAAGACTGGGATGATTTTTATTTATTTTTTTCTTTTCTCAAATAATGATCATTCAGTAAGAATGATCAGGGAGTCAAGATAAACAAGTCAGGGAATATTTTGGAGCATTGTGCTTTGATTCCATTTAACTTTTATCTAATTTTAACACTGAAAATGCTAAGAAGCCATGATCTGAAAGAAAAAATTTACATGTTACACAGGTTGGAAGCAGATGCCACATTTGAACAAACTCTTTACCACCATCTGGAGTCTGGCAGGGGGCATTGTCTTTTTTAAGAAAAAGGGCTTCCTTTTTTAAGAACCACTCCTCAAAGCATACAACAACTTCCATTTCTAATAGGACATTTGCCTTTGGTTGAAAGTGTGGTCATTTATTGTGTCATTCTTCATGGATGAAGGTTTGGAGTATTCTAGGCTTAGAACATGGTAAAGGTAGATTTTAGCAATTTTTTTTTTTTAGTTATAAAACCTCACAGAAGCCCATGGAGCTAGAAGTGGTACAAATGAAAAAATAAGGTGAAAGGAAAAATACAAGTATAGGACACATGATTCATTTAATTGTGTTATCGGTAGAAGATGATCAATTAAACTCAAAATGACAGAGCAACACTTTGAGTAAAATAAGTAACAAAGTGCACAGTAAAGGTAAGAATAAACATCACTGGCTGATGACAGGACATTAAGAAAATTAGAGCATGTTCAGGTCAGCACTGCACAGGGAGAGGAAGGGATTGTAGTGACAAAGAGAGATAAGGAAAGTCTGATAATCTGATTTACTGTTTTTTTTTTTTTTTTTTTTAAGAGAGGCATCATTATCTTTTAGTCCCAAAATATTTCCCAGTAAGATGTAATTTAGGGCCTCCCCGGTGGCGCAGCGGTTGAGCGCTGGGTTGCGAAGCTGCCCGCGGCCTCTGCAGCGCCGGTTCGATTCCCGGCTGCTCCCCGGCCACCGGAGGAGGGTCCCACATGGCGCGCAGACCTCTCCTGCCGCCCGCTGCTCCCCTCAGCAGTGTACTTCGGTCCTTCTGCCTGTTCTGCTCCCTGCTCTGGTGAATCCTCTCACCCTCCCGCGCTTCTGACTGTCCCCAGTGCATGTATAAGCAAAACAAACGAACAAATAAATAAATAAATAAATAAAACATGCCTCTATAAAAAGAAAAAAAAAATTAAAAAAAAAAAAGATGTAATTTAATTAACAGCTTCATTAAGTAGAAGCCAGACTCCAGACTGGTTATCAGTGGCAGATTTCTATCTTGGGTTGGGCCATGTTCGCTAAAAATAAAGAAAAAAGAAAAAAAAAAAACACTTCTTAACAGATAGTGCTGGTAGCTGTCTGAGCTGTCAGCAGTGGCCACCAAAGAGGAGAATCAGGATATCTCAGCAACCTAAGATAAAATGAAAATTTTAGTTCTGAAGTCACATGGCAAGAAAGAGAAGGGTTTCAGTGTTAACTAAGGAGTCAGAGCTGAAACACGACAGACTTGCAGATGTGACTGCATACTATCCTTTCTGTAATATCTCAGAGGGTAAAAATCTGTCTTCAAAATGAATTCTAGAAAAGCTTAGGTTTTTATTTTCCTTGTAGAACTGGTATATCTCCTCTTTCTGAAACTGTTGACTAAAGTAACTGATGATGCTTCCTTCTTTGCCTTAGTTATCTGATTCTTCTGAGTTTTATGAGTCACAACAATAATCATTATGTACTCTAGTTGGAATACCAACTCAATTAGGGATTTGGCTTTTTTATTTCTATTACAACTGCATAGTTACATACTTTATGTATACATATTTTTTTACAACCCAACTATAAGGGGTATGTTATATAGACTATGTTAGCAACAATTGACTATTTCTGGTATTCCAATGGCTATAATGAAACAATAAGTCTTGGGCTCCAACATATTGCATTTCCAACTTCAGTAATCATCAGAATCCCCTAAATGACTTGTTAAAAAAATTTCTGGGTACCCTTAGGAATTACAGATTCGGTGCCTCTGGATTGGGGCTAGGTAATAGTATTTCTAAGATGTTGCCCAGGTGATGTGGCTGCTGCTGGTTGAGAGACCATATTTTAAGAGCAACTGGTCTAGTAGATGCATCTAGATACTTCAATTTCATTTCACTTCTACATTTTCCTCTGTTTTTCCATGTCTTTTCAATTAAATGCCATTGATATTTATACCATTGACATTACATTTATTGCTAAGTGGCCTGGTAGTCCCTATAATTATAAATGAAGTCAGAAGGCAAGCACTGGATTACTGACACTACTACATGGACAAAGCTGTGGAACTAAGGATGACATTATTTCTAAATGTTTGTTCCACAGAACTCTAGTCCCGATGGATAGTGCTCCCAAGACAGAATTCTGTATCTGAAACAATCTGGAATATTACATATTATACCTCCCACTCTATTAGAAATATACACTGATATATTTTTGAAGTCCTATAGTTGAAACATTTTAATTTGGCACAACTTGACATTTATAGACTAAGCTGATTATGAAATTTTTCTTAATTTAGCCCTTAAATAACAGCTTCTAGGGAAGGCCAGAGGGTTGAAAGGCTGCTGTATTAGGAAGATATAAACTGGCAAATGGGTTAGAGAAAATAAATGTTTTAGGATCAAAAGGTACAATTGCAAATGGCATACTAGGGTCAAGATTTGAAGGGGAAAAGGGTTAGGATTGATCTAATATGTAAAGAAGAATAGGAGTGAATCAAAGACACCAATAGCAAGAAATGCAAGTTTGAAAAAAGGGGAAAGAAGATGGACCTTCAAATTTAAAGAGACGCTTTAAATTACTTGGTACCATATGTCTTGTGAGGTAAAGAGATAATAAATCAATAGTGTCCATTCCAAGTGGCACTGGCTTCAAATATTAATAATCAAAACAAAAGAGAATAAAATATGAAAATGTAAAAATTGAAATCATGTAACTATCTTAATAAAGGAAATCCTGTTAAAAATACCAAAATGGCCAGCATTTCTATGTAACAGAAAGACTTTTAAATCTTGATTGGGAGGTCACCTATTTCAAATATTATTATATACAATAGAATTTCAGTAAAGTAAAAGCAAAAATTATTTGAGAATCCTTGGTGTTGCTCAAATTGAGCTGACTGCTTACTTCCAGGGTATGTATTGTATTTGTCTGGTTGAAGTGTGTATACTTTTAATGAAATATGTTCTTAGAGCTTGTGCATTATTATGTCTATCTTGATGGGTAGGTAGCTAATATGCAGAAATATATCCAGTTCCTTTTTTTGATGATTCCATGATGATCCTTCATTTGTTTTGTCAATCACAATGAGAAAGCAAGGAAGAATAACGTAGATATAGAAATTATTCTATTAGTAAACAGGTGAGAGCTAAGCTAAATTATAACCATCAACATTTTAGCTAAAATTTTTGTCTCAGTGCTAACTTGCCAAATGGCTCTAATTACATAAAGCCATCATGTCATAGCATCAGAGAAGAGTGAGATTCTCTTTGAGAATCATGGCTATGCATCTCCAAATGCCAAAAGTAAGTAGAACACAGAGAAACAAAACAAAGGAACAAGACCAGCCGAAAATAAACCCTAGAAATATGACTACAGAATTAAAGCTACAGAGGGATAGGGAGGAAGTTGGGGCAGAGGGTGCAGGGGGCCTAATGGTCTATGGTGGAGGACTGTGGGTACTTTGGTGGTGGGTGTGGTATGGTAACATACATCTGAGGAGGTGTGAACCTGCTCCCTTAAATCATGTGCCGTATTGTAAACCAGGGTTACCACAATAATAAAAATTTTTAAAAAAGAATTCTTTGCACATCATTTTCATAAACACTGCACACTCTTTGCCTGCAAATGCATTGGAAATTTTTAATAAAAAGTTATAAATTTCATGACAATGCTTTTTGAATGTATCCTGGAAAAAGTCAACTGTATCTAGCTATAATTGCATTTCAATCTTTAATTAACCGGTTGCTATAGCAGCTTTGACTTTAATACGCTTTTTGGAGGCAGGCATTTTCTTCTACCAAATATCAATTACTTTAAGAATTGTATCCCTCTTACTTCACATAAAATAGGAAAGAAAAAAAAATCAGAAGGAAATTAGGGTCAGGAAAAAATACAATTTAAACTAGAAGGTCAAAACTAGAAGAGAAATTAAAAGGCAGATATTAAAATCTAAGCCCCTTTACAGTATTAAATCTGAGCCTTTAATTTAATTTGGTTCTTAACTTCTGGACAGCTAAAATAGAAAAGGAAATGCCATCATCTAGAAGTACTGATTATCTACCACCCAAAGTTTCCTGCCCCTTGATTGTGAATAAAATTCGCTGCCTAGGACTTTATGTAGGGGACACTGATGCAGCTGTATACTGTCCCTTTGAAAAATATAATGGGGCCTCCCTGGTGGTGCAGGCAGTTGAATGCCACACTGTGAAGCCGCCCACAGCCTCCGCAGTGCAGGTTTGATTCGGCAGGCCAGCGAGAATCCCACATGGCATGGCAGACCTCTCCTGTAGCGCCCACTGCTCCCCTCAGCAGTGTATTTCATCAGCCTGCCTGTTCTGTTCCCCGCTCTGTCTCTGGTGGATCCTTTCACCCTCCTGGGCATCTGGCCTGTACCCCAGTTCTAGTATAAATAAATAAATCTTTAAAAAAAAAAAAGAAGAATACAATGGAAGTTTCACCTCCACTGATGTGTTATGTTGTAGGGGAAATTGAGGACTTTATCTCAAAGTGCTTAATGCTTTAAAGCTGTTCCTGGCAGGGTAGGAGCCCAAGAAATATGGTTCAGAATGTAGTTTATAGTTTCTTGGTATAGCTTGACCCAAGAATAACACCTATACTATCTAGGACAGGTGGATCTTCTGTATATTAGATATGTTCTAAATTACCCCCAAGTATCTCTTTTCTCAGCAGCACCTTTCCTAAAAGCCAAGCTGCAGAAAGATTGAGGTTTTATATTTTTTGGCCAGGGCTATGGCTTACAAATGCCTGAGAGAAGTATTCCATGAATACCGCCACACAGATCTAACTATTTTCACTGGACAGTTATAAAATGAAGAATTACATTTCATTGTATTGATCTTTATCTGCAGTACCTTTTCTTTTGAGTGAAGTGTCACCTTTCTTCCCTTTTCCTTCCTGAGAAGATTCTTGCTTAGCAAGCAGGGATTCTAAACAAAATTCAACACATAAATATCATTGATGATTTTCTTCTGTAACTTGGGTTGTATAACTTGCAAGGAATCCAAGGCTATTTCTCATGCATGAACGGTTACATTTGCCAACCATGTAAAATGGCTAAGGCCTTTACTCTGTGTTACAATTAATCTGAAGATAGATTATGGATCAAAACTTCTAGAGTAACAGCTAGGATAGCACTATTTTATTTTGTCACACAGACACCTATAGCCCTAAATTTAATAGAAAATTTTGGCAAGATTTCATTATATACTCTTTATTGCAACTTAGTTGCAGAGTTTTAAGTTAGTCACAAATGCATTGGAAGCACATGGCTCTATTTGGTTTTACTTCAACTGGAATGATCCTTGTACATGAAGACACTGGTTTCTGTAACAAGAATGATGCCAAAACACTTTGAAGCTAAGTAACCTTATTGCTTGAATATGGTGCATCTCAGAACATCTCTTGACCTACACCTGGTTGTCCAACGACCTCTACATTTCCATTTTGCATTGACCACAACCTGTAAATGCTATTCAGGATATTTATCTGGATTCCTTGGAATCTAGTTCAAAAATATAACAGAAGGGTAAAATGGGAAACTGATATAAGATGTCCCAAACAATAAATTGGTCCCTTAAAAAATTCAATTCACTCATCAAGCTCAACCTGTTTCTTCCCTTTGTTCTGAGCTACAGAATCTTTTGTTCATTGAAAAATTGGGGCAATTTAAATGCTTATAATGGAGAAACCCCATCTGACCTATTCTTTGTTTTTACAAGTATACTTGTAAGTACGTCTAAATATAAAGCACATACCCTTATATTTAAACATCTCAACTCCAACAACCAATACTCCATAAAAATAAAACATAAAGGAGTATTAACTTTGAAACTTAGTTAATGTCTATAAAAGGGTTTTAAACTTCCAAAGTTGACTACTAAACTCAAAATGAACAAATAAACAAGATCCAAACATTTGAATTAGTTGCTTTTTAAGAATTAAGCTTAATAATAATAAAATTTTAATAGCTTAAATATAGACTCTAGTTCCTTTAATAAAAATCTCTGGTTATCCAACTATCTAACTAGGTTGGAATGTTAGCACAAGGCAACAGAGATTAGAAGGTAAAAGCAGAAACCAAACACACAGAATTTATAAAGTACTATGGGTACTTTCTTCTGGTTAATTTCTTTTGGGGATAGCATGTAAGCACCCATTTTTTAAAAATCAGTTTCTGAAATCTCAGAAAGCATTCTTAAGTAGCAACTTAGATAGTATAGTTGTATTTCATCACCCTGGGAACTTTGATTTTAAATTAAATTCTGACCTTTGGTAGTAGATTTGATAATAAAACCTTTCAGGGAACATACTGTGAAGTTATCCAAATTTAATCAGAAGTACATTTGAAACAGACATAAAATGGAGAACCACGACAACACAGAACTATATTTGGACAAAATGACTGTTAGTACTTAGTGTACCTTCTTCTTTATCCCATTTCTACTCAAATTTTTCTTTTTCTTTTTTTAAGTAAGTAATTCCTTTTTTTCTTTCATCTCAATTTCTAAAGAAGATTGTAATTGAATATTTGGGGATGTCCAGAGCCCAAGACTTTCAGTTCTAAAAATATTCTTTTTTGAAACAATTTGTGAATTACTTAGAGAGAAATAAACGGACCTGCTGGAAAAGGCCCTCCCTACAGTCTCCTGATCAGCATCTCTGAGCTGTAGGGGCTGGGGGCACTGCCCTGCTACCCTATGGAGGCCCACAAGCACTGAGCTCTCCTCATGAAGGTACTGGGGTTGGAAGGCAGCAATTAGACCTCTGGAGATGAATCAACCCTTCAACACATTCCTAAAGATCAGGCACTAGTCCTGCCTTTGTTGGAAAAAAGAGACAGGTACAACCACTCTTTGAAGCAACAATAGCTTTATTAGTCTTCCAATGCACAGGATTCAAGAATACAACTTTAAAATCGCAAACAAACTTCACAGATGTAAAGACTAGCCATGTCAAAATCAGAAGCAGCCTGGTTTCAGGGAATGGCTCAAACACAGACAGTCCTGCCTGGGAGCAGGAGGAGGGGATGAAGCAGAGGGAGCTGGCACAGGGGCGCAAGGCCTGCGTCCCATAGCTACAGGCTCACCTGAACCACTCTGAACACTCTCTTCCCCAGTTCTAAACAGCATTTCAAAGATTTCCAATTTTCCTCTAGATACCTGAATTGCTTATTTTCTCCTTTTAATTCTTCATAAGGTAGTGTGAAATGGTGTAAATTTTACTCATGGTTTTGTGTTTATTGTTAACAGGATAAAAACATTTTTTAGTTTGAGTATTTTGCCTTTTGTTAAGCCCCATTTGACTGGGTGGAATAAAATGATCTTTAGTGTGCTGAAATATGCTACTATGGTCTTCAAATTTATTTGCATAATATAAATTTAATTTTAAAAGGTCTTATCTATCTCAAATCTCATTAGGCAGCAAGGTTATGGAGTTGAGCTATGCAATCATGACACAACATCAAGAGTACCTAGGAAGACCTGTGTAACTGCCTATCAACCACATATAAAGCTGAAACCAGAAGCTAGAGCCCCATTTATTTCCTATACACTGCACCAAACTGATAGCAACATTCTACCAATATTACGCATTACGACCACTGAGAACTTTACTTTGGCTACTATATTTATATCCACCACTGAGCATTAGACATGAGCCAAAAGTGGTTAAAGATCTAGAAAAAAATTAAGCTAAAACATTCTCTACACAAACTCCTTATCCATATGTATTATAGATTATAAAGATGTATGTTCACCCACATGTCAGGAGCTTGTTTAGATCCTTTTAGGATCACACAGTGCTGAAGATGAACATTAACATATAAATCCTGGTCTCTGAGGACTGCTTTTGGTTTATTCTTGTCAACAACTGACTATACTAGTTCTCATTTTCTTAACATGTTCTTATTCTTTATATAAACATACATAACCCCACGGTCCAGCAAGCAAGCCTCCGTCCTCTTGACCTGCTCTAAGTCCCTTCCAGTTATTCTCTGTGCCTTTCCTCTGCCCATCTGTGAGCTTATCTAAGCAGTAGACTTGGGCACGAGGACTCCTCCATCCCTGTACGCAGCACAGCACCTGAACTTGGAGACCAGCGTGTTCTGAGCTCTTAGCTTTTCTACTTCCACCTGATCAGAGAACTACTTCATATGCTCAAAGTCTGCCTCTAGATAAACGGGCTGTCACTATAATTTATAATTCTTGTCTAAGCCAAAATAAGGAACTAGCAAACAGGATATAAATTGTTCTGTCAATCACCTGATGTTTTTCTTTTCAGAGCAGGAGTCTTTGGACGCTCACGCTGAGACTGAGGAGGCATTTCCTTCTCTTTTTCGGGTTCAGAAGGTGGAGCAGGAGAAATAGCAGGTGGACCCTCAGCCTGGACAACTGCTTTTACCTCAGCTTCCTTTTCTTCTAATTTCTTTTTAACTTCAAGAGGATAAGAATAGACCTTATTAGGGAATGTAGACATCTACTATTTCACTTGAACTAACATAAGCCTAAGTTATATAACTTGCCTTTACTGATTTAAGGCTAAATTGATGTTTCAGGGAGCTCCCTTAAGCCAACCAGTCCTTAAAACTAAGATTCCAAGAGCTTCTGCTTGGTTAGACAGACTATTTCAACACCACCAGTGGTATCAGTGGTGGTGCTGGGTCTGGGGACTCTGTGTGTGTGTGTGTGTGTGTGTGTGTGTGTGTCAGGAAGAAAGGCTCCTAAAGGGGGTGCCAGATGTCAATGTAACTATCTACAAGTAGACAAGATAGTAGCGGAGAAAAATAAAGGATTATTTCAAAATTCCCAGTGGAAAAAAAAATGTAAAGAGAAGGGGAGAAGCAATATGATGGAACAGGTGAGGTGGAGAGGAACACGGAGGGGTAAAGAAAGGGCAGCACCAACGTCTATGAGTGAATCCATGTGAGGCTCTTAGCAGAGTGCACAGTGCTCAGCTGCATCTCAGCAATTGACTGGTTTGTGCAGCAACTATTTATTGAAACTGAATTGTGCCTTAAGGAAAGGAAGGGCCATAACAATAAGGACAAGGCACTCCTGGTACTGCTTGTGATAAGAATAACATTATAAAGAAAGTAGGCACAGTCTGCTTGCCGGACACACAACCGTTAACTAGCGAGAGAAAAGGCACTGCCTTGTGAAGCGTGCACTCGAGTGGTGGGAGGCAAACACAAACACAGTGAATAATTTATGCATAGAAGAGCTTGGAAGATAAATGCTGTGGAGAAAATAAACAGAGAGGATCAGGAATGCTTTGGCGTATTCAGGGTACTCCAGAGCTGAGTAGGGGTGGGGGAAAGGCAACTGAGCAGGTGAGATTTGAGGAGAGACTTGAGGGGAGTCAGGGGTCAGTGCAGTGGACATCTGAGGAAGGAAGGTCTCAGACAATGGCATGGTCAGCTCAGGGCCTTGGGGAAGAGCATGACTAGGTGTGATTTTCCTGGGTTATATTATTAGGGTCCTTGGTCTCTCAGAGTTCAGGGTCACCCTTCCTAGCTACCCCCTCGTCCCTCCCTGGCCTTCCCAGCTCTCCAAGCTGAAAATGGCCACAATTTGACTGACTGTACCAATGACAGTGACTGCCTGGCACGCTATGTGCCTACTTCTTTGTACATATATCCCTTCTACCCTTAAATTATTCTTTTTAATCCAGCAAGCATGGGGGTCTCATTCTATTAGATGTTTTTCTCAAAATAAAAATTTACTTTTTTCTGATTGTTAAATTAATACATAATTATTAAAGTTGTAATAATTTAGACCAATAAGCAGAAAGGGAAATTGCCTATGTCTTTTTACCCTTTTCCTTCCCTCACCGTCAAGTGTTGCATATATTACCACTCCTTTTGTCCATACAGGTTTAATACACAGATATACATTTGAAAACAAAAATAGGACTGTTTTATATATAACCTGCTTCTTATGTACACCCTGTTACATCACTAAACAGTATATTATTATTGTCTTTTCCACACCAGAATATACATAGAAGTATATCCTTTTTTAAAATTTGGTTAATTCGATCAGGATATTTAATATAAAGTACAGGGTTAGGTACTGCTTTGAGGGTTAAATATTTGTTAAAATAATTAACTTATTGGAATATAAACTTAAGTGTCAATTGAGCCTGGTAATGTAATCAGCATTTAGCATCCAAGTTCTTTAGAAAAAAAATTTAAATCCAATTTTTCTTTTATTAGGTTAATCTTATGCGATATGTGAGGATTACAAGATCCCAAAAAAAATTACCCTAACTTTTCATTGATATTGTTGAAAGTGAAGAGTGTTGTGGTGAGTCTGATGGTTGGAAAAAGTGAGATGATTCTAAAAGATGATAATTCTACAGATGATTCTGTAGAATTTTGAAGCTACAGCTTAGGATCAATTTGGTTTTCCCTCCCAAGCAAGACTCCATAAAATTGCCAAAGGAGTTTTACTCCCTCCTCTCAGCCTAATTTCTGACTATCAAATAACATAGTAAACTTCTTGAATAATATATGGGTTGGTTTTCATATTGACTGAAGATTTCACGTGGGTGTTTTTTGCAAGCAGGCATTTAGATGTGAGAGCTTGTCTTTTCTAGGCTTATCCCTACATGCTGTGGAGGTGTTAGTTAACTGACACATTCTGGTAGCTAGGTCATAGATCTGGTGATGGGGGACAGCATGCAATCAGGCAGGTTTAGAACATTTGTGATATTATTAATGCTGATCATTTATTTTATTACACTTAAAAAATGCAATTGTTAATATACCTAGGGATGATTGATAAACAAAAGGGAAAGATTCATTTCTCAAATCACTTCTCAAATATAAACTCAAAATTGAAGTCTGGCATTGGCAGTGCCTGAATGAGCTTAAGGTCGCTTTAAGTAATAAATTCCAATAATACTATGAAAAGTTAATGGACAATTATTATTGGTTGGTATAAGGAGGAAGGCAGTAAGAATAGTTTAATGTGGGTAAGATATTCCCTAGACAAACGCTCATAATAAGTAGTCAATAATCATTAAATTCATATAAGCACAGGAAGATTTGGAGGGAAATAAACTTCCTTGAGAATAGGTAGGTTTAATTTTTAACCTAAAAGGGGAATCCACTCACTCTTTGCTAATGACACTGAGGTTAACAGAACAGAATAATTACCTTTCTCATAACATCTTTATATATTTGGCTAACTTTAAACTCCACTAATTTTTTTTTACATGAAAACACTTTCAACAAGATGGCCTCTTTTCATTAAAATAAAGAAAACTCTTTTATTAGAAACATGCTGCACAGAGCTAAAATAAGAATGAAAAGACACTTGCAGATAATATAATTCAAATAAAGAGAAAACTCTTTATAATCATGCTTTCATTTCCTGCTAAACCCATTAAAACCACATATTTTAGTGACATGATAAAAACCACACATGAGTGAATTGGGGGTGGAATTCTATGGGGACTACACCCGAGAAAAGAAAGCAAACATTGTACAAAAATGAACAATAATATAAAAAATATATAAATAAATTATTTTTAAAATTATAAAGAAATATAATTACCTCTATTCACTTTTTTCACTGTTTCATTCATAAACATTTCTTTCACTTTTTGGTATAACAACTCTTTATCTACTTCAGCATTGATTTTTATCAAAATATTTTCTGGTTCTGAGAACCATTTCTCCAATGAAGGCCAGTTGTCCAAGAAGCCTATGATTCTGCAAAGCCAAAATTCTTTATAAATATCACATACTGATTCAAAGATTTGGGTACCATTAAGCATGTTTTACCTGACATACAGAATGAATAAAAAAGTTCTCCATATAGTTAAATATGAAAAAGCAAATTTAGGAAATCTACAGGTACTGGAATATTATTTACTTTAAAGAAGAAATTATATAATACTATCAAGACATATTTCTTAAGATATTTGAAAGTGTAAAAGATTTGAAGATGACATCACACCAGGAAACCTTTAGTGGAAGTTCATTCCCTGAACTCAATAGAATAACTCTAAACATATTTCTGATGGTAGCTACAGACAGCTTTGTACAAGACAGACTTGAAGGGATATTTGAATAAGGTTAGATGGCTCAGACATACTTGCTTTACTCGAAAATCTATTTGAAACGATTCTTGAGAGACTGTCTTTCTTGAGAGTAGTAAGTAGACTTAATTAGAACTCAAATTACTCTTCCCTAGATAATTTCATATTTTTCAACTTCTCAAGCTTTCATTAAATTGTCTAATTTTGCAAATCAAAACTACCATGAGATACCATCTTACACCAGTGAGAATGGCACATATTAAAAAAACTAGCAACAACAAATGTTGGCGAGGGTGTGGAGAAAAAGGAACTCTTCTGCACTGTTGGTGGGAGTGCAAACTGGTCCAACCACTGTGGAAAGCTGTATGGAGATTTCTGGACCTACTAAACATAGAGCTTCCATATGATCCAGCAATTCCACTCCTAGGTATTTACCCAAAGGACACAGAAACATCAATTCCAAAGAACACCTGCACCCCTATGTTTATAGCAGCACTGTTTACAATAGCTAAGCTTTGGAAACAACCCAAATGCCCAAAAATAGATGACTGGATCAAGAAGATGTGGTACATATATACCATGGAATATTACTCAGCATTCAAAAAAGATAAACACATGCAATTTGCAGCAACATGGATGGCGCTGGAAGGGATCATGCTCAGCGAAATAAGCCAAAAAGAAAAAGAAAAATACCGGATGGTCTCACTCATAGCAGGAATCTAGAAAACTTAAATAAGGGACCAGGAAAATGAATAACTATAAGAAAGTGAAAATCAAAATCAACAAAAAACTATGAACCAGAGACACTTTTAGGGGGGCGGGGGTGGGAGGGGAGGGATTGGGGTCAGAATGGGGGGGCTGCAATTGTATGGGGAATATAACAATAAAATTTATTAAAAAAAAAAATAAATAAATAAATAAATCTTTTAAATAAAAAAAAAAAATTGTCTAATTTTGTCTAAATTTTCTTTTTCAATGAGCAAATTGCATACAACCAAAAGGATTGGGAAGTTTTTAAGTATAATTTTAAAACTGCTGTGTTAGAGAGTTGTATTCTAGTCTGATGCCTAGCTCTTTAAGATTAATACTTTTCACTGACATTTGCTGAATGAGGACTGAATTAGGATTCCATATGATGATCTTGTAAGTCCACCGATCTATAAGGCAAGAAGTGCCTGATTTAATTCTTTTCTTCCCAGACTAGGATGACTTGTGTTCTGAATATGAAAGCTAGCACGTAACTATTTCACTCAATATCAAAGCTACTTTCTTTTCTTTCGCCTGTAAAAGACTGAGTGCTAAGAAACATATCTTTTTTTTTTTAGATCTGATGATTCCAAAGTGGCTAATCATTGGTCTGTTCAATGGGCAAGAAAAAAGAAGCAAGACACTGAGTTTTAAACTAACCTATGCTGTATTTGGGCTCTTAAATTCTCATCTTCATCTGTATCTTGGTTTTCAGCAGCTACACGTTGACAGATATCTTCATGAGTAGTTTCACTTAAAAATGCTTCAGCTAGGATATGAAAATTAATTAATTAGATCATGTGCTAAACCAAGTCAAAGTTGCAAAGTATCAGCACTGCTAAAAAGTGCTGACACTAGAGAGTCCAATAAATCTGGTCCTGCAGCTGGTTGAACATTACTTAAAAATGTTTTAACAAGATATTTTCAAAACATGGTTTTTGGTATCAGAATTCAAATTTTCCTTGGACATTGGGATAAACAAGGGAAACCCCAACATAAAAGAGGAAAAATAGTGCTAATGTGGAGGATATCAGGATTGAAAAAGATAAGGGTGAAAAAAAGATGGATCATCATGAATAACAAACTGGGAAAGAATTAGAAAAACGACACAATGATTTTAGTAAAAATAAGAGTGAAATAATAGGGAGGTCATGACTCCCATAAATTATGCATAAAGTATTTATTGATATATTAGAATAAAGCTTATTCTACTTATCTGTATAATAAGATATATAAAGATATAATAATTTTTTTCTTTGTAATAGTATTATAGAGTATTATTTATCTTTCTAGTCTTTATGATCATTCCTTGTAGAACAGACATACGGGAATGAATCACAAGAGAACAAACACAAAATCTCAAGGTTGCTGACTGAAGCCTATTTTGGTACAGAGTCCACAATACTCATGAACTTAAAAGAAAATGGAAAATCATAAAGAGGAAAGAAAGCCTTGAACTAGATTAAAAGGAATTAGAATTAGTCAGTCAATGCAAGAGAACATTGAAGCGTGAATTAATAGTATTCAAGAAAATGAAGGTCCTTCTCAGGAAGAGCAGTCAATTGTTCTCCATTTACATTCATGATAGAAAAAGAGAAAATGGATTTAAAACACAGAATAATGCTTCTAGGTTATTTATAAAACCCAAAGATTACTGACATAAGAAGTGTTATTGAAGAAGATGGTGGTGCTCTTCTTGGGAGAGACTGCATTGGTTCTCTCAGGAGGACTGGCTCATATTGGTCACAAACTTCAGCACATGAGTCAGCGTTCCTCTCCCTCAGGCCCCCCTCAGGCGCTGGTGCCTTCTCTCTCTCTCCTCTTCCAGTACTCCACCACGGCCACATACGGGATTTTGTGATCACCCTGAGTGACTCCACCGTGAAAGACCGCAAGACTATACGTACACTGACAAACATCTCTGATGAAAAATATATAATCTTGTGGCAGGTAAGCTTACTATTCCCTGGCTTTAGTATCTCAGCATTAGTATCACTCAGTGACTTCATATAAAGTCCAAACACCTTCATATAGATTCACCTGTTTCTGAAATAAGGAGAGGGAACTAATTAATTTAACTAACTGTCCATCCTGAAATCACCATGGCTTTCCTTTCTTCCAGAAAGAAGCTTCTTGAGAGTTATCTCCACTCCAACTCTTCATCTCGACATACTCCAACTCTTCCACAGTCCATCCCCTTCCCTCGCTCACTCCATTGAAACAGTTCTCATTACCATCATCAAAAATGTCAAGGTCAATGGAAACGTTTCAGTCCTTATCTTATTCTATTTCTCTGTCACATCTATAGTTCGGATGTTGTAGACAATTCTTGAATGCTTTCAATGCATTCCATGAATTTATATTCACAGTGAAACTTGTAAAGTAGGAGTAAGATTCCATAGTTGGCTTCAAATTGTGTAGCTCATATGTGGCAAAGAAGACATTTGATATCTGTCAATCTGACTCCAGCTTCTGGGATTCTTTTTAATTTTTAAACTGCTTATTGCCTTACATCTGCTTAAAAGAATGTATGCACTGTGTTGTAGGAAGCATTATGAAGAAAGAAAGTTTTCCTTTAACAGCCATAACAATACAATGCAATGAAGTGCTTTTACTGAGGTCAGATACTTCATACCTTGCAAAGTCAGAGTTCAAGCATGTGTGCTTTTACTTGCCGGTATTTAATTTGTGGGAAAAAGTAGTATTTTTGTTTCGATGATGAAAGCAGTCAATTAAATGATGAATTTTGGCAAGACTATTCAGTCTCACCATGTGAAGACTTGTGCTTCAGAGTTACTAGAATCCAAGGGTAAAAGGCTACCAGACCCTTGCATGCTGCCTGGTTGTGGTTTACGTGGTTATGACATTCACTAGGGTGCTAGACGACCACGAGAAACAACTCTGGGCACGTCAACCCCCCACCTTGAGTCAAGGGAGATGCCAGGTTAATGAAGGGTCTGGTGAGATACTTGCAGTGGGTGTGGAGTTCCTCACCAGTTTCACGTCTGGCCTGCAGCACTGAACACTGACAGTTGAAACAGGAGGCAACTGTGCTCCGCTAGATAATTCTTTGGAAGGTTGAGAAGGATTGTTTATTACCCATTTAAAACTGTAAGTGGGAATATTCGCCAATTCAAAAATAAAACATAAAAAACTTTGAATTGTAATAATAGAATATCAAGAAGAGGAAAGAAAGGAGTTTAGCTTACCCATGATGTCATTCATGCGATTCAGTGAGGAATTATCTGATATATCTAATAACGCGACAAAATCAAATGCAGAAGGAGGAATAGGAAGTTCTTTGGAAACTGTAGTATCAATAGCCAATGAGGATGCTTGTGCTTTCGTGCCTTCCTGTTCTAGGAGGCTTCTGTTGTACCCTGTGAGAACCTCCTCCAGGAGCTTGGCTTGGTTTAATGTCATAGGGAAGCCATCCAGGATCCAGCCTTGATCCACAGGTATCTTTCTAATTTGGAAAAGGATAAACCATTAATGATTTGATAGACACAAATATTTTGGAAATAACAATACAATACAGATTAATTTGGCTTTTTTTCTCAATTCTGCAATAACCTCCTCCTACATGCATTTTATTACTTTGTAGTTAAAATTAGGTTCACTAATGCCTGCATTCACTCTCTTGCTTAAAATTCTTCTGTGGGACTCTGTTGTCCTCCAAATCCATTCTGGTGGCCTTCATATGATGTTTAAAATGTAGGCCATGACTTTCTTCCCTGCAGTGTCTTATTTCTCATGATTTTGAACCATCTCCTTCAATAAACTGATCTCCTGACTGCTTTGGGAGTGTGGATTGCATCTTACAGCTGTGTCCATAGACTGTTTCTCCTCTGAAACTGCATCGTCGTCGACAAGCAGAATAAGATCACATCTCTCAGGGTGCTCATGAGATGAACAAAACTGATGCATTGTAAGGACCCAGCACATAGTGGGTATTCACATTGGCAACCTGCAGATTCCTCCCCACTCAGTCCAGTGTGAAGTCCTGCCAGCCTGATCTGAACTCTGCTCCCAGTCACCTGACCCAATCATTGGCACTCATTACATTTCTTGCTGTAGAAAAAATTGTAGTGAGACTTCTTATTCTCAATTAGATTATAAGTTGCTGCAGAGTGTGGGCCATTTATTTGGTCTACTCTTAGGATTTGCACTCAGTGCAGCATCCACTATAGGGAATGGCTGCTCTAAGAATCATTATTTTAGCTCTTTAAAGTGGAAAGCAGGCCTCCTCTGGTGGTGCAGCAGTTGAGCACTGGGCTTCAAAGCTGCCCACAGCCTCTGCAGCACTGGTTCGATCCCCGGCCGCAGGTGAGGGTTCCACATGGCGCGCAGACCTCTCCTGCCTCACCCACTGCTCCCCTTAGCAGTGTACTTTGTTGGTCTGCCTGTTCTGTTCCCTGCTCTGGCTCTGATGAATTCTCTCACCCTTCTATGCTTCTGACTGTACCCAGTGCTTGTATAAACAAATAAATAAATCTTAAAAAAATAAAGTAGAAAGCAACATGATAAGAGCATAGGTTCCAACTTTGCTCTTCAAAGCCCTTAAATTATGCACAATTGAGATCTTAGTTTTTGTACTGAAAGATATGAAGGCTACAGAATCCTATATAGTCTTACTTTTATTTTTCAATTTTTTCCCCATTACTGTCCGTTCTACCCCTTTGGCCCTTTATTATCCTCCCTCCTCCCTCCTGACCTCAGAAACCTCACTTTGTTTATTAGCATCGGCTACTTTTTTTTATAACTGTTCTGATTTGTTGACTTTTCTACCATGTAGCCATCCAATATTTGTTTCTTTCATTCTGATTTGTTTTATTATACCTGACTCCTTCCATTTTGCTGTAAATGGCAGCATTTCTTCTTTCTAAAAGTTATGATTTTGCTTCTTTCTCTGTAAGGATGTGGGTCTCTGCTGGAGGATGTGGCAAGAGAGGAGAGGGGAGGCAACCAAATTTTAGAGAGGTTTCATTACTTGTTTGGTCACAACACTGCAAATGACCCAAATCCAGTGATCATTTCACACTGTCAGACAACTTCACTTTCCCCCATTACTCTATGAAGCGTGGGAAAAGACCAAATTTTTCTTGAAATAACTTGACTAGAACTTGGCAGAGCATTCTGCGTCGAATAGGTTCGATGATTACTGGGCCTCAGGTGGGGAAGAGAAGTGTCTTGAGGACCTCCAAAAAAGTCTGGGCAACCTCTTCTGCCACCCCTGGTCTCAGGCGCTACTTCAGAGGGTGACTTGTGTGCCTGACATTAAGAACAGGCAATGGCAGTGAAGAGACCTGGGCTTCGCATCTGGCCAGACACCAGCTAGCACCAACTGCACTGCCTTGCTAAATTGCCATGTGCCTTCCTTTTCTCATTGAAAGAGGATGGATTTGGATTACATGAAAGGATTTCACATGGAAACTTTTGGATTCTTTCCCCCATCTTGCTCAGTCTTATTTCTTTATTATATAGCTCCATTGAGCTCCTATCACTTCTTGCAATTTCTCCCTTTTCTGAATTACAGAGGAAGGCTGAGGCGAAGCTTTCATGCTTACAAAGGAGGAAGGGAGAGATTATAAAATTATAACCTATTTGATTTTTTTCCTTGCCTGTGGGGCTTGGGGTGGCGGTGGGAGGATAATGGAGTTCTGAGGATGGGATGTAAAGCTTCCAGGTCCAATGAAAGCAAAGCTAAGGCGTACTTTACATCTGATGCCTTGCATATCAGTTTTCTTCAAACGAGGAGCCCCATGGCTAAAAAAATATTTTATGCCAGTTCTGAGAAATGTTACACTATTAGAATGAGATTTCTTCCAGCTCTGAGAGCAGCATCTCCGTGGGCTGATTTCTTTAGTGTTACACTCAAAGCGCAATTGTCCAAGACACATCACAACTGAGAGGTGACTTAAATCTTTAATGAGCCCTTTTAAGAAACACCAAGGAAGAATACATTCCAGTGCATAATAAAACTCATGTAAAACCTCCTTTCCTCCCCTGTGGGCCGTAGCGTTTCTCACCCTGCACAGCTACCCCAATTCTATTTCCTCGCCCTCTCTAAGCTCTCCAAACCTATTTCATAGGAAACTTTTTTATTCTTTTTTCCATTTTGTTCAGTCTTATTTCTTTATTATATAGATCCATTGAGCCCCTATGGCGTCTTTCAATTTCTCCCTTTTCTGAATTACAAAGGAAGGCTGAGGAGAAGCTTTCATCCTTAGAAAGGAGGAAGGGAGAGATTAGAAAATTGTATAACCTGTTTGATATTTTTCTCTCTAAGCCTTATCATATATCAGCTCAATGCTATCCATGTAACCCTTGCCTGTGCAACCTCTACTTTCTCACTGGTTTTCTACCCAACATTATTAAGCCTTTGAACTGCTGGGCTCAATCCCTCGTCCTGAAATAGAAGATGGGGAAGTATATTGGCCTGTGACCAAAGTTAGGGTCTCTCCCCTCCATAATCTCCCTTGGCTTTTCCAAGTATCTGATTTCTCCTTGAATTTTCCACATAGAATAGAACCTGACCTGAATTCACAGCTGGGTGGATAAAGTCAATATTTTTACAAATGTGTGTGTGCGTGTGCGCATGTGCGTGTGTGAACTACGGACATGCAAATCACAAAATATATCTTTATCTTGTATATTTTCTTACATAGGTGAACTGCATTCATTAGATATTATTAGATATTGACCCTTTATCCTCTTCCCTCCCTCCTGATCCCAGAAACCTCACTTTGTTTATTAGCATCTAATATAGTTCTATATTATTCTTCATATGATAAAGAACATTTTTCTACTTTACAAAGAACATGTGAGATATATATATATATATAAGAATATAAGAAGAACATATGAGATATATACAAAAAAGTAAAAGGTAATACATACTTAATAGCATTTACCATGATGCTAATTAGCAATGTATCAGGAATGCTCTTTCCTTTCTTCAGTAATTTTTCTGACTTTGCGCCAAGCTGAGCACGCAGAGTGAGCTGTGAATATAAACAATGAATAGTAGAGCACAGTTCATTTAAAAGGCAGATTCCAAATATTTGGAGGGAGGGAAAGGAACTGTTCATGTTCTGGTAAAGACACTGATCATTTAACACAATTTTGAAGTTGCCCAAGCATTGAAGGAAAACGTGTGTGCAGTTTTGAGCTTCCTTCTCTGTGGCTCCCTCCCTTTCCAAGATTATTCATTTTTCTTTAATTTCAGTAGCTCAAGTATCCCCAGACTTCATCCTCCAGTATCTTAAGAGAACATGATTGAGGTTTCTACTTAAGCTCTGCCACTTGTGTCCTGCATATGGGGTGAGCCCTGGGGTGGTTGTAGCTGGGCAGATACCCCTGTCTTGCCTAGGGAGGTTCTGTTCTGTCCATGGTCAGATTCCATCTATTTTCTAACTGGTTTTTGCTGCTTGTGTGTTTGCTTTTTTGTTTTTGGCCACCTGTGTTTGGTCCTCAAATAATTAGCTTTTCTATTTTGTCCAACATTTATTTTTACATAATGTTACCGTGGGAGGGCTTGTCCGATAAAGCTACTCTCAATCAACAGGAGCGCCACTAGTACGTATTCTGACTCATCAGAGTGAGCACCTGACAAGTCAAATGATAGCACATCTCTATTCAAACCCTGTGAAGACGCCCTTCTTCACTCCAGACATCCTAATCATTGCCTCCTGGCTCTTTGACCATTAGCTCAGCTTGCTAATCTCACCCCGTGCTGCTCTCACAGCCTGTGGCCGGGCATCTTTCTCCTCAGGATTGTCACCCAGCGCTTCTCACTGTATGAAATGCTTCCCTAGATCCAGTTGGCTGATTCTCTCAATCATCTTTCAGTCTGCCTAAATTTCACTTCCTCAAGGAGGTGTACACCAGCAAATACACAACCGGCCCGCTGCCCCTGCTCTTGAAACCTGCTGTTCTGGTCACCTGCCTTCATTTTTTTTTTTCTTCTGGTATCATCATCTAGTGGATCATATAATTCATTTATTTATGTGTCTATGGTTCATTTTTTTTCTTTTTTAGATCCCCTGATACACCCCAATAATTATAGTCATGTGTTACCTAACAGCTCTCAGTCAACAATGGACTGCATAGACCATGGTGATTCCATGTTCCTATTGCAGTTTTTATCTTACACACTGCATTTTTACTCTACATTTTCTACATCTAGATATATTGAGATACACAAATACCATGGTGTTACAGTTGTCCATCGTATTCAGTAAAGTAACAATCTAAACAGGTTTGTAGCCCGGGGGCAACAGGTCATCCTACAAAGCTGTGGGGAAGTGGTACAGGAGGGCACTGTAGTGTGGCATACATGGACTTCAATAGGCTTGACCGTGGACATCAGGGGACTTGTAATGCAATAAATGTAAATCTAAAACAAATACTTAGTCTTTCTGCTAGCTTATAGTTCAAACAGACATCTTAAAAATCATTATCACTTCCTGTAAACGTTTTTCCTTCTCCATCAGCAGCTTGGTCTATAAGCCTTCAAACTTTTTCTGACTTAACACAGTTTTGAAATTTAAAATACCTTGGGCCTCCCCTGGTGGTGCAGTGGTTGAGCGCTGGGCTGCAAAGCTGCCCGCAGCCTTCGCAGCAGCGGTTCAATGCCCGGCCACCGGCGAGGGTCCCACATGGCGCGACAGACCTCTCCTGCCACGCCCGCTGCTCCCCTCAGCAGTGTATTTCGTCAGTCTGCCTGTTCTGTCCCCTACTCTGGCTCTGGTGAACTCTCTCACCCTCCTGTGCTTCTGACTGTACCCAGTGCTTGTATAAATAAACAAATAAATAAATAAGTCTTAAAAAAAAAAACAACCTTTAAAAAAAAAAAAAGAAATTTAAAATACCGTAAAATTGTTTTTCATAATGAAAGGCATAATAAAAGTGATAAAAATAAAGAAAATTAAATCCCACTTGAGTAATCTGGCCATTACAGTTGATGACAAAATAGTTTCTATATTTAGCACAGCAATATTATCTATGGAAATGTTAGTTTCCAGTAAAAGCAATAGTGAGTGAATAGTTGCAAACATTTTTTTTTTTTAGAGATTAATAAATTCTGAAGGATCATCAATAAGGTTAATAATAAATTCTGGAGAAAAATCTTTCAAAATATAGAGATTAAAAAATATAATCAACATTAAAGCCAAAAAAATTAATCAAGTGGTAAAAGAAAAACCAAATAAGCATAAATTTGGTGAAGCCTAAAAAGATGCATATATTTAAGTTTTTACCTGGCAAACATGAATAGCAATTTCCCCTGCTTTAGATATAAAGAATATTAAGAAAGTAAAGTAAACTCAGATTTAGCTAATGCTTTCATCAGATTTACTTTGAAACCTTAAGAGGAGCATATTATCTATTCCATCAGATGACACATCAAGAGATGATGAATCATGATGCATTTCAATAAAATAGTAGCCAAAATTAGGTCATAGTACTTACTTCAGATAAATTCTCACTTGACTCGACTTCTTTAGACGTTGGTGTATTATTTGTATCGGTACCTAGCAATAGGAAACGTGGTAAGAACAAACTCCAGTCTTTACGACTAACAACCACACTAGTATGTGACCATCTGTGGTTTGGGGCAGATAGGTTGATGGCTCCACTATGCCTGAGTCACCCAGAGGCACTAGCCATAGAATCACCACAGCCTGACTTTCACCTACTCTCACACTGAGGTTCTGGCCCTGGGGTGGTGTGTTATCCTCCACCTCCATCCTCCCAGCACAGCTGGCGCCTACAGCTACCATTGGGCTCACTCTAACACAGTTTGGTTATCTTTTCAGAAACAAACCAAGCTTCTCACACAAAGTTATAAAAAATATTGTTAATTCATCACACTATTCCTGGATTATCAGGTTACAGGTAATAAAAAAATGTGTAAAAGTAGAAAACACTTGAAGTCAGAGGGCTTTTTAGTTAAATGCTGTGGGAAAAATAAGGTTTTGGAGTCTTTATAATTGCCTGGACTTTAGTAACAAAATGTGTCATATAATAACGTCAGTCAGAATTGTCTCACAAGAAACAAAAAAAATAAGGGGAGATTATGACCTTTTCAAGGATGGAAAGCTTGGCTGCCCTGAGTAACCTACACTTCCCAGGAGTGATGGCAACAGAGACGTGGCACAGAAGACCTGAACTTTATGCCAGAATCAAAGGAAACTACTGACTATGGCAAATCCTCCACCAGCACAAATAGAGAAGAGATTAAAGCCTCAAATGGTTTCCTTCCATGGTTTCACAAAAATTGTGAAGATAGAAGTTCGGATCAGAGGGGAGATAACTTTTGTTAAGTTTGGGAAGCTTGGTTTTACTTGCTTTGTTCAAGGCTGGGAATCAATTTAGCTTTGTCTCAGAAAGCACTGTTCATATGGATTGAAGAGAACAGTTCTTGCACCCTCCCGCTACATGGTGAACAGAGAGGGGCAGGCAGAGAGACCCTCACTCAGGACTGCACAGGTGAGAGAAACAATGAAACACCATCTCCTGGCAAGCAAAGCCAGGAAGAGAGAGGTTGAGTCTTCCTGGCTGTTTTCATAACCAAAACAAAAACTGAGCATCTGTTTGTAGCGTGCAAAATTCCTTTGTAATTTCCATTTCTTATCTCCAGTAGTGGACAAAGGTCAGGGTCTTCTGTAACTATCTTGCTCTTGGTCTCATGACCATGTAGACAACTATGCAAAATGCCCCTTTCTTTCCCAGAGAACACATGCATGTTCTTATATGGTTTGTCTGTCTGTCAGTATAATGTAAATGATGGCTGATTTGTTTTGATGTCATACTTACTAAGCACAGTTTTATTTTCTGTTTCTGATAAGGCTTCATTTGCAGCTGGATCAGCCGGATTTCCATTTTCAAGATTCTTTGGAAAGAAAACACATGGACAGATTTTAACATTGTCCTAATTTTATTGCTAAGGGCTATGAGAAATACAATATTTTATTTGTAACATCACTGATATTAGGTGGAATTGAATGATTTCAGGACACAAACAGAATCTGATGATAATTCTAATGGAAACAAATAGTAACTCTTGTGGACTCGGTCTTTCAAGTGGATTTCAATTACTATGTGAAATCCAGCAACTACCATTTTGAAAAATACAGTAGAACCTGAGAAAGATACAGAGAGCACGGAAAGCCATTTTAGAAAGAATACTCCTAGGGCTCATAGTCATAGCATAAGGGAAATTAAGAAAAAAACACATGCATTGGTTATAAACTGCTGACTAAAATATGAAGAGTGCCACAGTATGGATGAAAAGGCAGCACACAATGAAGAAAATTTTCCCTGGATATTTTCAGAATTCATAATTAAATAGTATTTATTTTGTGGCCCATGTAAATGATCTGTATTGGATTCTACACTAATTTATTCAATTGCAGAGATTGCTAAGGAAGGGATTTAGAATCTGTGGTCCCTATCACAGTCCAGTCACAAGCTTTCTGATGCCAAGCAAACTAATTCATGCTTAGGGTCTCTACTATCTCCCTTATAAAATGAAGGGGCTGGACAACAGCATGATTCACAAGAAACCATATGCTCCTATTTCCTGCCCTAGAATCTCATGTAATGATGGAACAAGTTGCTATAAAAGTTGGGAATAAGATGCAAGTAAACCATATGAAGGCCTTCTCCTCACCTTCCACCCACCAAATTCAGATCTACTAGTCTAGATCAAAGCCATGGCCCATGGATCAAGTCTGGTTGGCTGAGTGGTGCTAGGGTATCTTTACATGGCATAGTTATATGAACCTGGAGACCAAGCCACACACCCCGCTCTGTCCCATGCTCCCCTAAAGCATCCATTCCTCAGCCACTGCCCAGGGCCAATGTTGGCCTCCCACTGAACACTGGGGGGTATTCTCAGTAGAATTTTGCTCCAGGTGTTGGTGACTTGGTGAACTCCCCTCAATATAGACATCTCACCCCCTCCAACTTCCCCAAATTCAGCTCTTCCTCCCCAGTACCAGCCTCTAGCTGGGCACAGTGCAGGCACACCACCCTGGACGGTCCACCTTGCAAACCAGCCGGTGTGTGTGTGTGTGTTGGGAGTGGGGGGTTAAAGGAGGGCTATTCTCTCTTGTTATAGAAGAATCCACTTGATATCCTCTATTTTGCCTCTCTGCCTACAAAAACCTAAAATATTTACTCTCTGGATCTTTACAGAAAGCTTACCAACTTCTGGTCTAAAAGATCTCTTTGATTCCATTCCATCAACTCTCTCCCACATGAGATACAGAAAATTAAATCGCACTTGCCTGGCTTTCATCAGCCTCTTTCAGAACATGCAGAGTCTTCGCTTCCACTTCTTTCTGAACAGGTTGGTTCACACTGTCACTGTCTCTTTCATTGTTGTGAAAGGCTTGGATAGCTTCTTGGACAAGAGTGTCAATAGAAAGTATCTGAATAGGAAAGTCTAAAGTACAAAAGATAATTTTATTAATAGTATTTTAATTAGGAAATCAACATCACTGTTTTTCTGTGCTGGTTTCACTCTACAACACTGCTGTTTGGATCAAGCTGCTTTTTATTATGGTGGCAAAATTCACATAACATAAAACTAACCCTTTTACCCATTCACTTAGATCATTCACAGTGTGTTCAACCATCACCACTATCATGCTCTAGAAATTTGTTTATCACCCAAAAGGAAACCCTGTACCCACTAAGTTGTCACCTCTACCTCCCTACACCTGTCCCTGGCCCAAGAACTAATTTGCCTTATGTGTCTATGTATTTGCCTGTTGTGGATGTTTCACATCAGTGGAATCATACAATATGCAACTTCTTGGGTCTGACTCCTTTCATGTAGCATGATGTCTTCAAGTTCATCCATGTTATACCATGCATCAGTTCCTCTCCTCTATCCATGGAATAACAGCTCATTGTTTGGATATAACACATTTTGCTATGCATTCATCTGGTGATGGACATTTGGACTGTTTCTACTTTGGTTTGACTACTAGCACTGCCATGGATATTCCTGTATAAGGTTCTTTTGAACACCTGTTTTCAGTGCTTTTGGCTATATGACTGGGGTCAAAGGGGATTTGTTTAACTTACAGAGGAATCTCCAAACTGCTTTCTATAGTGGCTGAACCATTTTGCATTACTGCCAGCAATGTATGAGGATTTCAATTTCTCCACAACCCTCACCAACATTTGATTTTTTTATTATTATTTAATTAGACTCATCCCAGTAAAATTGACTGGTATATCATTGTGCCTTTGTCAAGCAGATTTTTAAGGAGGTCTTTTTAACATCTCAATAATGACCTATTCTTTTCTACCTTGGAATGGTACAAGATGGACTGGCCTCAGGGATAATTTTGAATTTTCCAGTGAAAACAAGAGTTGGCAAGTATTTCTGAAAAAAACTAATTAAACAGATGGAAATCTGTGATTTTGCTTCCCATTGAAAGAGTTTCTACAGAAAAAGCCCGTCTCATTAAACAGAGAGCAAAAACTCAACATATGTAAAGAGTTAAAATATTTACAACTTCAAGTGGATTACTTTTTGTCAGATTATTACTTTTTGACTTCATCTGTTGATAAAATGAGAACAATCTATAAGGAAAAGCTTAAGGCATATTATTTCACTTTCTACCATGCATCGTCATTATATAGCAAGCTCGTATATGTTTAGGGCAATCCTTGTTTATGTCTCTATTTCTCTAAAAGTGCCTGACTCAGAAAATAAGCAAATATCATCACTCTGCTAGAAAAATTTTGAGGGCAGAGTTTCCCAATATATCAGTAGATTCTTAGGTAATTATTTCCATAAATGTAGCCATATATGGCTATTGTCAAGTAAGCCAAACACAATAAGTGAAATAAACCAATATAAAACCAAAAGAGAAAAACAAACACAAATTCTACCTTTTTGTAGAGACTTTAGTGCAGTGGTTTTTCCACTAAATGTTTTCCCCAATAAGCACCCTGTAATACCAAATGAAGGTAACTGAAGCGCTGTTGATTCAACTTGAGGAGGAAGAGATTTTTCAATTAGTCTGTGAATCACATGGCCCAATATGGAATTGTTGGAGGGTGGTATATTATCAACCATTTCTTCTGGTAAGGCCCACTCTCCAACCATGTTCTGCATAAAGAATAACGAAACAAGGAAAATAAAAATATTTTTAAAAGTGGAATTTAGGCATGTAAGAATTTTAAATATTGAAAGTAAATCCCAATTATGACAAACAAAAACCAATCAATACTTTAAGTATTTTATATAAAAGAGTAGTGACATGAATAATACTTTCATATTAGAGAGCAGAAGAATGAGCCTCCTACATCAAAGAAAAAAAAGAATCAAACTGAATAATCAGTTTATGAAAGTTGCTATATTGCACTGAGACTGTGGTCCAGGTTAAGCATTAATAATGATAAACTGACTAAAAATAAAACAGTACACACACACAACAAATTAAAAATAAATAACAGAGAAAAAGTATAACATATATCTTTGACAATGAGTTAGTGTTAATACATAAAAATCTGTAAGTAATCACACAAAAAGAAAAAAAAGTCACAAATTTATGAATGTGAAACTTCCCAAATAGCATAAAATGCCAATGAGTTTTTGAAGAAATATTCAAATTTTTAGGAAAAAATATATCTTAATAAAGCAGTGATGCACCATATTTTGTCTAACAGTGACAGAAAGATTAGTCATGATTTTCACTCAATATTGGTGGGGTAGTACATTGCCTTATTGTAATTTCTGAAATGCTCAACATCACTTTATGACTGTTATAATAAAAATGATTAAGAGACACAAAAAAGGTAAGAATTAGCATTTAAATTTATATTCCTCCTTAAAATATGTATATTCTAAATGACATAGGACACATTTATATATATATATATATATATATATATATAAATGCTATGTCATATATAAATAAATATATGCCCATGTTCTGCATTTTCTTTTATTAGTATACTTTTCCTATCCAATATCTGACAAAAAAAAAATGCATACTCACTAATATAAACTGTCAGATTTGATAAATGGTGTAGATGGCTTTCCTTGTTTGGTCCCAAAACTTATAAAATGATAACACAAGAGATAAGGAAGTATTTTTGAAGTAAAATAAACAAATAAAAAAGCAAAGTATTTATGGGACCTCCCCTGGTGGCGCAGTGGTTGAGTGCTGGGCTGCAAAGCTGCCCGCAGCCTCTGCAGCACTGGTTCGATCCCCAGCCCCCAGGCGAGGGTCCCACACGGTGTGCAGACCTCTCCTGCCGCGCCCGCTGCTCCCCTCAGCAGTGTATTTCATCAGTCTGCCTGTTCTGTTCCCCACTCTGGCTCTGGTGAATTCTCTCACTCACCTCCCACACTTCTGACTGTACCCAGTGCTTGTATAAATAAATAAATAAATCTTAAAAAAAAAAGCAAAGTATTTATAGTGAGCTTTTAATTAAAATTGGTAGAATTTATCAGCGTATAAATATAACTGCTGCCACGTCTATCAAAAATACCCCTTACTCATAAACTTTGTTTTGTTTTAGTTTAATGCCTTTGGTTTTTCCTAATAATTTTGTGCATAATAATTATAAGTATTTTTCAAAATTAGCTAAATACTTAATGGATGTACATAATTATTGAATGTATTATAATTACTTGCTTTTGCTTTCATTCACTGGAATTGTTTACACTTCTAATTAGACAAATGACAGTTTATATAATGTCACCAATGAAAAACTAATCAAATCAAATCAGAGAAATTATATTATTTTAAAATAAAAGGGCTATAAATCCAAGGTCAATAAGTGGAAAGTTTCGATGTTCTAATGATTTTGTGTCTTTTAAGCTGTCACTTAACTCATTCTAAAGGAAACAGTCTGAGACTTAAATCAGAATGGCCTGAGTTAATTATTCTGCTACTTGCTTGCTTTGTATTCTAATTTGATCTCTCAATCTCCCATCCGGCAAGTTAATAATATCTCAGGGAACTATTAAATATTGAATGAAATGTTTGTGTGAATAGCCTACAAGACCACAGACTTGAAATGACTAAAGTCATTCTCAGGTTGTTGCTGGAGGTACATAATTGTACCATGGGGAGGATGGACAGCACCCACATCTCTGCCCAACAGAAGAAATCACACTCAGAACCCACAGCAGAAATGCAAGGCTACCTCACGAAGGTGAGGATAAAGCCCTCACTGATTTAATTGTAGAATGTGGCCAACAATGGGGGTAGAATGTCGACCATGAAGAGAACTGAAAGCTTATGGTTGGAAAAGGACTGAGGCCTCACCTGGGGAGAAAGGCAGATCAAGGACTTGGTGGATTATATTTGTACAGAATCACTTAAAAAATACAACTGATGAAATTTCTAAGTAAAAGACCAAGGATAAAAAGAGTAAGCCAATGCAAATATCTCAACTTGGGATAAGGACATGAGTAAAAAGGCAGTCAGAAAAGTGGGAATAGAGGGAAATTCAGACCAGAATGATGATGACTATCATTAACTAAAAAGAGGTAAAGAGATTTTTACTAGTTCATTGGTGAAGAGGAAGCTGAACTGTTTGCCAAAGTCCTATTTTACAGTTTTTGACCTATAATTAGATTATTGTGTGTGAAATTATTAATATAGTTATTAGTCATCAGGGGTAACTGTAAATAGACCTCTGACCATTAGTTTCAGGATTCTCTAGGTAAGTAGCACCTGGAACAAATGTTGCTTAAACACGAACTTTTTTTTTCTGTGTAGTTGTGCTCCATGATAGTGGCACTTGATTAACATCAATTGTCATGCAGATATGATGAATAATTACTAAGATATTTTAATATTAATACTGTTTATTGTGCCATCAAAAATACCATCAGTACACATTTTTTAAGAAGATGTTTAAGTGCAACACTCAAGAATCACCAACACCTACAGGTCCGCCCCTCTCTGTGAATTCTTATTTAAACACAGAGATCATGAAATTATAACAGGGTCAAGAGTCAACAGAACTCTGTCCTTAGCCAAAAGTCACAATCTATTCACTAGAACTGTTTTTATTCATTGACCTACATTGACCTTCCCAGAAAATGAATTCTGAGTCCCTGGGGCCATGGTATCCACATGTTCTTATTTCACAGGTCATATGCACCCAAAATTCTGCTTTCCAGCAGAGAATTCAGATTCTTTTTTCTTCTAGTCTATAAAACCTTTCTTCTTCCTATGGACTGATATGTCACTCTCTTAACTTATTAGTCATGGGTAAAAGCATCATGAGAAACTACAGACAACATCTGCTTGGGAGCTGTGGATTGGAATGTGGGCTGAAGTGAACACTTCCAGGGCATGCCTAAGAATTTCCATGTGTTTGGTTTACTAGATTCTCTCCTTGATTGTAATATTGCCCATGTGGTTGGAGGCTGCTGCTGGTGTAGTTGAATAGTTTTCTCAACAGATTCTGTTTATTTCTCTGCATATCCCTTGGAGCAAAACAAATGTATCTCATTTTCATTTCATGTTACTTTTAAAGATCCAAGTTAAATGAGTTTCTTCATCTACCCTTTTAAAGAAAGGGGAAGACATGGTTCACTTTGATCAACCTGGACAAACAGAATCTGGGTTTTAGAGATAGTCATCATTTCGTAAAATCAGAACGCCACTAGCACAAGATTCAACAAACAAATAACATTGTGTTGTGCCAATGATACTTAGTACTGACATTCAAATGCAGCTGTTATAGAGAGGTGGTACTAATCTAAAAGTACACACAATCCAATATTTGCCCTCATAGATTTACAAACATCTGCAGAATTTACAAACATCTGCATGACCTGAAGTGTCTTAGACTTTCCCAGTATGGTAGGTCCTAAGTATTTCATATTCAAACTACTGATGGATTCAGAAAGACAGGATAAATGCCTTTTCCACCAAGAAAAAAAGCTTCCTAGGGGATACCATACTTACATTGTTCTTGATAATTTCCAGTTTCTTTGGGTTTTACTAAAATGCAATCTTTTTCCCTGTATATGGTAAAACCCAATGTCAGACAGCATATCTTGCTAGAATGGCCAAAGAACTTAGGGCCAAGAACTTATAACTTAGGTCAAAGAAGCTTCTAATAAACTGACTTCAATAAACACCAGGGGGTTGGTAACTCTAGAAAATGAGGCTATGGCCCTCTTAGAGTTCCGCTGACTTGCCACAATTATACCACACCAAGGCATCCAAGCTGCCTTCCCTCTGCATCCACGGTAGCTAGCTTCATGCTCCAAGTGAGGAGATGACAGCTGGCACCTTGAAACACAACTAAGCTTATTGTAGCAGAAGCAGGAATTACAGTAGCTTACCACCAATCTTTAAATTCCAGGGGGCATTACATTTATGCTCATCATGAGAAACTTTTCCTTAGCTATTAAAGGCTACCAGCTCACCCACCTCACCAAATTTCTCCTTTTTTTTTTTTTGGTCTGAAGCCCTATGTCTGCCCCAGCTTCTCCTAGAGCACAATTTCTACTTGCACTGCATCTTCTAAGAGAGAGACTTTCAAATATCTTTTACCAGGACCTTCCGTAAGAAATACATTTTACACTGTTATCTCGAATTTGTATTTACAAACAGAAAAAAAAGCTTTATGAAATACTTTTCCTTACTACTGGTAAGGAGCTTTATTTTTTCTTGGCTTGTATTGCATTGTTTTTCTCTTGTATTTCCAATTTTTTAAAAAAAAATTGTTGTGACCATATATTTATTTGTAATCTAGTCTCAATTCACTGTTTGAAAAACAAACAAAAAGAGTATGTTATTGGACAAGACACTAGTAACACTCAGTTCTGATTTCATGTCTTTAAGTATCATCTTGGATTTATTTCTTTGCTATCTGTAGATAAGAGTAAACCTCCAATTTTATACTGAGTCAACCCAGGGAGTTAAACAGTATTTATCAAAGTATAGTTTAAAAAAAGTAATACAATTCTTGGCACAACTTCTCATAATTGATGATAATTAATTTAAAGATCCAGCTCACTTATATATTTAGGTATTATTTGTGTGATTGCTTTTATATCTTAGTTAAGGGCTGCTTATTTTAAAATATCTTAGAAAATAGCTTTTTGTACTAGTTTTGTCTTTTTTTCATATTGTAAATCCCTGTAATTTTTTTTTCAAACATCCTATTGATTATCATTATTCAAAATGCAATAAAACTTCAGGTCTATTGGGAATTAGACCAGCTAATAGTTTAGGTGTATCCAAAGGTGAAGTTTTAGGGAGTGGAAGATGAGGTAATTTGTTAACTCAAGCGCAAGCATCTTGTCTAGAAAATCATGTCTCAACTAGGCACACACCAACTGCCCACCTATAATGTTCAAATTCATTAGATCATCTACACATTTTCCCTAAAATTTTTTAGATATAGTCATGATCAACAACTTTGGCCATTACTGAAAATTTCTGATGAGACAGGTACTCTTAGTAAGGATACCTCTAGTGCTAGCAAGCACAGGGCAGGTTCACTATCAATCCGGGCACATGGATGGAGAATTCCAGAGCCCTCAGTGGATTTTTCAGGCTTTAATGCACTCAGAGAACCAGTTACACAGGCACACCAGGGAGGGAGGCTGGCATGCAGGGAGGCAGGCATAGGCTGGGCAGCAGTGATGGGGCAGAGGGGAGGTATCTGGGAGGCAACCAAGCTTCCCAGTCCCCCAGGAATCTTGACTCTTTGGCCTTTTCTTGGGGCCTTTTCTTGTGGTCTCACCTCTTCTGTAATCACTCGTCCTCTGGTAACCATCCCTATCTATATCTTTGGCCTCCAGTCTCTCATGTGTGTACACTTATGCATGCCCACACCCATACACAATCAGGTATCCACAATCAGGCATGTGTGCCCTGTGTCACACTCCCGAGCACCTTCTGCATCAACACCATCAAGGACACAGGTGATAGCCACAGAGGCTAGTGGTGCAAAAAGCCTGATTAATTCCATTTACCATATAATACCCAAAGCATACATCCTGACATTAGTTTGGTCTATGTGCTTAAAATGAAATGAAGTCATGGAGAAAATACAGTGATAGGGGAATATAAATTTAAGCACACAGTTCACAGTAGCCAGTCAGTTTTGAGTTATCACCTTAAACCAACTGACATCCACTCTTCTGTGGAAATTCATCCCTTTGAACACACCCTATAACCTGCTGTGTTTATCTGTGCTGAACATTGAATACTCTGGAAAGCTTTTCTATCTATGAGCACAGGGTGGAGTGGATCTCTAACTTAATCAGCTTTCAACCCCAATACCTGAGAGTGCTGGCACAAATGGGCACTCTATATTTAATGATTTAATTAATGAATGAATCAATCAGTAGTATAGGCTCAATATATGGCAACTGAATATGGGAGTAAATATAGATATTAAATTTTAGTAATTTTGATTAAGTACAAAGATGACTTAGGTCCCCAAATAAGATAGATAGATGCAACACAATCCTAAATTTTGCAACAAGATCTGGAAGGGCCACCCCACAGATAGAAGTTAGGAAGAATACACATAGCATGTATTCAATTAGCTAATTCCAGAAGCATTTATACAGGGCTTATAGCTTAATTTTGAGAGAACTTCTATATTAAATCAAGGCATCTTTTTAGACAGTAAAAATCATCCCAGTTAAAATGTAATACATTCTAATAATTTGTAAATTTGGTACATTTTAGAAAATTCTGCCAGGGTCCTGGAGGGGCCATGAACAGCCTGTACGAATGGGCAGGTAAGATTTGCTCTGTGGCAAGCTGTTTGTGACCTGGATATTTGCCTTGGGTCTCCTAAACTAGGTTGACCCAACCATGTACACACAACTGGCACATAATAATAATAAACTTCAAATATTCCAGCTTTGCTTGTGGCAGTTGCTCAGGGCGCCCTCACTTTGCTTCCAAGTCTTTAATCTCAGTCTTGTTCTGTTCCAGTTCTGCCTCAGTTCCAAAATGTTGGCTTTGTTTTCATTTTCTAGTCTGGTTCTCACCCAATCTCAGCTTTGAACATTGGCCTGCTCAAAGGACTTGGCTTGAGTCCTACCTCTGCCTCTTCCTGCTTCTGGCCACTTCAGGTAAACTATCAGTTCTAAGAACTCAACTCCAACACTAGCTCTTCTGGCTCACTCTGGGTTTATCCTGTCTCCTATCAGAGTGAATCAGAAATGTATAAAAGCACATCTATTACTATGGCAACATGGAAAGTCCAGTGGCTATATTCCAGTTACTACGTTTGGGAAATTTGGCTTTCAGAAAAAAAGGCCTAAAGGCCACAGGGAAATAGCAAGGGGAAACATTGTAACTTCCAGAACCTCTGTTCTTTACCTTTCCTTCCCAGGCTTTCTCATCCCAAACACTCAAAAACCCTAAGTGAATTTGAAGGAACTGCCTACAAATTCTGACAAATACCCAGTAGCCTCAGGAGAAGCAGAAAAGCTGTTGGGACATTCTGTTGGATGGAGAGATTTGCTTATGTCACCTAGAAGTACTACAGGTTTTCTTTTATTTTATATATTTTTTACATCATTTTTCATTTTTGCACAATGTATGCATTTTCATCTTGGTTATATTCCCCATATAATTCCCACCCCCCCTTATTTTGACCCTAATCCCTCCTCCTTCTTGCTGCCCTCCCCGTAGTGTGTCTCTGGTTTATAGTTGCTTGTTGATTTTGATTTTTACTTTATTATAATTAGTCTTTTTCCTGCTCCCTTATTTAGGTTTTCTAAATTCCTGTTATGAGTGAGACCATCCAGTATTTTTCTTTTTCTTTCTCTTCAGATCATATAAATCTTTTGCCTTTTACTGTAAGGTTTCTTGACCACTTTTTGGGGCCAGTTTGACAGACACGTTCCAACAGAAAGAACTGACTTCGCTATGTACCGCTTTGACAAGGAGGAAGAGCCGAGGGGGTGGATTGCTGATGTACAACTGAATTCTGACTTCTCCTCCAGGAGGTGTCACTGAGTGGGCTCTGTGTGGGAGCCCAGTTTCAAGGTCTCAGAACAGCTTCAAAAGATGAACTGGCCAGGCTGAGTGATTTTAGCAGCGTTTCAAAGTCAAAGTTTGGTTAGCCACATGGCTACACCTTAGCTGGCAGTCTGGCTTTGTGACCCCAGAGGAGGCAGGGGGTGGAGATGCCCATCTCTCACTGACACTGGTGGGAAACGTGAACCACTAGAGAGGAAGTGCAGCTCCATGTCCCTCTGTGCCAGAGTGCTGAGTCTGGCCACATTAGCTTTATTTCCAGAAATTACAAATCTAACCATGGTAATGAGGGAAAGGCAGAGGTTATTTCTACTTGACCTGCCATCTGGAACCCCAAGCTGAACTAAAGTCTAGTTCAGCTAGAAGCAGAATTGTGAGTATCCAATGCCTATTGATGGTTAATTCTGGCTTATCAGGAAATTTGAATAATGGTCCTAATTCAGTGATAACCTTTATTAAGATAGTGGATCACATTTGTACTATCCACAGCCTTCCCCAATCTTCCCTGATTTAATATAATGAAACCAGACATATTAAATTCTAGCCTGTCAAAACAGACAACCCAGGGCAACAGACTCCATCTACCTTGTGCTTATTTTTGGAGAGGTATTCAAGTTGGCCATGGGCAATTACCATCCACATTTCTTGAGATTATCAAACCCAATGAATGCTAAGACATAGCTTTAGAGTTCAGATCCTCATAGCCTGCACTCAAATACTAGCTGGGAATTGACTGAAGAGAAGCAGGATATGCACAGTAGCTGGCATCTGCAGTTGTCAGAGTAGGTGGGAAATGATCCAGAAAATCAGTGGGGGGAAGCCAGGGAAGCCTTGACTATCCTTTTTTTGCCTGGACCCACCCAGGCAAAAGAGGAAGAGGAATGACTTCTCCCTAATGAATGTGATCAAGAGCAAATTAGGGCCTCCCCTAGTGGCGCAGCAGTTGAGCACTGGGCTGCAAAGCTGCCCGCAGCCTCTGCAGCGCTGGTTCGATCCCTGGCCGCCAGCGAGGGTCCCTGGCTGCCAGCGAGGGTCCCACATGGTGCGCAGACCTCTCCTGCCATGCCCACTGCTCCCCTCAGCACTTTATTTCATCAATCTGCCTGTTCTGTTCCCCACTCTGACTCTGGTGAATTCTCTCTCCCTCCCACATTTCTGACTGTACCCAGTGCTTGTATAAATAAATAAATAAATCTTAAAAATAAAAAAGAGCAAATTAAAATAAAATAAAAATGAGTGATGGGCATTGATTATAATCTTATTCATGTTAGTCATCCAGGATTCTTTTTTTGGACTGTGTCCTTCTCGTCCTTCATTTCATTCCATTTCAATCTGGGTGCCAATTCTTTGGCTCTGTAAACTTCTCAATTCTGATCTAAAGCCTTAAACTTAATACTACAATTCAATTATTCCTACAATGGTTCTCTAATGAATTCAGCTTATCTCCAATTCTACTTGGCTCCAATTTGAAGCGAAATACCCTTTCAACGACCCAAGTTCTCCTTCCATTCCTCACCCCATAGATACAAGTCCTACATTTGGCCTAAATCATTCCAGCTCTCTGAAATCCTTGGTCCACAAGAGTTATGAGACAACCATTTTTCTGGTCATCCATGGGCTGGGGGCAACTTTATCTCCCTTTAAAAATATTTATATTGATATTCAGCTTTGTAAGTTAATATCACTATTCATGATTACCTTGAATCAGTATTCAGGGACATACTGGTGACCCCACCAAGACACAGCCATACAATGAAGTCTAGCCTGAAAAAGTCAGCCAGTGAGTCTTGGCATTACAGAAGGAAGTTAGGAGTTGGAGGAAAAACTCTAAGCACATGAAGAGATTGCAGCTGTAAAATGCATAACAAAAACTGGACTAGAATGACAGTTGGGAGCACTCCTTTTAGCACCAAACTTCTTTCCTAACTCCTATTCTGGAGGCTAATCATGTCTTTGCTACCTATCTCTGAAATGCTTGTATTTTAGCAAAATTTTTAGTAGAATTTTAAAAGTAGATTGGCCCTGCATTATCTCAGCTCTCATCATGTAAGCAAATGCTTACTCTATTTACAAGTAAGCGATATCTTGCATATCTAAAAAGAAAAGACATAAACATCCTATATTCATAGTTGAAAGAGTATTTTAAATTAAGACTTCTTTCTTAGCAAGAAACAAATGAGACAACGAAACAAGCAATTTCATTTGAGGTTAGGGTTCAGATACTTGCACTTTGAAACATTTTATAAGTGTGTGGAATAAACATATATGCTGTGGACTAACACATATGTTGTGTCCTTCCAAAATTTGAACACTGAGGTCAAATTCCCAATGCGATAACATTTGGAAGTGGGGTCTTTGGGAGATAATTATATTTAGATGAGGTTATATGGGTGGGATGTTTATGATGGCATTAATAGTATCCTCAAGAGGATAAGACCAGAGTGTGTTCTCTCTGTCTCTCTCTGTCTCTGTCTCTGTCTCTCTCCCTCTCTCTGAGGACTCAGTGTCCATCTGCAAATCAGGAAAAGGGCATTCACCAGGGAACCAAATCAGCTGCCAACTCCATTTTTGACTTCCCAGAAATAAGAGAAATAAAATTCTATGATTCAAGTCACCCAGTCTACAGTATTTTCTTATGACATTCTGGGTTGACTAATAGAATGTGTATCCTATACATTCAAAATACATATCTACCTACATGCCTGTAACAATCATCTATTAAAATGTATCGCTGTGCTTGGTTCAGTTATCCAGTGGTATTGCTTGAGTGATACAAGCTAACCAGTTTAAATTCTGACTATAATAGAATTGGTACAGTAAAAAACTATGCAGAATAGGCAAATCATGGGAAGCCAGGGAGCAAGGTGGTGAGAGCTCAGCTGGTGGACCCCCCGGTGGCGCAGTGATTGAGTGCTGGGCTTCGAAGCTGTCCGCAGCCTCTGCAGCACTGGTTCAATCCCTGGTTGGCCGGTGAGGGTCCCACATAGCGCAGCAGACCTCTCCTGCTGTGCCCGCTGCTCCCCTCAGCAGTGTATTTCGTCAGACTACCTGTTCTGTTCCCCGCTCTGGCTCTGGTGAATTTTCTCACCCTCCTGCGCTTCTGACTGTGCCCAGTACTTGTATAAATAGATAAATAAATCTTAAAAAAAAAAAGCTCATAATGAGAAGCTAAGTCTTGAAAGTCACAGGATCAACACCAAAGTCTGCAGTTGGAGAAGAAGAACAAGCCAGTATCTGGAGCCTTTGAGTCAAACATGTCAGATGAGACTTATGTTAGAAGACAAAACAACCCAGGGTCAGTAAGTCCCATATTCTTATTTGCCTGTGGGAAAATACTTGGTGATGATAAATGTCATAGTATAAGCAAATACAGGGGCAGTTATATATGTATTATAGTAACAAGAATAATGAATGTTAAATCAAAACATAAACATCTTAAATTCTAGTTAGTGAAAAATCATAAGGCAAAATATGTATTACAACACGCACTGTAGGGTAAATCCAACAACCATAGGAAACTAAATTGGTCCAGAACTTCAACAGTAGTAGTTTGATTTTCAGTAAAGACAAAAATAGCAGCAATTAAAAACTATGACCAATACAGATGATGCACTTGGACACAAGCCATCCTTCATCCAATTGTAGGGATTCCCGTTCCATCTTGTTTGTGGGCACACACAGTAGAGTTAAGCAAATTGCTAAATGCTTTGTGGTGGAGACTTCTTAGAAAAATGTGCATCTTCGGAAAACCATGGCAATGAGTTAATTTTAGTTTTTGGATGCCAACTTTTAGTAACTGCTAAACTCATCCAGTAGATAGCTGCTAGTGTACAGTTTATGTGAAAGTGAAGTGCTGTGGAATTGTGAGTCATCTGACAGTAAGAACCATTAGAATGACTTATGTCTGTGGAAGTTTGGGGTTGACCAGAAAGAGTCCACTGCAGGATGGAAAACCATTGACTGCTGGGCTCGGCTTGTGCTGCTGGCAGCTGAGCTAGAGCAGCGGGGCTCCTGGCTTAGCTGGCTGCCCATGGCCGCCTGGATTTGCAGGGCTCCTTTCCACTCTCACTAGAAAACTTATTGTTTTCCTGTGGTGATTGTCTGAAAATTCCAGATGAGTCTGGCTGTTGCATGATGCTGCTCCTACCTCCTGTTTAGGAGAAATGATGCTGTTTATGGCCACACCATTCCTGGACTAGAGCTCTCTCACCCATAAAGTCTATAAATCAAATGTGACCATTTAGAAAATAATGTTGTGGAATAAGATTAAAAATTTTGGCAGTTACATATGATGTATACATTAGCAAAAAATTGTCTTTAAGACATGTTTTAGGTGTAATAGTTAAAAACTGTAAGCATGATGGGTCACTAACAAACTTTTAAAATAATAGGCATAAAAGTTTTAGGAATATCGATCAGTTCATTCAGGATGGTGGGTATGGGCATTAATAAAGTATGCAAAGAGTGTAAACTTTTTGAGGATTAATTTCTAAGATTTGCATTTACCAGAAAGACTTAAATTCCTGAGCAAATTCAGCAATGATAAATATATACAACTGTTTCCTTTAGCTAAGCCAGGATGTCCTCTGCCTCTTGTAAAAGTCCATTTAAGTCAGATAATTTCTTTCATGGACTGAAATATTTATTTTTTTTCACTTCTATACAAGAATATTTAACATGTTCCTGAAGAGACCAAAGCTATAATAATAGCGAGTGATAATTGGATAGCTTACAGTATCTCTTAACACCTATAAATGCTATCTTTTCCATTATGTAGACAAAAGAACTGGAGCATAAACACTTACGAGAAATCCTCGACTATTTTCACTTCTAAAACATCCAAGACTATACACAAAATTAACTGCATGGCCAGATGTTTACATACTCCTAATAAAAGTTTACAATTTCCTGCAAAAGAATTGTACTAGCTGCTTCAGGATGTGGGCAAGAGAAGTATGTTCTTGTGGTGGTGATTTCCCAAACAAGAAAAAAAGTTAGAATGACAAATCTTTGCTGTTTCAGACTACTAGTTCTGATTTAGAACAAGTACATAGAACTATTTAAGAAATAACTTAGAAGTAAATATTCCATGAATCATCAAAATTAAGTAAAATGATTTTAAATTTACAATGGAAAGAAATACCTTCAAATAATTTGATATTATCAAAGCTTTTTATTATACAGCATTACACTTTAGGTTGACATACTAGAACTAGTATATCCCACAACCATATAAAATAAATATGCACATATATCCTTTAATGGTCTAGTCAACCCAGCACCGAGGGACTGGTCACCTGAGTCTCAGAGCTAGTAGTGGGAGTGCCAATCCCGGTGCCTTATCTAAAGGATTTTTCAGCAACTCTTTTAAAAAGCACAATTGGTACCTAATACTTTCTTCCTAACCTTTGAATAAAATTTTATTTGAATCTATGCTACTCATAAAACTCAGACTACCTCTTCCATTTACCATAAAAAACAATATATTAATTATGTAAATTGCTAAAGAAATGCCTTTGAACAAGAGTTTTTGATACGATAGCACATATAAAGAAAAATGCTAATGAATAAAGACATTTAAAAAATTCCGAATCTATTGTCCAGACAATACATTGTTTGGTTTTTTTGTTCAGACCACTTTTCTAATATTACTGGGAGTAACAAGGATCAAATTAAAACTATAATAAAAACTAAAACCAAGGGAAGATGCAGACATAAAATGCCCCTTTATTAATAAGAATAAAATAAAATATCAAAAAGTGAATATTAAAGAAAAAACCTTTGTTATGTTGCATCCTCTTTAATTAGCCATATTAGTGTACCTTATATTCTTTGTAATCATTGTTGTCTAGCAAGTCCCTTTTATCCAGTTCTGTCAGTTGCTCTGCTGAGGGCTTGGCTTGCAGGTGCTTAATAGAGGCTTGTTCATATATAGGCTTTCCATTAAAAAACAGTTCCTTCCAATCACGCATCATCTTATGTGGAATCAGACTATGGCAGAAAAGCAAAAAAGAAGGTAGAGATGAATCAATGGTTAGTCAAATATACACCTGTTATTATATTCATTCTCCAGGGTCTGCTATTTGAGACCAAAGATTTCATTTGGCATTACAGTCCTAATGGTTAGTAAAATGTCTGGAACTTGGTAGGCTTGATTGAATAACATCACAGGTTCATCCAATTTTATTTTTTTGATTATGCACCAAAGAACAGTACATCTAAAAATAATAAGCACTATCATAAAACTTACATGCTGATATGCAGCTGTAGTGGTAAATGGCTGTGCAATCAGGAAATAATCCAAATGCTTAGTACATTTTGCCTAAAAGCTATTGTCTAATAAAAGTTTTCTAGCTTGCTAAGCTGCTCCTTCACTGGTCCTATGGCTAGAGGGGACAGGATTTTATTGGGGCTATATTTTTTCTGCACCATTGGCATATTTTTTATGTTGCAAAATATTCACAATTCAGCCTGGGCGATGCAAGGTAAAAAGAACCTAGAAGCTTGCCTGATGTGGTCATGAGGCCACAACTCAGTGACACTTCTACCTTTCAAAATCTTTTTTTTTTAATTTTTTCATTTTTAAAAAATATTTATTTATACAAGAACCAGGGTACAGACCAGAGGCGCAGGAGGGTGAGAGGATTCACCCATGACAGAGTGGGGAACAGAACATGCAGACTGACAAAATACACTGCTGAGGGGAGCAGCAGGTGAGACAGGACAGGAGAGGTCTGCCGCACCATGTGGGATTCTCCCCAGCCGGCTGGGATCGAACCGCACTGCAGAGGCTGCAGATAGCTTCACAGCGCGGCGCTCAACCACCTGCACCACCAGGGGAGGCCCTCAAAATCTTATTTACTTCACAATCAATGGTGTCTACAATCTCATTTTTTGCATTCTCTGTATATCTCTAATGCGTCAATTATGAAAACAACACTCACTTATTTGTCAACATTCGATAGTCTGCTACTTTAGTAGACAAATCAAGTATTTGATCCAAAATTTCTGCACATATTGAATAATGCTTTTTGTAACGGGCTTGAGCTCTTTCCACAGCAATCTGTTCATGAACTTCCTTTTCTCTTAGGGCTTGTTCTTCAAAATCAATCTTGGCTTGTTTTGCCAAAGCCTAGAAGACAAAGATACTTTAAAGAAGGTATAATTATGTGATAACAGAAAAGAAAATAATGTCATCATCTCAATAGCCAAAAAGAAAAATCTCAAGATATATAAAAATCTTTTTTTACACCAGGGATGAACACCTTCTTCTTAATACATTATGAACTAGTGCGCTGACAAAAACAACATTAGAAACATTCCACCCTTAGCTAGTCACCAAAACATAGTACAAAGAAAAGTGTTGTAGCTGGAAAAAGCCCAATGCAGATTAATGATAAATTGGATCTTAAATGTTTAAAAAGAGGTACTGAGTCTGCAGGTTGCAAAGAGTCAGAGTTGGGGATCACAGATTTGGGGAGAAACAGACAAATCTGTGCCAGATCCCTTTGGACAAATTCCATGACTGCTCTGGCCGGTATGGCCTTTGTTTTTTAGTGGGGGAGTTTTAGAATACTCAAAGTATTTTGGAAATTCTCTAATACTGGATTGAGGCTATTACACATTTGCCAACAAATGTTAGTGTTTAGACAATGACAAAAATCTTCTGCTATTATGTCCTGAATAACTTGATAATAATTCATTCATAGAAATGTCAATTTCAGCAGAAAGTAATGAAATAATTAAATCATTTGTCCTCATCCTCTGCATGGTTGGCATTGTTATTTTGTCAAGGATACCCTTTTTCACACAAAATGAAAAGGCCAAATTCAGCTCAGACAAGCTGAGAGTAACAAAATAATACTCAAATTAGTGGGATTCATAAGACCAAATGTTACATTTCCAATAGTGATAGCAGCAACTTGAGAAATTCTATCCTGTGCTAACATGCTTTACAAACAAGACTTGCCTCCTGGAACTTAACCCAAGGAGTGTAAAATGGAGGTTAATGTGGGCCTTGGAGGAGCTGAGGTCAAATTAAATTGTATCTGTGCATTGAAGTCAAGTTCTAGTTGTAAAAGCCTGAGCAAGCAGGAGCCCCATCCTACACGCCCCCAGCCTTCTTTTCTTCAATGAAAAGGTGATAGGTTAATAAGATCTTGTATTTACAGAAAAACTGATCGAATCATCTTTTCAGAGCAAACATTTCTCTTCATATGGTCCCCAAAGGACCGAATGCATGGAAGGCTGAGATTCATTTGTTATTGTTTTATTTTTGTTGGGGACAGGGTTGTGCTGGGTCACCTCTAAAGTCAATTCTGCACATTTGATTGGTTTGGGAATTAGATCAGAATTTGGTATTGTTGCATTGTTTTTGTGAGCCCTGTTTTCAGGGGAAAAACATAAAATTCAGGCAGTCAGCTTTGTGGCATGCTTCATGAAGTGTGAAGTTCAGAAAACACTTGTAACAACATTTAAAATGCCACTTACATGGATTTCATGTCTCTCCAATCCAATCTAGACTAATGGATTGAATAAATTTGAACTATACCCAATGGAAATAAATAAGTGATTCATATAATCCATGCATAAAATTAATCTATTTTGGTTACTAGAACCCATATATATTTTTATTGATGTATTTATATACATTAATGCTTACAAGTATTATACATTGTTATATAAATATTATAAAAATAGATGCTAATGTACTGAATAAACAACTGGATATTATGATTTTCAGAGCTATAAAGGGTCTTTGACACCATAGTAGTTAGGAGTATACCTCACACCCAGATCTCAGTTTCTATATATCATTCTCAACTGCAATGAACCAGAATACCGTAGATAAATGACCTATTGTAGTTCTGAGGGAGGAATAGTACAATATGCTTCTGGGAAATATTGTTTTATTAGAAAGCATGGGATTATATATTAAAGACTATTGTGTTATTAAAAGGAGGCATTTAAACCTAGTCTCATTGCCTGAGAATCTTCACTGAGAAAAACCAACTCACTACCATTCTTGTAAACTTAGAGGACTTTAAAGAAAAGGAAACACCTTTACGCACCTTAAAAAAAAAAAAACAGAGTAATGGACTCAAAGATATGAAAATCAGAGTTCTTATCATTTTTTTTAAAGCAACACCTTATACCTGAAGAAAATAGGACACCATTTTCAAGGAAAGAAAACATGAACCAAGAATTTTTATATAGCAAAACTGTTTTGTTCTTTTTTTTTTTTTTAAAGGCACATACCATCATCAAAATACAGGAACCCAGTGAGCATTGTTTCTGTGAGTCACTCCTGAGAAATCTGAAGAGAGAGTTTCAAGTAAGGAAGTGACCAAAGAAACATGGACATGAAAAGACTGAAGGCAAACATTAAATACTCAGTTACTTGTAGCATCCAGTCTTTGGAGAGGCACTGTTGTTCCCACAGAGTAGGGATAAGAGAAAGATCATATAAAATGAATTCTTATTAAGTGACTGGCAACCAAACACAACTTGGTTTGCCTTGACTTGGTAGAAAGGAACAATATTAAACTTAGAAAGATTTTTAAAGGAGATGTTTACCGCCTCTCGATCAAGAGCATCCTGGAAATCTTTCAGTCGTCTTTCTTCATATTGTTTTTCTCTGAAAATTCTGTTTTGCCATAAAACTTCCTTCTCGTGCCGGACATGCATGAGCTGAACGGCAATCCTGCGCTCCTGCTGGGATTGTCGCATCAGCCGGTTAATCAGCTGCTCTTCCCGGTAAGCCTCCTGCAACCACCAGCACAAGAGCCAGTTATCTGTCAAGGCCACATCCAAAGTGGGCCAAGAAGCTTATATACCAATAACGTGGGAAAGACTCCTTTCACCTTCATTGTCCCTTCACACTCCTATGTGTCTGCCATAGATTCACTCCCAAGAGAGAATGAGAGCAGTTTTCTTGTTATTTTTGTTCACGATCACATCTCTGGACCTAGGATAACTACCCAGAAATTACACAGTGATAAAAGGACAGTCTCTTAAATGGTGGTGGGGAAGCTAAATGTCCACATGCAAAAGAATGAAAATGTATCCTTCATGCAACCTACACAAAAATCAACACAGATTGGATTAAAGATTTACACATACAAATGAAACTATAAAACTACCAGAAGAAAAATCTTATTGATATTGATCAAGGCAATGATTTTTTTGGATATGAACCTTAAAGCAAAACCAACAAAAGCAAAAGTAGATAAATGGGATTCCATCATACTAAAAAGCTTGGGTTCACTGAAGGCAACCATGGATGGAGTAAAGCGGCAACCTTCAAAAAGGAGTAAAATATTTGCAAGCTATAATATTTGGTTAATATCCAAGACATATAAGAAAGTCAACTCAGCAGCAAAATCCCAAATAACCCAATTAAAAAATGGCAAAGGACATAAATGAACATTTCTCAAAAGAAGCCAAACAGATGGTCAACACACATATAAAAAGGTGTTTAATGTCACTAATCAGCAGCGAAATGCAAGCCCAAACCACAATATGACAGCACCTCACATCTTAGCATGGCTAGTTTCAAAAAGACAAGAGGCAGCAAACATGGGTAAGGATGTAGAGGAAAGGGAAACCTTGTATATTACTGGTGGGAATGTAAATTGAAATAGTCACTATGGAAAAAAACAAGGTTCCACAAAAAAATAAAAATAAAACTATCAATCACACACTCCACCAATTCCACTTCTGGATATATATTCAAAAGAACGAAATAAAATGAGAGATGTTTGCACTCTCATGTTCATTGCAGCATTATTCACAATAGTCAAAATGCACAAATAACTATCCATCAATGGATGAATGAATAAAGAAATGGGGTATATTTGCAATGGAATATTATTCAGCCTTTAAAAAGGACATACTGCCCTTTGTGATGACATGGATGAACCTGGAGGACATCGCACTTAATATGTCAAATCTAAACAAAAGTCATACTTACTAAAACAAAGAGCAAAAAGTAGTTTTCAGGGGAGATGTTGGTCAAAGAGTAGGTATAAAGTTTTGGTTCCGTATAATAAGTTCTAGAGATCTAATGTACAGCAATGTGACTATAGTTAGCAATACTTTGCTGTTTTCTTGAAATTTGCTAGATTAGCTCTTTAGTATTTTCACCAAACACACACAAGATGGTAACTATACAACAGATATGTTAATTAGTTTGGTTATGTATAATATATGAAAACATCATATTGTATACCTTAAATATATTCAATTTTCATTTGTCACTTTTATACATCAGCAAAACAGGAGAGGGGAGTTCACTTTTAGATCTAAAATACGAATAGATATGTGGTGGACATAGATTTTAGATTTTGCTTTTGCCAGTAGCTTTTATTATGGTAAAATGCAGATAACATTTACCATTTCAACAATTTTTAGCATGTTATCAATGGTATTATGTACACTCAAAGTGTTGTATGACCATCACTGAATTTTAGATTCTTTAGTAGATGTTTTATTTAGGTTTGTATCTCTGGGTGTATTTGTTATCATGATGTTAGAACATAAAATCGACGTTTGATTCAGAGTGGCAGACATTGAATACACAAGACACAAGTACGTGTGTATAAAAGACTAGATTTTGTAAAATTATTAGCACTATTATTTAACCAACATGTAAATATCATACCTCCTGTGCTTCATGGGCTATTAATTGATCCATTAACAGTCTCCTCCGTCTTTTCTCCCTTTGTTCTCGTGCAACAGCATCTTCTTCTAGACGTTTTTGGATTTTTTTAATGTAGTCATCATCCGAATAAGTGGTTAACAAATCAGTAGTTGTCTGACCTGCTGTGTCTAAAGCAGTCTTGGATGCACTAAGAACAACAGTCTTTATTTTAAAATAATGCAATCACATGCCACTACTTACGACTATGGAGGAAAGCCTCAGAAGAAGGCTCCTTTGAATGCGTTGTTAACATATTAATATAAGCATTAAAACAAATATTAGAACTTCAGCATGGCACTCATTGCTTATTAATAGATTCCATTTGCCTCACCCCAATTCTGTACTCTGTGAGGTCCATAGCAGAGCCTTCTTACTAAAACTATTACTATTTGTCCATTTACTTCATATAATCTTCGTTGTATTCAGAGATTCTGAAATTCCTCTCCCTGTTCTTCCTGCTGATTCTAAGTGTCTCTACTCCCCTGTTCCGAGTCAATAGTAAGTACAAAGATATATATACATAAGTACCAAATAATCAATTCCCATCTGCATATATCTCTTATATTTTATTTTAAAAACAGAACATAACACCACAATGGTATAAGATATACCATAATGTTAACTGCCAAGAAAAGAGTTTTCATATTGTCAATGATAAGTGTTCTAAATATTATAGTTATTAATGCATTTGGCTTTAAAACATAACTTATAACCTTAAAAGGACACATTAATAGGTGTGTAGGGACTAAATAGAAGCCAATTCTTTTATAGAGACAAATACTCTTACAAAACTGTTAATGCATGTTTAATGAAGTAATAATCATGTTTATATAGATCATATTATATTATAGTACAGAGAGTGAGTCTCAGATGAGCGTCTCATAACCAGAGGTTACTGGCCCAGGGGCTCAGCTGCCTACTGCTCTGAGAAGTGGGGGCATCGAGAGCTTATCAAGAGCCTCCCAGTGGGAAATCTCTGGCAGGAGCAAGTAGAGGCTTCAGCAGAGAAAGGACCTGTGATAGGTTCTGCTATTTCCCTCCATTTACTCTCAAAGAGCTTCAATTTTTTTCAGGAAAACAATGCATCCAATAAAAAGACTACATTGCCCAGACTCCCTTTCTGCTAGGGATGGCCATATAGCTGAATTCTGACCACTAAGATGGAAGCTGAAATGTTAAGTGGAACTTCTAAGAATGTTCTTTAAGGGAGTTATTTCAGATTGAAGTTATCCATTTTTTTTCTCTCTCCTTCCTGATATCTAGAACATGGACCAGATGACTAGAGCTCCAGCTGCCATCTTATATCATGAATATGCCTTCAGAGAAGAGAAATACACAACAGGAAAGTGGAGCAAAAGAAAAGGAAGATCTTAAGTTTGTGGTGACCTTGGGACTGCAACACATCCCCTACTGCCTGCATTCTGATTCTATTACACTTCTAATGCAACCCGCTCTTGTTTGAGGATTTCTAAAGCTAAGTCATAGACCTACGTTCAGGTTGGGTTGGTGGTAAAGAGCAGGTTGAAGGTTGCTGTGCCATATAGGGATCATGCATTTTATATTATGCAATACACAATTTCTACACAATTTCACAACCAGAGTTAGTGCCAAGCACAATGATATCTTCCAATCTCTGTATCAACATCCATTTTGATGGTTTAGTGTCTTGTCCATGTCCGTTATTAAATGTTTTCATCCCTATGTGATACAGCATGGTACAGGCATCATGTGGATGTGACTTAGGTCACAACACAGAAGAACGACTTCATCTCTCATAACAGCCACTTCTCCTGTTGAACTTTACAAAAGCTGTTATTGAACTCATTTATCTTCCTCTATATACTCTCTTAATGAAGATTTTATGAAACAAAGTGATCTTTGAAATAGCAATTCCATGTAAAGTATTTCTAAATATCCAAAAGTTAGTTTTGTGATTATTAAAATAGTTGAGATCCCACCTTTCTTTTGCCTGGAGATCCTTTTTTATTAATGCTTCAAACTTCTTAATCTCATTGGCCACATCCTTTAAAGAAAATTCAGTATCAATTCTCCACCACCAAAAACTATTGAATATTTTACTGACCATTCATTCAAGTTTAAAAGGTGGCATGCACTGCGAAGTCAAGCTAACTATGAAGCAAGGTATGGCAGGCTGCATTCAAGAATATTTTTAAAATTTCGCTTTGCTACTTTCAGACTAGGCTAAACATATTGAAAAGAATGTCTAGCAAGAATCATTCGGTTTAAAGTTCTAGTTCTGGTGCATCAGCAGGTATGTAATAAGAATGAAGAATCTCAGAGTCAAAACATGCATTTTTATTTGTAATGCTCTTAAACAAAATAAGCATTTTTAAACATAACTACTTCTTTAAAAATCATTGTCTTGGGTATTTTAAACATTTTTCATGCAATCCTATTTATATTACTAATTTGCTCCCTGAAAATTAATTTTAGCTCACCCACTATCTACTGCAAATCCTAATTTAGTCAACTCTGTGAAATATAAGAATATAATACTCTACTGAAATGGGGTCTGGAGAAGTGCCTTTGTGGGTGGTATTTTTTAGAATCCAAGTAAAAGATTTTTTCATATTAAAAAAACAAAGAAATATGAATTACATAAACTGCAATGGATTTAGAAAACCAAGAGATTTGTCAGTTTCTGTTTTACCAGCAGTTATCACTTTACCAGAGAACTTGGCTAAACAGGTCAGTTTTCTGAGTCTCAATTTCCCCATCAATAAAATGGGTAAAATAATGCCGAGATTTATTTACAAGTTAAAGAGAATATGAAGTGGTCAACCCATAGCCTGACACATACCAGAAGCTTAATAAATGGTAGCTGTTATTTTTTTCCCTTAGGTCTTTCAAGTAAACATCATTAACATTCACTGTAGCAGTATGAAGAGGAGACTGCAGGCATTAGTATCAAAAAGTAGTCATTGTGCCCCCTGTGAAATACAATCAGATTATATTCTATTGAAATAACTGGTAGTTGGTATAGTTTAGCAAAAATATCATGAGATTAGGAGCTCGAATTTCAATATACTGCTGGTGAGCAAACCACTTAAAGTTTCCAGGATTCAAAGAAAAATAGTGCAACATGGTAAAGAAGAATTGAATAAAATCTTATAGGAGGACTGGCACATACATGGTATGAGTACTTCGACTAGCCCCTGCTGCACCCATGGGCGTTATAAGCCACATGACAGCACTGGTTCTGGCTTAGTCAGCCAGCCAGAGACCACAGAATCCTCAACACAAGAGTGCAGTCGGCCACCCTCATTTAACATGAGTGTGTCATCCCTGGCCTCAGCTATGTCCTTTGCTTCAGAACAAAGAATGGTATAAAATGGGTTGTATATGCAAACAACAGAGGGATTTTGAATGATATAGTAGAAGAAGAAAGTAAGAAGCTTGGGAGGTCTTTATAAGTTTAAGGGAGAAATCATTCTTTCATTAAGATAAACAACATATTAAAAGATAATCACTCACCTCTGCCTCTCTTTTCTTTTTCATCATTTTTTGGAACTCAAGTGCCTTCATAGGACGATTTGATGCAGGTTTGGGAATCTGTATGATAGCTGCTTGGATTTTGGCCATTATCTCATTCTGTCGTCTTCTGCTCAGGCGTTGCTGAATATCCCATAAACATGAGTTTAGCTATTCAGCTCACCAGGTGAATAGGCAATGGTATGCACTCACAGGTACACATACATACAATTTTCCCATTAAAATTTTCAGAAATCAGCACCAAAGGACTAGGTGTCACAATTGTGTAATATTCAGAAGCAATGTAATGCCAAGGGGAAACCTGATTCTTTTTCCACTCTCTGGCAAGTAATAGGATCATAAGATCTTTCAGAGTTTGCCTCTCATCATTTCTTCCCTCCCCACAAAGAAGAACTGTTATTATTTTGCCTGTAGTTTACTCATCCATGTATCCAGCCACCTGAAATTCTCTGAAAAGTCTTTAATGCTTCCACACACAATTGTCCTCTCATGTCCTTAAAGGCACAGGAGATTATTAAAACGTTTTCAAAGGAATCTGAGAAGCAGCAGGGAGTGAGCCCCAATAAAAAGGGCTACAAAGATGTTAAGAGATATTTAAGGGGACTAGAAAGGAAGGAAGGAATCACTCCACATTGCCAGAAAAAGAGAAACAGAAGAGGGAAACGAAGAAGGTCCAGTCTTTCTCCCTCAGTAATGACATTGGCCGTGAGCTCCCGCTAGCCTGGGTGGCAGCAGCCCTGTCCCAAAAACATCTGAACCATTAATTTAAATTTCTAAAACTTTTTTGAAATTTTTCAAGATTCTCAAAATACATGTGGACAAGATCTTTCTTTTGTTCATATTTTTCTTGAAACCTGTGGGTAATCCACACTAGGTAGAAATCAGTTTAATGGTTTCAAGTTTCTAAGTCTCTTAGTGATAAAGGCATTTCAAAAGGTTCTGTTATTAGAGAACAAAGGGGAAGCAGGCATTATAAGCACATAGGAAATTTGTCTTCAAAATAAATTCCTATGAATATTGCTGATGGGTGAAGCCCCGCACTTAACACAAGGACAATTAAAACAAATTATCTGAATTCTCTCTTCAAAATAGTCTCAAATATACTTTAAATTTTCTCTCTGAGCTTAATTTTCAATGAATGGCACTTGAATACTTGGAAATACCTTTTCATAAAAATAATGTTATAAAACCAATTTCAACACGTAAGAGATAATATAAAGAGCAAGATCTTTCCATTTTCTCTTCCTCAAAAAAAGTGAAGAAATATTAAAACCTCCAGAGTACTGCAAATGAGAGAGCAAAAGCATAAGAAAAAGAACGTTCAGAGATGATTAGGAAGGAGATGAGTTTAACTAAATCTTTCACTGTTATATCCTAAATAATCTCCTTCGAAGCTGGAGACTTTAAAAAAGAAAAAATGGTACAATTTGCCTAAGCCATTTCTGGTCCTTCTCTTCTAAAACTGTCTCAGTAGCTGCTGGCACTCACCTTAGAAGACCACAGAGGACCTTGGAACTGACTTTTAGCCTTTACGTGCCATCCTGCACTTCCCACTATTAAAAATGGGCTGGCCTCCATCTTCACAAGGCAATGAAAATGTCAGATCCTTGAACTTCCTGCTGCTCCCCTTGAACACCCACCTGTAGCCTCAACTTAATGTCTCTCCTGACAGCCCAGGAACTTCCCTGAGATACAGTATAGCCTGCAGGTTGGGGGTGTGGCTTCTAGAGTCAGGCTGCCTAGGCTTGAGGGTCAGCTCTACCACCTGCTAGCCTCAAGAAGGTCGGGCAAATCACCTAACCTGTCTGTACCTCAGTTTCATCATTTGTAAAATGGGAATAACAAAAGTCCCTGTCTCATAGGACTGTTGTGAAGACCAAGCAAGATAAAACATATGAAGCAACAGGGCTTGGCATCTCATTCCGTACACTCATAAATTTTAGTCATTATTAATATTATCACATAAGAGACACTTTATCTTCCTCCATCTGGTATCACAGAAAAAGGCATCTCTGCTTCTTTCCTGAGATTTCTCCTTCATCTGGACCATTGATTCATTCTGCCTCTTCTCGTCCACAAAGGATCTCCAGTGTCCTCCCGCCGGTCACCTGCCACTGATTGATTCTCTCGCAGGCAGGTGCTCCCTGTCTCCATATTCAGAAAACAAACCCACGCTTGAGCTTTTCTCCACAGCTGCTTTTGCTTTTCTCTCCTCTACCTCCACGTTTTTTGAAAGTATAGTCTGTGCTCCCTTCTTCCGCTCCAATTTACTCCACAACTTACTGTAAACTACACTGCTCTGCTGCAACATTTTTCTCTCCCTAAAATGTAAGCTCTGAGATGGTTGGGCTTTTCCCCTGTGTTTTTCATTATGCAAGTATCTGACATAATAAACAAATATTTATTCAGTGAATGAGTGATTGACTCTGGAAGGTCACCAAGACCAACCTCAAATCCAACATTCTTTTGTTCGATGTCATCTGCGTAGCTCTTACAACACAGGTTATTGTTGACTGTTTTATACATTTGTAGGGTCAGGAATACCACAGCGCAGGTTTTCTATGATCCAGCAGACCGGGTAAAGGAGGAGTCAGAGTCCTCAGTGGTTTTGCAGGTTTTTATTGGGATTTACCAGGTACACGGCAGGCAGGGGCGCTGGGGGGCCGGTAGGCTGGCAGGCCTCCCAGCCCCCAGCAGGTCTTCACTCTGTGCTCTCCGGCCTTCTCTCGACTTCTGCTTCTCTTGCTTCTCTCTCGGCTTCTGCTGGTGTCCCCGTGACGCCGCCTTTAAAAGTCCAGTCTCTCAGCCCAGGTGTGCCCACTCCAGGTGCCCGCCATCAGGCATGCATTCAGGACTACAGGGTTCCCTCATCTATCCTAATGGCGGGAGGGCAGAAAAGCCTGATACCTTTTACCGACCCTACACTTTACAAAAAAAAAAATCTCATGTATGTTGTCTTCTTGAAGCTATAAGCACCAGTTAACTCGGGTGCAGGTAGAGACAATCATCTTTGTTTTAACAGTCAGGAGATTGAGACTGCGGCTGTTGCAGGGACTGCCATCAAGGGAGCAAACTTGTAAGCGAAGGAGGCCGATGCCATGTTATTTGGCTTTCAGCCTAATCTATTTCTCTCTCTCCGTGGGGGTGCTGAGTTCATTCTGCTACCAGGCTCATAGAAATGTCCGTTTAGAATAGACACATCTAAAAGGAGAGCTGGCCCTCACATCTATGTTGTCACTGTTGCTTCATAAATTAAATTTAAGGATTGAATTATTTCCATTTCTATTTAGTGCATTCCATCGGTGCAGCACTCTCCATTATCCTACAGGCCTGGAGAAGTTCATATGCTTCTCTTACCATAACGAGCTAGCATGGAAAATAGAACTGTCAACTAAAAAATTGTGTCAGTTAATCAAAATACAATTTAATGAGTATTTTCAATGTTCAAAGTATATACTAGGAATATTCCCTGAATCTGAGGAATTAAAAATCTTGTGGCAAATAAATAATGAAAATTAGCCAACCATGTAGGCAGCAGGGAATTAATATGGAGAGTGAGAATTACCTCCACCCTATGAGCTCCACAGGCAGAAGCCATGTACACCAGGAAGAATGCACAGAGGCAGATGGAAGAAAAGTTGAGGGAAAGAGGAGAGATGAGAAGGGTGAGCTTGGGTGGGAGAGAAGGGAAAGCAGGACAAGCTGCTGATTAACATAAAAGGGAAAACAACTGTAGCTGGGACTATAGAGGTAGAAAAATGGTGTAGGGTAAGGAAAAATATCAGGCTTTTCTGCCCTTCCGCCATCAGGAGAGATGATGGATCCTTGCGGTCCTGAATGCATGCCTGATGGCGGGCACCTGGAATAGGGTGTGGGCCTAGGTAGATGGGATTCACCTGGGCTGAGACTGGGCTTTTAAGGGCGGCGTCACGGGGACGCCAGCAGAAGCCAAAAGAGAAGCTGAGAGAGAAACAGAGAGAAGGCCGAAGAGCCTAGATAGAATGAAGACCTGCTGGGGGCTGGGAGTCCTGCCAGCCTCCTGGCCCCCCAGCACCCTTGCCTGCTGTGTACTGGGTAAATCCCAATAAAAAGCCTGCAAAAACCACTGAGGACTCTGACTTCTCCTTTACCCGGTCTCCTGGATCATAGAAAACCTGCACTGTGGCCATTCCTGACTCTACAAATGGGTTGAATTAAAGATCAGTTAGGGAAAGATTTTGAATGTTAATCTAAATTGGAGATAGAATATATGCAAAATAGAAAGTTTCTGAGCAGAACCCAAAGAAATGGAATTTTAGGTTTATTTAGCAGTTAATTAAGCTCCTGTAGAAAGCCTGAATTTTGGGAGACATGTTGGCAGAGGTGGGAAGAGAAGAGCAGACATAAAAACATAGGCAATTAAGCACAAACAGAATTTGATAAACTACTGTCAATGTGAATACGATGGAAGAAGGTATCAAAAGTGGGTAAATGAACGGAAAATACTAATATTAAATGAAGCCCAAGTGTGGCCCATAACATCCAAGCGAGTGATAAAAACCCAAAGGGGCTTCACTGAGGGATGCAGCATGACATCATCTCTCTGTACCAGGGTTGATATCGTGATGTGCTTATAAAGTGTCTTTATGGACTTACATCTCGAAAAGCCTCACTTTTCATGTTTTGAAGCTTTACACCGGGGATGGGGTGCAGGCTTGGCACTTCCAATCCACTTGGCCCGCCTCTCTTCCTCTTCTGCAGAGTGATGTATAACTGATATAAAAGCTTTGTTGCTGCCCCAGGCTTTTCTGTGATGATATTTTGGGCCATGTTCTGATCAAACTGTACGCCAAGGAGATGGAGTGTTGGTTCCAAGCGAGAAAAATTACTGCGTTTGGTACTGGGGTTCCTAGGTGTGGAAATATTTTGCATAATTAAACACTGCCATGGAATTAAAAACAACTCTCAGAGGTACTGCCATGATCCAATATCATGAATCACCCTGTGTTCTTTAAAAGATATCATTCCTTTCTAAAGTCACTCAATCATGTAAATACATTGAAATTTTCCATTATCCTAAACTCCATGATTTTATTTCTCCTAAATAGCTAAATAAAATACATTAATTTTGTACTTTATTGCTTAGATACTTGGATTTCTACTAGAAGTCAATACCAAAATATAACTAAGTGCTTTCTTCTAAATGGAAAAGCTTTAGTATGGTTTTGAAAAATATTTTACCCTAAAGGCAAATTGCATTTTAGATGTGTTTCTTCAAATGAAAATAGTCCTAAATATTGCATTGACCAAGCCTCCTGGGCACTGTTAGAAATATTTAATTAAATAATATCAGCTCTGCAATCAAATTAATTATGTACTTTTTATTATACAACTTGTATTACTACTTTAAGAGTTAATAAAGACTTTATAATTATAAGACATACTTATTTTTGAATCATCTATTAGCAAATCAGGTTCATATTAGAAGAAATTCATTGATCCATTCATGTATTAATTCACTCTCTTAACTAGCATTTATTGAATACATTATGTACCAAGTGTATTTATTAAATTTGATATGTTTTAATAAATTTATTAAAATGCTACAGAGTCCCTGCCCTTGTGGAATTCAAAGTGGGAGAAGAGGTGAATCAACAAGTGTGATAAATTGAATCGAGGTCCCACATGAGCTAGGACTGTTAATGAGCCTATGAATCCGGTGACAGAAAAAAGGCAAAAGATGATGGATGCATTTTAAACTTCTATGCCTCTCTGTGATCAAACTGGATGTAAATATCAATTTTAACCACTGACTTACTCTTTCTTTGCTTAATGTTGGTGACAGTCTCCAGTGGGGAAAAACATTAGGTATAATTTAATATGTCAGAATCCTCCCCTTTGCTCCTCCCGCAACCTGCAAAGATACCTTAGAACAGAGAATGTTGCTATATATTTGATTACCTACAGAATTTCTAATATTAAAGGACTACTCACCCAATTGTTTGACTTGGAACTATGAAATTATTTGGGGAAGATACTTTGACCTTCGTGACTTCAGTTAACTTTCAGAAGTTTATAGAGATCATTTAGCACTTAAACTTTGAGACGGAGCAACATGGCGGCGAGGAGACGCTGCGAGTAAGATCTCCCATTAAAAAAAAGTGAATAGGGAGGAAAAGCGGCAGGTCCCAGTGAGAACTGGGACACGGAAGATAAACGGGTGACTCCAGCACACTGCCCGAAGAAGAAAGTTGCCATAAAAGAGGACGAGAAGGGAGGGAAGCGCAGAACCCTGCTCCCCTCCCCCGCCCACAAAGTCGGCACTCTCCGACCGGCAGAGAGGAGGAAACAACAAACCAAAACGGCCCACAAGAAAAACGGACACAGCAAGCGGGACTGTGAGTGGAAAGGAACTATTGCAGCCACCACACCCCGTGAACGGGAGCTGAGGCGAACCCTGCAGGATCCGCTGCGGAGGTGAGCTCCAGGCGCCATTAAAGAGAGCCCCGCCCCCCAGGAGGAGACCAGCACCAGCACACAGCCCCGGCCGCCCGGCTGCTTGAAACTGACAGATGACTCCTGGAAGAACCAGAGGGGAACAGAGAAGCCCACCCAAGATGCCGGCCAGTCCCAACAACACAGTGTCCCAACGCATACAGCAAATTAGAAAACAGACAGTAGGGAGGAGAAGAACCACACACAACCTAGCAACTCTCCAGAGAAAAAGCACACCACAAAAAGAAAGCCAGCCCCCAGATTGCAAAGACAATAACTTGGAAGAATTTCTGAGCCTTCCAGAAAGAGAATTTAAAATTGCCGTGATTAAAAAACTGACAGAAGTCATAAAGGAAAACAATGATAAGGGAAAAATAATCAACGATCAGAAGAATGCAATTGAGTCCCTAGAGAGGGAAAACAATGGTCAGAAGAAAGAAATTGAGTCCCTAAAGAGGGAAGTAAAAGAAATGCAGGAGATCAAAGAATTAATGGAAGAACTAAAAAATTCTGGGAAAAGCAATGAAAGCAGAATAGATGAAATGGAAGAACGAATAAGTAATCTTGAAGACACAGAAATAAAAAGAACCAAAACAGAAAAGGAAAGAGAAGTACGAAGGAAAAAGAACGAAGAAAGACTTCGGGAACTATCTGACTCCATGAGGAAAGGAAATATAAGAGTTATAGGAATACCAGAAGGAGAGGAGAGAGATGTAGGAACAGAGAAAATATTCAAAGAGATAATTGAAGAGAACTTCCCAAACGCGAAGAAGGAGCTGAAAATTGATATACAAGAAGCAAGAAGAACACCAAACTTCCACGACGAAAGGAAAAATACAGCAAGACACATAATAGTAAAGCTCCCAAGAATCCAGGACAAGGAAAAAATAATGAAGCTGGCAAGAGGGAAGAAACAGATAACATTCAAAGGAAAACCAATCAGGCTGACATCAGACTTCTCCGAAGAAACACTACGGGCAAGGAGAGAGTGGAGGGACATAGTCAACAGACTCCAAGAAAACAGATGCCAACCAAGAATACTCTATCCCGCAAAGCTCTCCTTACTCTTTGAAGAAAGAATATGGACCTTCCCAGACAAACAGAAACTCCGGAATTTCATTGCAACTAAACCCCCACTCCAAAAAATACTACAAGGAGTCCTAAAGCCAGAACCTCAGAGGGACGAATAACAATGAAAGAAGGCCAAAAAAAAAAAAAAAGTTATTAAAAGAATAAATAAATAAAATCAAAGGAAAGACAAACACAATGGCAAATACAGATGTTAACATATCAATATTAACTCTAAATGTAAATGGACTAAACTCTTCAATAAAAAGACACAGAGTGGCAGCCTGGATTAAGAAACAAAACCCAACCTTTTGCTGTCTCCAGGAAACACATTTAGCTACAAAAGATAAAAATAGGCTCAAAGTTAAAGGATGGAAAACAATCCTACAAGCAAATGGACCAAAAAAGAAAGCAGGAACAGCTATACTTATATCAGATAAAACAGATTTCAAACTCAAAAAGATAAAAAGAGACCCCAATGGTCACTACATTATGATCAAGGGGACAATACTTCAAGAAGAAATAACACTCATTAACATATACTCACCAAACGAAGGAGCACCAAAATATATCAGACAACTGTTGTCCTCTCTGAAAACAGACATCAGAGAAAACACATACGTAGTGGGAGACTTCAACACACCACTATCAACAATGGATAGATCAACAAGACAAAAAATAAGTAAAGAAACCAAAGCTCTAAAAAAGGACCTAGAGCAATTAGGCTTAACAGACATCTATAGAACACTAAACCCCAAAAAAACGGAGTACACATTTTTCTCAAGCGCACACGGATCATTCTCCAGGATCGATCACATACTGGGGCACAAGACAAACATCAACAGATACACCAAGATTGAAATCATATCAACCATCTTTTCTGACCATGAAGGCATCAAACTAGAAATAAACCATAAAAAGAAGGCAAGGAACTTTCCTACCTCATGGAGATTAAAAACCACACTACTGGAAGACCATTGGACTAATGAGGAGATCAAAGAAGAAATTAAAAAATTTTTTGAATTGAACGACAAGGAGGACACTAATATCCTAAATGTATGGGATGCAGCAAAAGCAGTAATAAGAGGAAAATATATAGCAATAGAAGCTCACATCAAGAAACAAGAAAGAACGCAAAGAAACAACCTCATCTCGAAGCTCAAAGATCTAGAAAAAGAACAACAAAAAAACCCCAAAACCAGTAGAAGAAAAGAAATAATAAAAACCAAAGCAGAAATAAATGAAATTGAAACTAAAAAAACAATCCAAAAGATCAATGAAACCAAGAGCTGGTTCTTTGAAAAAATCAATAAAATAGACAAACCCCTAGCCAGGCTCACAAAGGAAAAAAGGGAGAAAGCACAAATAAACAGGATCATCAATGAAAGAGGAGAAATCACAACGGACACAGCAGAAATCAAAAGAATAATCAGTAACTACTATGAACAGTTATATGGAAACAAGTTTAACAATGTAGAGGAGATGGACAAATTCCTACAACTCTACAATCACCCAAAGCTAGATAAAGAAGAAATAGAACACCTAAACAGACCAATTACAATTAGCGAAATTGAAATGGTAATAAAAAACCTCCCCAAAAACAAAAGCCCAGGACCTGATGGATTTACAAATGAATTCTACCAAACATTCAGAGACGAATTAGTGCCTATCCTTCACAAACTCTTCCAAAAAATTGAGAAGGAAGGGACAATACCAAACACGTTTTATGAAGCCAACATTACACTAATACCAAAACCGAACAAGGACAACACAAAAAAGGAAAACTACAGGCCAATCTCCCTAATGAACACTGATGCAAAAATCCTCAATAAAATTTTAGCTATCAGAATCCAACAATGTATCCATAAGATAATTCACCACGACCAAGTTGGATTCATTCCAGGGGCACAAGGATGGTTTAACATCCGAAAATCAATCAACGTTATCCAACACATCAACAAAAAGAAATATAAAAACCATATGATAATATCAATAGATGCGGAGAAAGCTTTCGACAAAGTGCAACACCCATTCATGATAAAAGCCCTTGAAATTCTGGGGATACAAGGAACATACCTCAACATCATAAAGGCCATCTATGACAAGCCAACAGCCAGTATCATTCTCAATGGTGAAAAGCTGAAAGCAATTCCATTAAGATCTGGAACAAGACAAGGATGTCCACTCTCACCATTGCTTTTCAATATAATACTGGAAGTCCTAGCCAGGGCAATAAGACAAGAGAAAGACATCCAAGGAATCCAAATAGGAAAAGAAGAAGTCAAACTATCACTATTTGCAGACGATATGATATTATACATAGAGAACCCCAAAAACTCCACAGAA